CGTCGGAACGCAAGGACCATGAAGCCAAGAGCGATAAGTCTGGGCAGTGTAACGCCAGTGCCGTCGGGGTCATGGAATGACTCCCAGGGAAGAACTATTCCGATAAACATGAAACCGCCAAAGTTGAGCAGAACGTCGATGCAGTGGTTGACTTCGTCATGGCGGCGATGCGTCTCGGCGAGGAATTCGCCGTCCCAGTTGAGCATGTTGCCTGCGACGGTGCAGGCGACGAGATCGTTTGTGCCGATGGCGCCTGTCGTGCCGATGATGAAGAGGCCGAGAGCTGCGGGGAAAAGAAGGTAAGATTCTTCATCGACCCATCCTCTGTGAGTTGTATTGTCAGCATGTCTAGTTAATTCTTGATGGATCGATTGAGACTTACCGACGCATCGCGTGCTTGATGGCCTTGCATGAGGTGAAACCGACAACAGCGCCGTAGGCAATACCCATGGCGACGTAGTAGAGCCAAGTCTCAACAACCCAGTTCTTCATGGCTTCACCAATGCCACCACCAAGACGTCCAACTTCTTCACTGGCGCGTACAGCAAGGTGCGCGGCCTCAGCACCGCTTTGCTCAGGATGCTCGTATGCATGTCGCATCAGGTAGACGGCAAGCATGAGAAACGGGAAGCCTATGCTCGTCAGTTACTCGGTCAATCATTGCGACAAGACAAACATACCGAATCCATCGTTGGCACCAGCCTCAGATGAAATGATCTCTCGGAGGTGTCGAGGAACATACTTGTCAGCAAAAGGACCCTTCGCAACAGCTTGTGAGAGCACTGGGTCGGTGCATGTAACGCATGATGCAAGGGCCAGTGCAGCGAGAAGACTAAGCTTGGGAACGGTGGCTAGAATGCAGCCGGTCGTCAAAAGCCACATGAGAGTCATGATTGGCAGCAGGCACATGAGCAACTCTTTCCAGCGAGTCACGTTGTACTTTGCCGGCAGCGAGTAACCAGCGATGACGAGCTGAACACCAATGACAACTCGCATCAGACCCTATAGAGGTCAGCTACAGGGCATTTTAGCAGTGTCAGTGTCACTTACCAGAGCAATGTCTTCAGTCTGGCCAGGCTCTGCCGAACCCCACCTCTCACTATCGAGAAACTTGGCTGAGACGGGTCCGAGAATGATGCCAAACACCATCGCAGGCACTACACGCCAACGCCATCAGTTACAATCAAGAAAGGGTGGTTAATACAACTTACAGGCCTCTCCAAGGTACCATGACTGCTTGATCTTGACAGAAATGATACCGTACAATGCCATGAAGCCACCTGCGAAAACTCTGTCAGAATGCCAAGGTCCGCCAAGATCTGGGCAAATCACAACCAAGAAATGCCCAGGAAGGAATCGTACTGACCCAAGACTCCCAACACGATGTTGAGCTCACTGAGGTTGAGGACCGGCATTTTGGCGTCAAGGATGTATGCAGAATCACGTAACTAAATGTTTGGATTCAGAAGTATATAGTCTTCAGGTCTGCCGGTTTCTTGGTACAATTATCTGAAGAAGTACGAGTTGGCGAGGTGTTGCTGAAGGTGCTGTAGGCTTGATGACGGAGAGGATTTGAGTAGGATGTGTACCAGACACTATCCAAAGAAAAGTCAACAAGCCCTTCGAGTACGAAAGCTCTGTAATAGCGAGTATGTTCCTCACCAACAGAACATAAGAGGCAAACAAAAAGGAAAAGGCAGCGCAAAGTCAGGTGAGGTCAAAAGTAAGAATTTCTACAATAGTGGCGTTTAGGACACAGTATGTAGGGCGCAGAAAGCTTTTTGTACAAAGAAGAATGCGGGGGAGAGAAAAGCTAGATATCAAGTTTAAAGCTAGGGACGGGAAAATGCCTCAGACTCTCTTTCTAAACAAAAGCCAAGGTTTTATTGACGGCAGAGAACAAGGGGAGATGATGAGAGACAGTACTAAAACATGAGATCTGCGTGGGTGATTCAAGCTGGTCAAAGCTACCCAGGGCGGAAACTAAAAACAGGATATCGAAGGAGGTTGTAAGCCAAGACAGAGAGCAGGTGTTCAAGTGCTCCACTACCGCCGCGGAAGAAGGCGAGGGAAAGCCTGTCCACAAGCTCCGAGGGAAGGAATACACGCCACCTGCCATTATGTCAGGCGCTTTTTCCGCTCCGAGAGTAGAAGCTGCGGGATTTCTGATCCGGATGACGATATCTAGCTGAATCGTCCGCGTTTACAAATGGGCCTAAGCTTGAGGCTGAACGCTTACGACGATTCGATCATCTCTTCTAACGCGTAATGTTTTTAATCAGCCTCAGCATTTGTTGTAATCAAGATTAAAAAAAGAAACAGCTACCGCTCAGATAAATAAGATCGACAGTGGAAAAGAAAAGAGAACGAGGGATGGGGAGACACAGGCCGCTTCACAGTCGTAAGCCCCAAACGGTGGCCAAGTGCACCAAGACCTTGGCTGTATCTGGGTGCACTTGGCTGTAAGAATGATTCGGCCAAAGCGAATCATGAGCATATGAGGGAATGGCCAAGTCACCTGGCCAAGATATTACAAAAGGGGGCGGCTTTCTTGGCTCGAGGTTGGCGGAGTATTGAGATTGGCGCTTGGCGCTTGGCGGCTACTTGGCGTTTAAGGTTATTTGTTAAGCATGCTCGCGTTATGCTTATTTAAAGTGGGCTTGTGGTGCCGCCAAGCAGAGCGCACCAACAAAGAATGCGAGGGCGAGCAGGTGATGTTATGGGAAAGTCGGGAGACGCGGAGGCCGGTGAGCTTGGCTGCTGATTATGTGTCGTGTCTTGCAGGAAGCTGGGGAGTGCTGAATTTTGTTGCACGAGTTGTTGGACTAAGTCATGGTGATACCAGTCAGGCTGGAGATTACGAACATTGGTGGCGGTGATACAAATTGCCAATTCCGTTGCAGACTGGTTTGGAACATTATTGACAGAATTCCAGATATGCCCTGGATACCGGCAAGATAACAGAATTCCTTTGATGATGAAATCAGGTAATCTGTCTTTGTCTTGCTGATGATCAGTGACTCAGAATTTTCAAGGCACAAGATTTAGGGTAAATGACATCAAAGCTCCATTAAAGAATGGATAAATTCATCTTTGCCATTCCCAAACTCGCTGATCATGATGATGAATTGTTGACATAACTCGAGGGGCAAGACGGATTGCTCAAAATGTTCACTTAGCTGACTGGAGTAGACTCGTAGATAATTGTCATTCCCGATCGTGAAACCGCGGCCGTAATGACCAAACATGACTGGTCTGGCTACGAGTTGCGGCGAACTCAGAGACGGAGCATCGCTGATCGGCACTTCCGCTCCGCTCAGAATGAGTCAAATCATCGTGTGAATGAATGTACCCGCAAACGGTGGGATGATAAGTTTGGCAAGGTTCGCGAGAGGAAAAGATAAAGCAACTGATAAGAGGAATGGCCGCTCCGCTGTTATCCCGCTGGGACGGACACCGTTATCGATAAGGTTAAAACTTTGTTTTATCTAATCGATAATGTTTCAAGATAGTCTTATCTGGCGAAAGATCGGGCGGGCTTATTCTCATCAGAGGCCTGAGTTTATATACAATCAGAATATGATTTCTTGGCCTTTCGAATTGAAGGTCCGATTACTCCCAATCCATCGCGCGGTGTAGAGGTCAAAATATTAGCTTAATGGATATCATCATCTGCAGGTAAACATGTATAATAGACGTTTCTTGACTTTTTGCGGAGGAGAATTCTGATCAATTGCTTTGCTCGCCAGTATTGAATGCGGTAACCTAACGAGAAACTCGCCTACCCGGAAGAAGCCTGCCATTTTAAAATGCCCAGTGCAGAACAGAAGTGTGTCCCGCTCCACCATAATTACGACTGATTGAGTGTTTCAGTGGTTATTTGAGCATTCACAGCAGTGAAGCTTTCAACATGGGAGGGCCTCCAGTCAAGAAAGCTATCAAATTGCACGTGACTACAATAAACCTTGAAAGAGCAGGCTTAAAGTAATAAAACTTGCGTGTACCTTTCTTTCCACTGCATTCCACCAGTGGAAGCAGGACGTCATAAGCAGATTCGTTTGGTTGGCTGCTATTCTCTTTCAAAGACTGAATGCTCAATTGCGCGTATGGAACTTGGAAGAGTTATCTTCAGTGGGACTTTTCCAGTTCGATGCGTTGACCGATGCACATATCGTGCGCGGGAAATGTGAAAGTGGCACGCGATTCTTTTGCCTTCATATCCACGACGACAAATAAAGCCATCAGATCTGTACGGCTGTCTGATTCGCAGATTTTAGGTGAGCTCCAATGGCTCAACGCAACGTTCCTGTCGAGGTGGAGCAAGCCCATCAAGCCACATCTCCAACACCTAACAATCTTCTCTTCCTACTGGCCTGACAGATCGAGGCTCTGCGCTTATTCCGGTCACAAAGACTCGAGGATACAAGTAGATAATGACGGGATCTTGTAGCAAAGGGATGCGCTGGAGACTAGGGCATCAGCCCCAAACTCAATATTACTTAACTGAAATCTTCACAACGACCATTTGGCCAACGAGGTGGCACGCTGAGGCGCTCGTGATAGTTTTAAGTGGTGAATGTCTAATCTTATAGGTTGTATGACCCAAGGAATGGAACCTCAAGATAGTGTCACGAAGTCATGTTTACAGAGCTTTTCCCCCAGCCCAACAGACCTACTCATTGCGTCATGGTCAGAGTTAATACATTTCTACTCGCCTACTGTACATGAAATCTTCTTGGGCAATTGTGTTGGGTAACTGGTATACTGCCCGGACTGACTTTGATAAGAGTGTTACTTTGGGTTGATAGACCCCACAGCTGGTGGCTCACGTCACGCGCCTCGCACGTAATAATCACAGCTACTTAAGGCATTGCTTCCTCCCCTGTCCGAAGGAAAGGAGCTCAGATTCTCGTCTTCGTCAAGTGCTATCCCCTCATCACCTTTCATCGCCAAATTCTTCCCCATCCAGGCATCTCAAGTAAAGTTTACACTGCTTGAAGATGTACACCAACCTAATTTCCCAGGGCATACTCGTCCTCGGGTCCCTCGGGTACGTCGCTGCGACAAACCCTGGCTGCGTGCATCCCTGCATCCAGCTTCCCCAAGGCCATCACGAACCCTGGCTCTGCCCCGTCGGAATCCCCAGGCCTCATTACCACATCGGTAAATGGCCTACTCTAGAGGAAGAAAACCTTGCCAAGGCGCTCATCGGCCCTGTCACCAAGCAAGATCCTTGCGGCTGGCAGTCTGATGGCAAGCTCTGCAGAGCCTCTCAAAACGCTCATGTCACCCTTAGCCTCGTGTCTTCAGATCCCCTTACTGTCAAGGTCAAGATCAGCAACCATGATGCCTACCCAATCACCTTTTGGACAAGGTACTCTCCTCTCAGCCAGCATGCCTTTGACTATGAGTACTTCACGATCACCCCCCTAGGTCATCATTCTGTTGCTGCTAAGGCTCAAGCACCTACGCCAGCGGGGTACAGGCCAGAAACTGCACCTGAACTTTCTGTCATCTCCCCTGGCGAGGCGTTGGAGGCCGACATTGTCCTGACCAACCCGAACCATTTCTTCCATAAGATGGTGAAGGACGGTGGTGACATTGAAATCGGTATGTCGGGACGGTGGAATGGCTTCTGGGCTGCAACTGCGCCTGAAGTCATGAACAGTGATTTGGGCTATTCCTGCAACAACATCTGGAGCAGCCTGGGCCTCACTTGGTCTGCGCAGAACAAGCTGCTGCTACGCTTTCCTAAGCAGCATTATGTCTCCTCGGAGCCGTCCTATTCTGTCCCGAAACATGGAGCTGAGCCTGAAACTAGTGCGGGTAATGAGCCTACATATGGCGATAAATCGTCACGAGTCGGTTCCGACGTTGCAGATGAGACGGAAAAAAGTTCAAGCATAGAGCAATCTGAGTCTACGAGTCCAAAGGATGACGCAAAGCCTGTTAGTGGCCAGCTAGCCACTGAATCGCCAGCTGCCAAGTCCCCAGCAGGTGAATCGCTACCAACTGAGTCACCAGGATCGGCCATCCCAGAGGATCCAGCTAGTGAGGAGCCAGGGTCAAATAGTGCCTCACAGTGTGTTACGGAAAAGGTCGCCACTACACCTGCACCGGCTGAATATGGCCGCACTGAGGAGGGGCTCAAATTGACAACAGCTACGCAAAGCTGGAAAACCATGGCCTCTACTACCACCCAGCCAGGATCTGCTCGCTTAGAGAAAAGGGATTGCTGCCCACCACCACCAGATTGTCCTCATTGCGACGGCAAAGGCCCTTACAAAGAGGGCTGTGAATGCAAGGCTGATTAGAAACTTTTAGATTGTTCCTTGCATATAGGGGGCTAGTGGTGGGTAGTCTAGCAATCCATCTAGACATCCCGTACGACATCGATGGTTTTGGATGCTAGCGACGACGAGCTGCAGTCGGGACCTTGTAGGCGGCAGAAGGGAAGAAGATGGCAAGGCTAAGAGAAGGAAGGTTAAATAGCTAAACTACGTCACCTGAAGAATATTTAACCTCGTTGCAGAAATACAAAGTTCAGAAAATCAATGCCGTGATTTCATTCATCACCTGTGTTCGCAGCCTAAAGTTAAGCCTCATAGGCGGCAGTGACCTACATAAGACTGCAGGACATAGCCAATAAAACCTTTCATATGATCATGTCTCATAACCCTATGAACGTGAACTTCAATAGGGTCAAGCTATACAATGAACTTTGGGGAATGGCTGTACAGCGAAGATGTGAATGTAAAACTTGCAAAAAGAAAGCAAGTAGATGGAAGTCTAGAAAAAACAACCCAATAAGATGGTTTATAGGGATCGTTCAAACGAAAGCTTGTTTATTCCCCCAATCACCCTTCTCCATACAATCGTCGTCAGCATGATTGCAAAACCAATACTGCGCGAAATAAAAGCTAAATCCATATCAGATTCTAACAATTGGCTATCGGAGTTCTTCCGGAGCTGTATACTGAAGCCAACAGAGAGCTAGTACACACATTCACGCATAAGCAAGCGTCATGGGTCTTTTGCCATATCGACAACGAAGCTATGTTTATCCATGTGACGGAAATTCGAAAGTAATCTTCATTTACGGAAATCTACGACGACCCCAAAGCCATTTAACTCAGTAGCGAGTTCCTACATATATTACGGCTTATCCCAGGTTTAAGAAAAACACAACTTAATCCTTCACTCAATAAGACAGCTATCTCATCTCAGACCTGCACTTAGCAACCCTTTCGATCACAACCATCATCCAAGATGCGTTTCCTCAGCAAACCTATCTTGGCCCTTGGTCTTGTTGGCTCTCTTGCTTCCGCCTCCCCTACACCATCTCTCACTACCTCTGTCATCTCCGGCACATCTATTGCCCCTCTTGACACTAGCCAAGCTGCTCTCAGTGCAACAAAGATCGTCCGCCGTCTTGAATACCAGAATGCAATTCCCGTCCCTGAACGTGATGAAGATGATCACTGCGTTGGTCACACCAAGAACATCTTAACGCTCTCCAGACAAGAATACCTCGCCTCTGAACTCGTCCCCACAACCTGGATTTGCCCCAATCCCAGCATCTGCCGTGAAGGCATGAGGTACCTCAGCCCCAAAGTCCACGAGGCCGTGCAGAACGTCCTCGTGTCCATGGAGCAAACCAATACTCTCCCCATCACCATCCAAGTCACCATCACCAACAACGGCACCGGCCCCATCACCTTCTGGAAGGACTTGTCTCCCATCGGCCATCATGCCTTTGGTCTCGGCTACTTCCACTTCCATACCGAAACCGACGGTGTTGTGTTTGGCGAGCGTTTTCGCGCGGATGCTCACGGCTACCGACCGGAGTGTTATAGTAACCTCGTCGAGCTTAAGCCTGGTCAACGTGTGAGCAGAGTGATCAAGATGCCTAATAGGCCGCACTCTAACGAGGGCAAGGCGTGGAACGACATGCTCGACTTGGCTGGCAACGTCACAGTGTCGATGTCGGGAAGCTGGTATGGTATCTGGGCGGGTACTAAGGATGAGGTCATGGCAACCGACATGGACTACAACTTATTTGGTTTTAACTTCTGGAATGATCTTAGTATTCCGTGGGAGGCGACATTCCCCAAGGAGTATCAGAGGTTCAGCGAAGAGACAGGCCTTGCCATGAAGCTTTACGTGGACTAGACCCTTCTTGCAGTATGGGATACCTTGGGCCGAACAAGGTAATCAACTCGGTATATATAATCCGGATCGCAGTATTTGACATCATCGCGGAAGCCAGACTTGTTTTTTCTGTTTCTTCAACTTGGAAAATGGATGAAATAAAATTGTGATTGCAAATGGTGGGCCATTTTCCCGCGAACCGTAGTTTTGCCGATTCTGGTCCGTTCCCTTGGCCGCCCCCTTTTTAACCTCATTTTAACATCCCTTGCGTAAATGACATTAATCTCTGGGGCCCCATCACGTGTATCAAAGGTTATTTCGACTTCATCTATGCCAATTAACATCTGTGGTGTCGTTTCCTCGGCGTTTGCTATGATAGTAATCCATGTGGCTCCTCGGCGCAGCGTGGAGAGATTATTTGAAGCCCTGTTCGGAATCGGCCAGCGTCATCCATTCACTAATTGTCTACTCTAGGGCACCACCGGACACGAATTTTATGCTGGTGCCCTGACTTTTCAGGTTTGGATTGACGACTGAACGAAGTTAAGCCCAGTGAAACGATAGACTATACGGCATGGCGGATGGTGTCGCAATTCATTAAAATGGCTGATGAACCCATTCGTCGACAACGCAGCTTGTTTCATATCGTATTCCCACATAGTAATTGTGGCACTTCCCCGCTTGAAAGGTCGGTCTTAGAGTGTCGGCGCATGGATTTAAAGAAGTCTTTATCGGGTTCCTTGAGTACCAAAGCATGTTCCAAGCCCATATCCCTAACATGCTGGGCTTGGTCAGTGTCATGGTCCAGTAGCGATTCAGTAGACCTGCCCTGCAGCGAAAGGCCAAAGGTGGTGCGGCTCACAGGATAAGTCATTCTCGAAACCAACTGGGTCAGTAATTCTAGCAAAGTGATTTAGATACAGGTTCAGGCAAGCCGAGGAATACACATAAAGCACATGCATTATCGAGTTTCCCACGTCCGGACGCACGAAGCAATTCAACCACACGGTTTCTGTTTTATCCTTAATGTTTTGCTAACACTAGAGTTAATATTCTCAAAGCACATTATAGGTAAGCCTCAAGATCTAAGATATACCATACCCTCCATTCCTCATTCCTCAGCCTCTCAACCCAACGGTCACTTCGCTTGCTGCAACAACAAAAGCCTCTGCTTCTCACGCTCCGCCTCAAGTTCCGCCTCATACTTGGCCCAGCACTTCTTGCAATCTCTCCAATTTCCAAGCGCTAGTGCTCCAACCTCATAGCAATCTGATGGGTCGCACTTTGCAACATTCTTATCCACGGCTTTCTGGCAACGACTCACACTGACCTCGTCAGGGAAGTTCTCAGGGCATTTCTGGCACTTCTTCCTAATGATTCTGATCTGACACATAATTGCGGTTGTAAGTTGGAACCTCTATAGGGAACTCTTGTTGGTATGTAATAATAACGAGGGAGATTTGAGAATTCGGTGGGATAACCTTAAGGAAATGGGAAGAGACTCCGAGGATGCGTAATGTTATATACCTGAGATCTGAAGTCAATCAATGACAGTTATATTACATGTACAATGTCAAAGCCCGTGATATTTTGGCAACAGCTCTGAAATGGATCTTAAACAAACAGAATCGTGTCATCAAGAGCTTAAGGTCTCACCCAAGCAAACACATCATTACTCCGACCATAAGCGTGTTTCTGAATCACTTCCGTTACAGGCAGAGCATTGAGAGTTGAACGGCGTCGGTTTAAGGTTGTGGATTAAAATGAGTTCGTTACAGATTTCTGCAGGTAAGATCCTCTAGATTGAGATTGATCCATCTGTGATATGGCGATGTCAGATAAGCAGGTTCCAGAAAACGGCCATACGAACAATTGCCCCGCTACCCCATACATACTGTTGGACCCGATAATGCAAATGGCTGGATTTTGCTGTTGGCGGTTTTTAATCAATGGAGACCAGCATCACGGTGAATGGAACGTTGAAGGTGACGAACCTGCTGCCGCTGAATTGCCAGCCAAGCTAACTCAGATAATTATTTGCAGGCTTTTGCGACCGAGGACCGATGGGTGAATGGCTGTTGTAATTGGATAGGTAGGGGAGCCCTGAAGCCGACAAAACGGGAACCGGGGTTGCCTTTAGTGTTGGGCTAAGGATTCGGGCCAAGTTGACTATCGACTCAGGATCCACATTCAATCAATATTGCACTGACACTATTGATGACTCAGTGCCGAAGCTCAAGACACTGAGCGCTGGGTCCGCAAATCATCACAGCCTCTCGATCGGGTCACCATAGTATAACGATGAGGGAATTGGAAAATTACAAGTTCATTAAATCACTCCCAATATACTATGAACCAATGACCTTCGCTCAAGCAATCCATCTGAAGTTGGGGTTCTTCCAATCAAGGTCCTGAATCTCCTGCTGCGACAGACCAGCCAATTCAGCTTCGGCTGATCTACGAGCCCGCTTCCGGTTATCGCGCTTGATCCACCAAAGAGTCGCGGCACCAAGCACAAGAATCGTGCTCGAAGTGGCCAAGTTCAAGCCGTTGCCGATGGGATAGTTGGGCGCGTCACTCTTGACGAAGGACCAGGTGGAGATGAGTCCGCCGATGTTACCAAACATGACTATGAATAGTTAGTATCTTGTCAAAGGTGAAGCTGACGAACGTACCGTTTGTGCCAATCGCTGCACTGCGCGCTGTGTCGCTGAGAACATTGGCGCTGATATGAGAATTCGTCAAAGGCGCCAGTGCAAACGCCGAACTAGCGACGAGGAACGTAGCACCGTATCTCGCATGCCCATTCGTCGTACCCAAAAAGATGGCATAACCCACCATGACCATCGGCGCACAAAGAATAATAAAGATCTGCCTCCTATCAAACTTGTAGCTAATTCCCGGAATAAGCACCGTGAAAAAGGCGCCGACGACATATGGTGGCACAGTAAAGAGCTGTTGGGAAATAGTTGTTCGCTCGGGATAGATCGTTCGTACAATGGTGGGTAGGAAGAAGGCGAGGCCTTGAACGGTGATGTTGTCGAGGAGGAAGATGATGGCTGTTGAGAGCGTGAGGGGACTGCGGATGCCGGCGATGATCTTGGCAGTGTCCATCTTGTCGAGGACTTCGGTTGTACCGAGACGTTCAGCCTTGATGCGGTTGAGGGCGAGGGCTTTTTCATCTTCGGTGAGCCATGCGGCTGATTGGGGACGGTCGGTGAGAGTGGCTGAGACTTGTTAGCGATGGGAGAGGTCAGGAGTAGCGGGAAGCTTACCGAATGAGATGATGGACAGGCCGACGGTAATGATACCTTCGATGGCTAGAGGAAAGTCAGCATTGATCATGGTGTGAGGCGTGAGAAGGCTTTACCAAAGATCATCTCCCAGCTAGTGAACCGTCCAAAATTAGGAAGCTTCAAGATCGCCGATGCCAAAAGGCCACCAAACGCACCGGCCAACGGCGCCATAACGATATACAACGACAGCCGAAAGGTAAGTTCCGATCTTCTGTACCATCGCGACATATAATACGCAATACCGGGCAACATACCCGCCTCAAAAATGCCCAAGACAAATCTCACACCACAAATCTGATGAACGTTCGAGACAAACGCAGTAAAAATAGAACAGAGACCAAACCCCAACGATGTCAAGGGGATGAACCATCCGGGGCCCATGTATTTGCAGAGAAGGTTGGCGGGGATCTCAAAGACGATGTAGCTGATATAAAAGACTGATAGGACGAGATTGTAGTCGTTGCCTGTGAGACCGAGATCTTCTTCTAGGCCTGCGAGGCGGGCGTTTCCTGACTCGTGTTAATTTTGGAGATTCTGTGAGTGAGGAAGAGAGCGCGAACCGATATTGGCGCGGTCAATAAAGCAGAAGAGATAGAGTAGACAGACGGTCGGAACGATCATCCAGTCAATCTTTCGGCGCAGTCGAGCCTCTGCTTTGGGATCAATGTAGAACTGCGCATTCTCAATGCTGCAAATCGTGAGTCAGCACATGAAAGTCTAATTGAAACAGGGCATGGAAAACGCGTACCTCTCCACAGTCGCGCCGGGAGTCTCGGTCATGTTGGACGCAGTATCAGCGCCATTCTGCAATTTCTCGTTTTGCGCGCTGGTATCCATCTTGAAACGATGAAGGTGATGATGCAGAAGGAAAAGTGACCAAGATCGACATCGGTCTCACCCCCTTTATACCCAATCTCTCGATCAACTCACCTACCCAGCGTTAGTGCGGGCGGGGTTCTTATCGGATCCGGGGTACTGGAGTTGGCCGTTTTACCTGGGGTACAGAAAACCTAAAATCTGGGGGAGCACGGAAACTCTCAGCAGCTGCCGGCATATCATGTCGGCTTTAGAGGCGCTGTGATTGGGTGGAGGGAGGATTAGGGTTCCCCGCAGAGATTGCGACTATGCTAAGGTGAGACTTGGGGCCGTGGGGAGGAAGTGCTGATAGGTTGGTGCTCCGAGGAAGATGGGTTGGAATGCGCTGCCTTCCGAGGGATGATGCTGTGCCCAGACTGGTCTTTTTCTTGTTAGAGTGATGCGTAATGTTGTTTATTTTGATGCTTGTTTGGTGGACCACGTGGTTGGGAGGGAGGTCTGGATTCATCTCGATTGAGGGATCGATCGGGCCAGTCAGCTTCGCTTCCGGGGGCGGTCTGGGGGTCGTTGATCGGCATATCGGCCTTGGAACAAAGGGCTTGGGTTTGCTATCCGAGGAAAGCAATAATACTAACGGTTAGGGGATTTAACGCGAGAGATATCATGTGAAGGGGTAAGAGTTCCCGTTATTGGTGAATTAGTATTTTTCCACAAATTGCACATTGGGTTTTCTCTCTGTATTTCGAAAGCTGAAGAGAGTCTCGAGTAATGAACTCAACAATGTGCCGCTCAGAAGGGAGACATCTCACAAGTCAGAGCAAGCAAAAGGCAAAACACATCAGATTCAGTATTAAACAAGAATAAATTTCTCATTCAACCAAGAAATTGTTCAATTGCACAAACAGGAGGAGGATGATTGTTACCAGCCACTGACGTGCAGGGTATGTTGCCAGCCATCAGCACTAAACGTTGGCCGATGGAAACATAAAAGGGCGGGATGCGATAAGGATCAGGATAAGCTTATCTCAGTCCCTGTATTTTCTCCACTAACCTCATTGGCCATCCATCTCAACAATCGGGTAATTATTTGACCCGTTCACCAAACCAAGATGTGAAGACAAATTAGCCTCATCAAACCATCTCAACATTATCATTCCCAGACTATACTATTGCCAAAATGGAGATTAAATTCAAGGTCCAAAAAGCCCCTACAATTCCGAAACCTCCCCTGAGAAACAACACCGAGCCTTCTACTCTCGCATTCGTCCAAGTCAATCCCGCCAAAAAAGACAAAGCAGCTCAACGAAAAATCCGCCAACATGTAATGAAAGACATAGGTCTCTCCCGGCGAATGGGTACAGTCCGCACACCCAATCCAACAAGCGAGTCAATCTTTATTCCGACATACTGGGGCGACGCGCAAGTCTGCTACAATTTTCGACGATTGTTTCGGGCCATGGACATGGTGTCGGAAGGACTGCTATCAATAGCTATTGTTGACCCTGTTTTGAGGTTGAGGCAGAAATTAACGGCGACATTTGAGAGTCCACCGACTGTGGAGGAGATCGAGCAGTATACTGAGTCGTTGAGCTTGGTGAGGGAAGGGATTGAGGCGGAGAGTAAAGCTAGTGAGAATGCTGTTATTGGGACGGTTATCTGTCTGGCGACTTTTGATGTGAGTCGCTGCAATGGTGTTGTAGTTTCATATTGGCTGACGAGATAGATGCGCGCTGGGAATTCGGAATTGTGGATGGTTCATATGGCAGGGCTGGAAAGGATAGTTGCCATGGCTGGGGGAGTTGAAGAATTGGACTCACGCCCCGCTATCCGACAATCTCTGTTCATGTAAGTCTCTTGAGCTTCCCACTTATCACGCCGACTAACTACTATAGATGCGATCTCCTGGGCTCAATGGTAGAAGACGCGGAACCGAGATTTCCTCTTCCTCGAGATCTACCGACTTTGCCTGAAGCTACCAGGTCAAAATATGCCCAAAAGCTTTTAACGTCATTAAGAAGTGATGAACAAACGAACCAGGAACAAATTGCCGTCATCGATGGTGCTCTCACATTGGCAAATCAAGTCGCCGTCTTGCTAAATGAAGTATGGCTCGTCAGCCCGTTTGCGCTCGATCTCCTCATTCCAGTATGCGCTCTAGCACATCAAGTCTTATCGCTACAAAGAATGAATCCTATACCGAAACGAAATGGAGTTCCACATGCGACATCTACTGAAATCTTTGCAGAGATAGTGCGCATATCATCTGTTTGTCTGTTTGCGTTGGTCATGACACAATCATCTGGCGATGCACTATACATTGCAGCAAGAAGAAATAATTTGGTTAAACAACTTATGGCGCAGTTAGATGACAAGTTCTGGAAGGGAAAGGAGGAGCTGCAACTTTGGGTGTTGGTAATCCAGGTCTCTATGGGAGTTGGTTCTTCGAAGCCCTGGTATCTGGATCAGATTACACAGACTATGTCACGTATTCGGCTGCGATCATGGGAAGACTTGATGGATTGTTTACGAAGGGTGGTATGGATTGAAAAAGTCTCTCCATTAGAGATGACCTATCTTCGGTCTGATATTGGAGAATGGCTCTCCTAGTACGATATTTTCAAGCTAACGACAACGCCTAGTAAGTGACACCACCGTTAACACCAATATACTGCCCAGTGATCCATCGAGACTTCTCCTGAACCAACAAAAGAACAGCATCACCAATATCCTCGGGCGTTCCAGGCCTATCAGCAGCCCTGGTGATATCAACCTCAAACTTCATCAACTCATCCTCCTGCCCCTTGGGATAAAAGTCCGTCCTCACAGGACCTGGAGCCACTGAATTGACAGTGATACCTTTGCTGCGACCGAGCTATTCACGTTTCTCAGTGTCTATCAAAAAGAGAGAACATATTGGGGTACGTACCTCTCCAGCCCATGTCCATGTCAAGTTATCGAGAGCGGCTTTCGAGGCTGCGTACGCAGAGACGGCGACGTTTCCTCGCTTGGCGTTGGTGGAACTGATGTTGATGATACGGCCACCGGGAGGCATGTGACCAATAACGTAGTGGACCATGTAAAACGCTCCAAGAACGTTAAGCTGGAAGACTTTGGTCAATTGCTTGACGTTCAGTTCATCAGTAATAGGACAGAAAAATGCTGTCGCAGCATTGTTCACTACAGAAGTCAGCTCCGGCGAATGAGTTTGCACGAGAAACCTACCAAGAATGTCAATATGATCGGTCGCAAACCCCTCAAGGGTTTTATCGACGAGATACTTTGCTCCCTCAGTAGTATCGACTGAAGCTTGGATAGCTATGGCTTTTCCTCCTGCCTCACGAAGCATGGTGCAGACATTCTCGGCACGATGCTTGGAGGAGTCGGAGACGTAGTTTACTACGACTGAAGCACCGTTTCGAGCGAGGGCGAGGGCAATACCAGCACCAATGCCATTTTCACGACCTGAGCCGGTTACGATGGCGACTTTGCCTTGGAGGGTGAGGGTATCGGGCATGGTGGAATTATTTAAGAAGAAAGTGTCTGAATTTCTTTGAGGCTTGTAAAGAAGATGTAGAGATGTAAATACTGGGAGATCGCTGGTCATTTATACATCTCAAAGTTATATCATCATCTTCAATTCGGATAGCCAAGTCGGACTCCGACGGGCTACTGTCGAAGACAAGACATTGCGACAGCCTATCATTGGCTCTGAAAAAGTTCGTCACTGAGTTCCCGAGTTATCCGCTGGTAAGGCTAGGTTGTTGAGTTGAGAATTTCCTAATTAGGAAAATGGTGTTTAATGCCCCACCGTTCTCTGTGAACAAGTGACCACTAATGATGTGAACTCCGGAGTTTGAGAAGCAGAAGGATTGCTTTGACCTCGCTACGAATGATGCTTTTAGAACTTGGACTTCGGTTATAGCTTAGTTTCGTTGTTAGAATTGGTCCGGCTGAATAATCCAATCCTCAACAACGCCGACGTAGCGACGCTGAGCGAATCATTCAACGAGTTTTGTTATGCATGAATATCGTTTACTGGAGTGCCCTGTTCTGTACCAGTTACATTTGGCTAGGCATCAAGAGATATGTACGTATTCTCCGCTTCCTTGACTCCATTACCCGGTCTCCTATTCGCCTAGACAAGTTCCAGAAACAGCGCAGGACTGGCGACAGCACGTCCAACTTGTATACTCACGACATCAAACTTCGTAGTTTTAAAACATAGTTCATCTTTAGCATAGATGGATGATGTTGGACTGGGAAAGGAGCTTCTCAGGGTATCAGCGGCTAAGGCACGCTTGGTCTCCGCCGAGATTCGAGGCCGTCCACTGCGGAAAGCTTGTAGATGTTTCAAAGGCTTGCGTAAGACTTATCTTATAGACTAACAAGAGAGTAGAGAGCAGATAGGACATCTGTGATAAGGGTATAAGAGGTCGGCTTACAGTAGAGATCCGTGATTGCGGCGAAGGACGAGGGCTTGATGCAATTGATGCAAGGTTACTGTGATCTTGTATGTAAGCAATTAAATTTGGCAAATAGAACTTGATGTTATGGTCTGTTGTTCAGTTGCAAATTTGTTGGTGAACCTGTTGTACTTTTTATTGCGGCGTCAATTTTAGAGCCGAGTTCGGGCCGGCATCGGAGACCATCCCGTTTGACTCCAAGTAAGCTTCAGACCGCATCTTCTCTTCAGCGTATCGGCAGAGAAAAACCAAAAGCCGACAAGACGAAGCTTCATAGGATTAGGAAAAGCATAAATTAGGGACTTCCCCAGTTAGGCAGGTAATGCACCAAGTTGTCTCATTCGGTATCATGTTGCATAATGGTGTTCTAATGAATATCTCTATTTTGACCCGGGAGGGCATCTGAGCTCTTATGATCTATAGGTAAAAGATAAAATCTAGTGCCCGTTCACACCGTTTGTGCCATTCGTACCGTTGGTTCCGTTAAGTGTATGGCCCTGGGTTCGGACGTCGTGAATTGCTTTGGCGACATACTGCACGTTTCTCTTGTTTACTACAAATCGTCAGAAACCTCACTCTCGGAAAAACGAAGGCGAACTTACATCCAGAAATAGAGATACGGCCTGAGTTGAGCAGGTAGATGTGGAATCGCTCACGAAGAGCCTTGACCTCGAAGGGGGAAAGACCAGTGTATGAGAACATACCAATCTATAACGTCAGCACGTCCTCGCTATCAATTTGTAGACCATTTGACTTACCTGATCAACAATATGATTCCATGTCCCAGGCGTCTCCAACCTCACCAACTCATCATAAAGAGCCTGCCGCATACTCTTAATCCGACTACTCATAACCTGCAGATCCGCCATCCACGCCGCGGTCAACTCCTCGCTATCCAAAACCGTCTTTACAATCGTAGACCCATACTTGGGCGCCATCGAAATCTCAGATCGGAGCAGGTACGATAATGTCGAGTATGCGTTGTCGCGAATCTCCTTGGACGGCTCCGCGAGAACAAGATGAACGGCGCCGGTTCGGTGGCCGTACAGACCAAAGTTCTTTGAGAATGACTGCGCGACGATCATGTCGGGGCGAGGCTGCTGGCGATAGAAATATCGAATCGCCCATGCGTCCTCGGCGGGAGATCCGGATGCGAAACCTTGGTAGGCTGCGTCGAAGAAGGGGAAGAGCTGTTTTCGCTGACAGACTTCTGCGATGGCCTTCCATTGCTCCTTTGTGGGATCGAGACCAGTTGGGTTATGCGCACAAGCATGCAGCAGAACAGCATCGCGTGGCTGAGCCTGCTCCTCCAGCGTCTTGATCATACCCTCGAAATCCAGCGAACAGTCCGATTTCTTGTAGTACGGGTACAATCTCGGCTTCATACCAACAGACTCCCAGATCATATGGTGGTTAGCCCACGTTGGATCCGACACCCAGATATTCTGCGGTCTCAAGTAATCCGCCACGAACCTGGCACCGATATGATTCGCTCCGGTGCCGGAGACAGTCTGCACACTCGCGATACTCAAATCATCTTGCTCAGCAAAGATCAGATCCCTCGCAACTTTCAAAAACTGCTGATCGCCCTCAATAGGCAGGTAATCATGTCTCGTGAGACTTGCCTCGTCGAAGAGCTGCTTCTCCACGCGGGTGACTACATCCAAGGGCCATGATTTGCCCTCGTCGGTGCAGTAGACTCCCACGCCGAGGTTGACGCGGTCGGGAGAGGCGTCGGCGCGGTAGAGGGCGAGGAGATCGAAGATCTCGTCGGTTGGTTGCGCGGGGAGAGATGAGAAGCACGAGGGAGACATGATGGGCTTTTGGTTGATGGGAAGTGATGAGGCGGTGGAAGATGATCGGAGGAGGGAAGTGGGTATTTTTAGTCCTGGGGGGCTTTTCAGGGCAGGGCTAGTTTTTTTTAGCGGTTGATGGGCGCCACTTGGAAAAAATGGGTGAAGTGTTTGTCGCTAGCTCTCGGGTTTCTTTGTCGGCAGCCGTCAGATGATGGGAATAATATCAGCTAGTTGACTGAACTGGCAAATCAGAATTACAGATGTCCAGCTCAATTGGGAACAATAGTTGCAGGTCCGAACGGTTTCGATTGAACGACCGGACAAGGGCTGATATAACTGGAATCACTCAACATGGTCGGTATCGATATTCTCTACCATTCTATAGTCAATGGCATGTCGTCCTGCCGTAGACAACATAACAGAGTTCCCAAGTCTTTGCAGTTTCGAGATTGGCTGCAAAGTGAAGCATCCATTAAATGCCAAATTAACCGAATCCAGACTAGCCTCAGGCACACAGAGTGTTTATTCCCGAAAGACCAATCATTTCGCTCAGTTTGTCATACATGGTTGCATTGAGTGAGAACCGCTTTTGATGAGCGATTGGAGAGAAATGATCAATGCGACTTGATTGGTATTGAGTTTTGAGCAATGCAAGGTTTGTGCGCTGTTAGTAAGGGGGCAAAAATAAAAGGGGAGACTTTGGCTGAGACGCCCGGATAATTCATGGTCCGTTGGGCGTTTTAGAAGTCAAAACTTCGGAGACGCCGAGTGGCGGTTTAAGATTTTGTTACAGCAAGACGAAGCATTGAATGGCACTGAAGGAAAAGAATTGCTTCGAATAGTAAAAAGTCATGTATTGCAGACTGGCGATTACTAATATGTCTAATTTCATGTTTTGATTGCAAGTATGTACGTCGCTTGATTCAAGTCAATAGCTTTGAGTCTGCCTCCTCGGCACTTACGCCGGGACCATAGCGTTTCAGTTGCAACACTAACAAGACTAAACCAAACCAGACCAGGCAAGTAAATGGTTCGACCCACGTAACGTACGCACTGTCAATGCTTGCGCCTCCCCTAACCTCAGGCATCAATAACAATTTTCCCTTCCTCAATTTCTTCCCAAAACAGCCGAGATCTCATCCTCAGCCGAGACAATCCGACCCATCCATTCCTTCACCATCTTAATCATTTTTAATATTCACAAATGCACTCATTATTACCAATATCTTTATTCACTCTTTTCTCTTCCGCGCACGCTTCATACGTTCAGTTCAAGGACTGCAGTGTCCCATCCTCATCAGCATATTCATACGACCCAAACAGTCTCGACGTATATCTAGACGAGCACAGCAATGGAACAACGACGCTCAGTCTTGGAATAACTGGGAATTATCCCACGTTAGCTTCATGTCACAGATCATTACTCGACAACGCCTCTGTCGAATTGAGCCTGGAGGCGCTGGGCGGGACGACGCGCTACAATGGCGAGATTCAGAATGCGACGTGTCGGACTAGGGAGTTTAAGCAGATCAACATGGTTTTCTACATGCAGTATCTTGAGGTTCTTTTCAGGATAAATGACCCGAAACCGCTGGCGGCGTATGAGTTTGAGATTAACATTGATGCTCCGGATCATTTCTCAGTGGCGTGTCTCAATGGGTTCCTGACGCCGGATATTGGATACACGGTCCAGGAGATTTCATTCTGGATACCGGCGCTTACGTTTATCCTAGTCGTTTTGGCAGCTGTGGGGAAAGAATGGTATAATCTAGTGCATCCATTACGAGAAGATGATGAGTCCGGGCAGGAGAGGAGTATAAGTCGGTCTCATCTCACGCGCATCGCCGATTGTCTCGCATATATCCAATTTATCTTTTTTTCCAGCGCGCTCAGCCTTCGACAGCCTGGATTTCTGCAACCGGTGGTTAGTTCGACGAGTTGGTCTACGCTCATGACTCGGCGGGGTATAGTTTGGAGGCATTCGCTGTATTATGGTATTCGCGACGGGATCCATGAGATCAACGGCACCTTTGGCGGGACTTCAGGGCTGGAGCACATGACTCAGGTGATGGGGGCTCCAGTAACGCAGGAAACTTGGACTAACATTGCGACGCTGGCGGTTGTCATTCTCGCGCTGCTGTACGCGGTAATTCAGGCAGGGCTTCATTTAAGATGGACGCGCGATTGGTTTCAGCAATCAGGGAGATGGATGATTGACAGGTCTTCGAAACCGCACAAGGCTACGATCTGGGTCGCTTTACGAGTGTACCTGAGTTATCTACTTCTCCCGCTCACGGCCTGGACGACATATCAACTCGACAGCGTCAGCGCACGTCCCGTTTACTACACCATCCTCGTCATCTTGGTAGTTGCTCTGTTGATCATTGGGTGCTGGTGGGGAATGTTGAGGAGTCCTCAAGACATGGGTTATTTACTGGTCGACAATCTTCACAAGCAGACGCCGGAGGAGCCTTCACGAACGCAGGACTATTACAGCTATGTCACGTTCATTCTTCTTTTTGCTCGGGGCGTTATCATCGGCGGATTACAGCGTTTTGGGACTGTGCAATTATTTTCGCTCATGGCCTGTGAAGTCATCCAGTTGGGCTTTCTCGCTTGGGCCGGCGCGACATTTGAGTTGCTTTCAAAGCCGGTTTTGATCGCTGGTGCACGACTCTCAGCGCTTCTTCTCTGTCTCGGAATGATCCCTGATTTGTGGACTCATATTGCTGCGAGTGCGCTTGGTTATGTTTTGCTAGCATTCCATGCTCTGTTCTTGGTAGGAATGTTTCTTGTCCCCTCAGCCTACGAGTCTACCCGTCTCGGCATTACTTGTTACACCGAATGGCAGACTCCTCAACAGCCTGCTCGTGGTTCTTCACTCGAGCGACCCCAGGTATGTCACCGCCACCTTTACGGACTAATACAAACCACTAACCCTTCCAGGTTTACGGCTTGCGTCAACTCTCAAGACGCCCAACAACAAGAACAGACCTAACAAACCAAAGCATTATGGATCACGACAGAAGCAGCAGTCTATCAAGCTCAGCAAACTCCTCCTCAGACTCCGCCAACAGATCTTCCCGCGGTTCAGAACCCGTATCACCCGAACTTCTCCGGACATACTTCCGCTCTCCCCGGCCTGAGAGATCTGTCTCAAGCCTCTCTCAATTTGACTCACCACGGCCCGAGCGCTGTGCATCACGGTCTTCACCGCGCCATCAGCAATTTCCGTCATTTGACACCACACGCCCACCGACAGTTTACGAAAACCCTGCCGAGAGGAATTCCGTTGGGTCGAGTTTGAGTACGGATAGTGGAGATATTGGAGATCAGCCTTCTGCGTGGTCGGCGATATTACCGTCGAATACGAATGTCGATTATTCGTTCAGGGAAACGGATTTGTATTATGTTAGGCCGAGGGAGGTGACATTTGGAAACTCTGGTGAGGCTGATGATGGCGGGGGACAGGCGTCAGGATGGGCGGGAAAACTGAGGTTTTGGTCATGATAATTTATGTAATACTTTTTCTTTGTCTCGGTTGGGAAAAAGGGCAATGGGAGCGACTGAGATTCGGGAATAATAAGATAATGAACACTGATTCACATATTAACTTGGAGCCGTGAACATTTGCGCTACAACGAGGTGAATCTGGGACCCATGTCAGCATGACCAACTGCATCAAATCGACGAGGTCAAAGTGATTACAGTGACTATATGAGACACATAACTTGTACGGGCTGCGAAGAGTTGACACAACGAATCACCACACATTATGGCTATAAATGAGAGGAAGCATTCTCATAGACTGGGACAACAAACCATTGCGCCAGCCATAAAATAAGCAACCAACGCGACGATCCCAAAACAGAAAGCCAAGAAGCATAAATGGCGACAATACTCTACGAACTTACCGAAGAAACTGAATTCTGGGAATGTCGGCAGACAAAAGGTGACGGCAAGACGTGCTTCAAGATTAATGAAAAGGAGCATAAAGTATGCAGGGAGTGCAAGGCGAGGAGGGACAAGGGAGATAAGGCTATTGATAAAGGTGGCCATGAGATTGGGGAACTGAAGAAGGTCGAACAGGGGCAGGAGTTCTGGGAGTTCAAGAACTCAAGGTGATCGGGTTTGAGTAAAGTGAATCAATCATTCAGCGAGAGTTTCTCATTCAGAACATCTTTATTGCGCTGTACTTAGTACATCTGGCCTTGTGACTGTGAATGTTGAGAGGGAAATGCAGCTGATATGTGATGTATGCTGAAATAGTTCACTGCGCGTAGGGGAAAATTTAGCTGAATCAGCTCAACGGGACAATATTTCTGACAGTGACTTGAGACTTAAAGACCTTGGAGCATGGATACAAAAGTGGTGGTATCTTCTACAAAGAGAGGAGGAAAGCAAACAAACCGCACTTGCAACTGAAACTACAACACCAAATCCACATTAAAGCACCAAATTCCCACAATGACGGAGACATACGACAGACCTCCCAAGACGATGCTGTTCTGGCAGTGCAAGCAGCGGAAAGATAAGAAAGAATGCGATTACTTTGATCATAAGGGAAATATGAACTGCCACGAATGCAAGTCTAAGCGGGATAAGGGAAATATCGTCCTCAATACACTCAATAAAATAGTTGGTATTTTGGTCAAGGTTGAAGGGACGGTGGAGCATTGGGAGCACTTTGAGCCGAAGGGTACAGTTTAAGAGAGGGGGACTGGAGCGTGACCGGATGGGGTAGCAAGGCAGCAGTCGTCAGGAACTGGGGAGACCAATAATAAAGTGTCAGGGAGACACAGGAACTTAGGGACTTACTCCTAGGTGATCAAAATTCACTCTCAAACTCGATACTTTTCCCTGTTCCTTGCAAATACCGTCTAGTTTGGTTCTCAAGTGAAAAGGGAGCTATGAACTTGACCTCAATTTCCAGCAATATGCAACACCTTTGACTTCACTAGGATGCTCTTTGTGAGACATTCTGCAAATAAACGCACATAGGCAATATCCCCATTGCCCTCACTCATATCTTGCTTTGGGCTGAGAAGCTAGATACTCTGATGACTGACTCCAAAGGCATATAACATCGGTGTGATATCTCAGTGACAAGGGCGACATAGCCTTCAAAGGACAAATGAGGGTTATCTGCAAGCTGAAGAAGGTGGAAGGGATAGTCGAGTATTGGGAATACATTGACGTGGATGTCTGAGCTTGGTTGGGCGGAATGAGGCTGGTGTTGGCTACAGGGTAGTCCATGAGAGTTGAGCAGGGAAGACTGATGAAGATACAGGAACAATGCCACTCTTATTCATGTTGCTGGTTCGTCATAATTCGTGAATCGCCAAAATTTTGCAGTAACTTGTATTCTCTCTAATCACTGGCCTGAGTCATCCAGCATCACTTCACAGTGAGGCGCACAACCCAGTGTGAGTGACAATCTCAATACGGCAGTGAGATTCAGCAAAGAAACGCGAAGGTAATTGATCTAATTCCTATTTATACCGTAGGTCCGAACCTTAAACTCTCTACTACAGCAAGCAATAACTCGTCGCCCCAAGATACCCACTACAGCAAACGATAAGCCTTCACCCACGAAACACCATTTACAATGCCTATGATCACCAAGATCCGAGAAGACACAGAAGTCTGGAAGTGTATGCGAAAAAGGCCCGGTGGGACAATCTGCCCTGGTGCAACTGAGCCAGCACAAATGATGTGTGAAAAATGCAGAGAGAAGAGGGACGTGGGAGCAGTGGCAAATAACGAAGATGGCAAGAAGATTGGAGAGCTGAAGATGGTTGAAGCTACCGGGATTGAGCATTGGGAATTCAATGACAATTAGGCTTAATTGATAAGAGTCAACAGGTTCTTAAGGCTTCATGGCTTGAACACTGACAGATATTCGTCACCATGACTTTAAAGCTTGCTCTATCTCCCACTTCGTACCGCTCCACCTATCACACTGTTTGCCAGCAATATAATGAATTGTTGGAGTGTCTTGCATCAAACTGCCTCACACTACTTAACCTCCAACCTCAACGCATCGTACTGCACATAAAGCGTATCCGGCAATAGCGCCGTCTCAACACTAGAAGCGTTGAACGGCAAACTCAACACAAACTCATTCCTTCCCACTCTCAAATTCTCAACCGGAAACTCAAACTTATGCTCTACATTCTGACATGCTACCGCACTACGAACAGCACACGAGCCGCTCCGCCAGTATGGAATAACCCAAGTATCTTCATACCCGCCATTGACATTGACGGTCCAGGGTAGGTTACTGTTGAAACGATCGTTGACGGGCGTCCACTTGGCGTTGCCGTTGCCGGTACGTACGCCGGCGAGTTGGACTGTGAAGGTAGCGGTTTTGACGTTATTGAGTTGATGTTTTGTTAGGTCAAATGTGATGGTCCAGTTGTTGACGTTATCGTAGTAGTTCTCTGACCGGAGATGGTTTCCTTTCGCAGCGATGAAGGACCAGTGGACGTAATTTAAGTCTTCCGCTTCTGTATCCTTTCCGACGTGGAACTTAACGCCCTTGGGGAAATCGTCAACGAAATCGTACTTGGCCCAGTAAATTCGGTACTGCTCGGGCTGAAGAGGCTTTGACGTGTCGGGGGCGTATCCGTGAAGATACTCGCCAGATGACTTGTCAGGTGTACCGATACGCCAGAGCTCTTTGCCAGCGTTCTCCTCTTTCCAAGTGAAACTACCCTTGTTGTAGGATTTGGAAATGCGAATGTCATCTTTGATGTACCATCCAAAGACTTCCTCAGCGTAGATGGTGACTCTGTACACTCCGTCCACAACCTGAGGAATGCTGAAGCCACCAGACGCATCAATCTCAGCCCAATACTGAAGCGACTTTGTGTCGAAGACATTGAGCTGGAAGTCCTGCTTGTTCTCTGAAAGCACAATGATTGGCTTCTTCGCACCTTTGGGAAGCTTCACTTTACCACTGTAGGTAGTTCGCTTCGCTGACGGGGTATAATTGGGAACATGTTGGGCAATGCTGTCATAGAACTTTACATTCCACTCTGGATCCGCATACTTGGCGGCATCAGCTCGAAGATCGGCAATTGTTGCGTCTTTATCGCCTTTGTTGAAGTAGTAAAACTGAGGACCCCAGGTGCGGTCAAAGCCATGAGTGATGTTTGGCATCGGTGCGCCGTGATGTCCAGATACGATGTAATTATATACAATTCCATCAACGACGAGATCAGAGTGCAACGGGCCGCCGTAGTATGTCTCTCGCGTGTTGTGAACAAGCCATGCACCGAACGTACTTCCATCAGCGCTGGTAGAGCCATCGCTGAACTGGCCGTGGACATCGTGGTTACGCCAGCTCTCCGAAAGAGTGTACTTTGTCCAGTAGTCGGAGTATTGCTTAACGTACGGGTCATCGGTTTTGTTGCCGACATACCAAGTTGCATCTTGGACTGTCAGAGCACCAGAGGCATCCGGCAAAGGGCCATAGTTCCCCTCGCTGGTAGAGAAATGTGTCCAAAGCTTTGTGTTGGGCCTGAACAGCGTACGCAATTCACCGAGATCTCGCAAGAATGGCTTCGACGCGTTGAAGTATGTAAGACGAGTAAAGGCATGCAGACCTGTTTCTTCACCTCTAAGGAAGAAGTACTGCGAAAGAGTCTGATTGGTCGGCTTGTAGGTGTCGCTCATGATAATTCCGCCATACTCTGTTCCAGTAGAATCAGTGCCTTTGACAAGGCGGAGATCTGCGGTGCTACCTGGTGTCCAGAACCCGGTTGGGATACAAGAGCAGTCAACATAGGGACCCTTGCCGCTATTTCCACTCAGCGGTCCGAGAAGATCTTGACCATCGAGAGTAGCATCGATGATGTGTCCACTAGATTTAGCGAGGACAACTGCAAAACGTTTGTTGGAGAGGGAGATGTGGGTAGAGTTCTCAGCAGTGGTCAATTCGGCTAAAGCATGGCCTATTAGCCCAGCGACCAAAGCCAACGAGAAGAACATCATGATGATTGTGCTTCTGATTGTTGATGTCCACTTAAAACGAGACTTCACAGAGTTTAAATGTAGACATCATCACTCGGCTCAATTATACCGAAGACTTCGGTAGTAAATGCACCGGGGAGAAGATCTCATCGTTTGTATGGATGGGATAATTCAGCCGCGTGAGTCCCACCACTGAGCCGCAGACGGCGCGGGGAAGACAGGGGGCAGATGTGACGATGTCCTTGACCGCGACAGGCTAAGATCTGCGTGGGCAAGCCTATTCAGGCAGTTCAAAATTTCTTCCGGAGCAGCATGTGCAGTTCATTATGAAATGCCGTAGCCGACAGTCTGACCGCAAATCCCCTCCTGGCTTGGGTCAGGACTGCAAGCGGTTATGTTGTCGTGGTTGAGATTTTGGTGTAACCGACGTTGAACCGAAACGTAGTGACGATGGAATACGCTAACTGAGGGAGTCTTACATTGGCGGCCGGCATGACTCATCAGACTAACTACTTCTATAGAGTCTTGAACCCGTTTTTCTAATTCTTTGATATACCAGTAACTCACCGAAAGCCGAGCCTCCTGTCACGACAAACCATGGAACCACCTGCTGATATGAAAGATCGCCTTCGTGCATCATACAACGCCATCGCACCAGCGTACAACACCTGGACAGTACGTCACAACGAACTTCGTATCAAATACCTCGATAAACTTATCAGTTCTTGCCCAGAACTAGTATCCACTGGTGAGACGGCGAAGAAGCAAGTTCTTGAGCTTGGATGCGGATCTGGAAGTCCCTTCATCTCAACTCTGCTCGCGCGAGCACCGTCAATCCACGTGCACGCCAACGACCTGTCTGATGTTCAACTAGATCTTGCTCGACACAACCTAGCTAAATACCAAGATCGTGTTGAGTTTCATCCAGGCGACATGATGAAACTAGACTTTGCGCCTGGTTCCCTCACAGCAGTCATAGCGCTGTACAGCATTATTCACTTGCCACAAGAAGAACAGAGAGAGATGATACAACGAATTGGCAGATGGCTTGCACCAGGCGGTATCTTTTTGTCCACCTTTGGGACTGATGAGGCGTCAGTCATCATCGATGAGAAGTGGATAGACGACAAGGGCTGGATGTTTTGGAGTGCGCTTGGGAAGGAAGCGGTTATCAAGGCGTTGACTCAGGAAGCTGGATTGGAAGTTCAGCATGCGGTTTTGGAAGAAGATGCTGATGAGAGGTTCATGTGGATTATTTCGAAGAAAGGTGACGCGTAGAATCTTATGCGGAGGCGGATCCTGTATTGCAAGCACACAAATGCTCTTTAATCTACATCTTGTCCCTAGCTCCTGAGTCTCAGCTCTTCTATTCTCCCTGAATTTGTTTCTGTTTTGCCAGTTCTGCCTTGTGTATTGCTAGAAATCTCGTTGATCTTTGAGGTCCTGCCTCTCCGACTTGTGCAGGTATTTCTCCTTTCGAGGCCTAAGATAGAGATCTCTGTCATCTGGACATGTTTTTCGAATTCCTTGATCGTATCGACACGAAAGAAGGTCAAAAGCTTCGCCTTCTTCATATTATCGGGCATTTCCATCAGCAGTTGGAATTTCTTATCAGAGTCCTCCCTATTCACATCCAGAGGCAGCAAAACGCGAAGCTTTTGGTCGTCATCCATAAATTCTACCTCGTACTTCGCCATGTACTTCTGAATCGACATTTTTAGCAAAGCCGTTGCGCCTGGAAACATACGGACTTCTCTCTTTCTAACGTAATAGAAATTTCTAGACATTTCATTCATTTGTTCTTGTTCTGAACACGGCCCAGAGGGTTCTTGGGAAATCGGAGTTGCCATGTTGAGCTTGTTGGGAGAGTGCCTAGCTGCGTTTCGTGCGGTGAAATGTAAAGAGGTGGTTGAGCGAGTCGCACAATGAGTGCTGGCAATGGTTATATAACTAGACGGATGTATGGACGGTCTGTGACGAAGAAGTTGGCAGTGATACCCGATTAGGCCGTCGGTGAACATGCACCTGTTCGCCACCCCTCGTGCCATTCATCATTTCCCTCGTCTTGGTACTTTGGCTTCTTCCTCTTGATAGTGCTCTTCCACCTCTCGTGCAAAGCGATCTTCTTTTTCTCGATGTCTCGCATCGTCCTTCACCCAGTATCGAGGCATTTCCTTTGCTATCGCGTTTTCAAGCTGCTTTCTAATTGCTTTCTGAGCGCTCACATCCTTGTGATAGTAATCGTCCTTGGGCAGTATAATATGCAAAGTCTCTTTCACGTTGTCGAAGTTGACTTCATATTTGCCCTTGTACTTCGAAGTGAATTGAAACAATGATGGATAATAGCCGTTTGTCCTTTTTATATAGTAATAGTGTCTGAAGTCTTCATTCCATCTGTCAGACCATTCGCGGAATTTCTTGGCATTCATTGCACCCATGGTTATGGTAGACGTTCGTTCTCGATGTGTTGTTGTGGTTTAGTCGTTGATTGAGCTGGAGTTCAACACTAAGGCCACTCTTTTATACCATCTAACGCGCAACGGAAGGTTCTCTGTGATACAGTCGATTCTCAGACATTGATGTGAATACCAGAAGGTATGCGAACAATCACATACATACAGGAGCTATCATCACTGCTGCAAATCTCTGGGCTTTCAGAGGCGTGATTGACGGGGAAGAGATGTTGTGGCTGATTTGTGGCTTCAAATCAACCAATTCCGTGTAAGGGGTCATGTTATTGATGGCCTTCCAGAGACTGAGACCCCTGAGCAGAAATGTCTAGATCTCAAGTTGAATACTTCACAAGAGGGTAGAGGGACAATTATGGGTTATTTGACAACTAAGAGTAAATGCAAATAATGGGAATTCAATTCAGTTGATCTTTAGTACGGAGAAAAGAGTCATCGCTGCGATCACCATTAGGGCTCATTGAGGTCAACCATAGTTACCCATCACATTCGCGAACTACATTTTGAGGTAAAGTGGTCCCCCCCCCTCCCCCTCTCACCGCAAAGGTAAAAGCACAATTCAAGAGATCATCTTAATGAATTCACTGTTTCTGAGAGCATTGTTATTTGAGTAGCTTGACTACTTGATCTTATCCACCCTTGGATCGACTTTGCACGGATCGTCAGTATGGAACTGCGTCACATACTCCCAGTACTGATCCATTCCTTCATCTTTCATCAAAGCTCCAAGGTTTGCAAGTGTCTCTTCTGGACTCTTGTCACCTAGTGGCACCGTTAATCGCAGCTTGTTATCCCATTGGCTGCTCCAGTATATCTTATGCTGTATAGTGAACTTGTTAAGTTTCTCCTCTGGGTTGGTTGTGACTATGCCGACGAGTTTCTGCGTTATGCTTAGTTTCTTTTCCCTTTTGCGCCATATTGTGTGAGTATACGTAGGCCCGGTGATGGAAGTTGGTTGAGACATGGTTTCTTGGAGTTGTGTAGGGATGGTTTGATGGGTAGGGAGAGGGCGATAGCAGTCAATTATATATGCCAAGATCGCAGACATTGACTGTGATGGGGGTATTCTCTTCACTGCTGCTGAACATTGATGTTGCCCAAGGACACCGTACCTTGTGCACACATCAAAGGATAACCACGAGTATTCAATCGCTGTTCAGACTCTTGGCGCAGAACGCTCTGATCTACACAAAAGCTCTCTCGATCTTTCGCAAAAGCGCCTTCTTCTCATTTTTCACTACGGTTTACGCCTCAAATGACATACAGATGATGTGAGTTCAATTTAAAGTTGCCCCTAAAACTACCTCTTGAGTGATCATTGGTGCTCAGCGGAGCCAATCAAGATCACCGGCCCTGGACGTGAAATGCGATTACAGAATGTTCACGTCGACTAACCGGTTCCCTTCCCCCACCGTCAATTGTGCAGAGAAAACAACAAGTTAAGACAAACTCATAGTAAACAATGTCAGGAACCGCTTCTGAGACCTCCCACGTCAAACCAAGTGGACTAGTCCATGATATGCACCACTGGATCGAACTCATCCGGATCGTCAGTAAGCACATACGTGACAAATTCCCAGTCCTTGTCCAGTCCCCAATTTCCATCAGGATAGCCAGATCTGCAATTGTCTTGTGCGGGGTCTTCATGTACAATGGTATAGTCAATCGTAGCCCATCATCCCAGGAGCGCCAATGGTAAAGCTTATATTCCTCGACGAAATCGCGAAGCTTGTCTTCTGCCGAGGGGATAAACAGAGTGAGCAGTCTCTGCATTTTGCTCACGGGCCTTCGGTCCCATATCGTGTGGATATGCATGGGTCTTGTAGCGGAAACTCGTTGGGACATGGTCGCTAAGAATTGTGTCGGGATGTTTTGGTGGGTGAGCTAGATGTGTTATTTGCAGTGGAGACGAGCTTAAAAAAACAGAGAGAACTTAGAAGCATTGAAATCCGGGAGGTTCAGCTTTATATGGCAAAGTCACTGGCATCATCTGTGATGAGGACGCTCTTGACGCAGCGGATGACAAATTACAAGCGAATCGCCCTTATCCATTCATAAAATGATGATGGTAGCTCTTCTAGCACTGTTCAGCTCAGTGCAGAGTGCTCTAATTTGCCTTGAATCTCCTTTGCATTTTCACAATCGTGTTCTCGCAGCTTTTCGCAAAATGGCTCCTTTCGGATTCTTACACCCGTACAACGAGTTAACACAAGTGTATTATGGGGACTGCAATAATATATACCACGAGTTAGTGACTGTTTGTATTGCGGGGACTGTCAAGATCTAATGTTCGGTCGGATTGCCATTGCGAAGAGTTCCTCCCATTGCGTTGTTGTACCTGAAGCCATTCGCATAACCCAAGAAAGCCCCGGGATATCATCCAAAGGCTGTCTCAGTTGATGAATGTTCAATTCTTCTTTCCAACTCGCCTCCTGGCCGTCAAGTCTCCTCACTTCTGTAGGTCCACAATGTCAACCTTGACATGATCCGGTGAGCAACACAGTCACAGAGAGCCTCCGCTGCCAATATTTCTTCAGCCCTCTCTTCTTCATCGCCTTGAACACATCTTCAATCGTATCTTCCACGCTGTTGCTTTCCAAAAAAGCCCGAGTGATCCGTAGGAACTGCTTCTCTTCATCCAGAAACTTGGCTTGGTAATGTCCTTGTGACTTTGCAACGAAGCGGTCGAGTTTTTCATCTTTGGGTGGACGGCTTGGATCTCGGCGAAAGAAATTGTGTACGTACTGAATCGCCATCGTGAACGGTGAGATTAACTGGTCCTGGCAAGTGCCGTTGGTAATGATTGCGATGGGTCGGACGAGGAGCGTGCTCTCGACTTTGCGATGCACGAAGATGGAGGCTTCTGGTGGTGAAGAGCATGTTGTCGACGGCCACTTGGACAATGATACTATGCGCTCGAGATGGTGTTGGAATCACTAAGACACGGGGACAGTGACACTCAGACTGCCTTGTAGACTCACAGACAAAGCTGGTTCCATGTAGACATTTCTTTTCAGTGGAGTCATTCACTAAAGGGAGTATGCACTTCAATCAGAGAGCGAAGGTGTCCCGGAAGCATGATTGCGTGACATTGTGCATCAGCGATTAACTAATTCTTTGCGCATCAATCGATACCGAAAGATTGCTCAGGGCAACGCGTTTCTGACTCATTCAATTGACAAAAGATACAGTCAAGTCTAGCATTTTCGGACTGAGAGGGTGAAATGGGCGTTGGAGACAACTTGACGTGCGGACTTGGAGACAGCCACTTGTTCACTATAGAATGTCTCAGAATGGCAAACAATTAATTGAAACAGCAGTCAGTGAAGATATGCGCCGTTCTATCTAAAGTCTAGCTAATAATACTCATTTCGCATCCTTAATGATGAGTTCGGCAGCAATCTCAGCGATGCCATAAACAGCAGTCTGAATATGCGCCGAGATCAACAAAGGAATAACACTAGCATCAACAACACGAAGATTCTCAGTGCCATAAACCTTGAGCTTAGCATCAACAACACCGCCATCTGCCTTGGGGAGCATAGCGCAAGTGCCGCTAGGATGGAAAATGCTCAGCGTCGTTCTCAAAACATAATCCTTGATCTGCGCATCAGTCTTCACATCCAGACCAGGCTCGTACTCATCCTCCCAGATTGAACGCATTGGCTCCGTGTTTGCAATCTTTCGGTTGTACTTGACTGTTTGGAGGACAGCTTCGACATCGTGAGAGTTGCTGAGGTAGTTGGGGTTGATGGTGGGTTTGCCGGCTGGGTCGGAGGGGTTGATGTGAACGCTGCCGCGGCTGAGAGGGTGCATGACTACACCGATGAGCGTGACGAAGCCCTTGCCAAAGAGGGGAGACGTGGCGGCGGGATAACCCTTGACTCCGGTGTACCCGTCAGAGAAAATGACCTCGACCTGAGGAACAGTGGAATCTTTGAGGAAGTCCAACTTCTTCTTGTCAACCTTGCTAGCATCCTTACCAGCAGCATCTTTAGCAAGCGACACCAGGTTTGCATCATTACCAAGGGCTTGCTTCCATGTTGAGAAAGTGTATGCGCTTCCGGTGTAATCGTACAGAGAGCGCTTACCAGCGTTCCAGAGAGCAAGCTGCTCAGCGGCAAAGGTAGCGTTGCTTCGAAGGGCGTCGAAGGAGAGGAACTCGGGCTTGAGCTGGTATGAAGTCATAACGCGGAGATGATCCTGAAGATTCTCGCCGACGTCGGGAAGATCGACGATCTGCTTGATACCAGCGGCGGAAAGAACGGATTTACTTCCAATGCCGGACTGCTCGAGGAGACCAGGGCTCTGGATGGAACCAGCAGAGAGGATGACTTCCCGACGGGCTTTGACGTAGGTCCCGTCCTGGAGAGTCACGCCAGTAGCGATGGCCTTCTTCTTCGCAGCAGGGCCAGAGACGTTGATCTTGGCGACGACGGTGTCGGCAAGAATCTCAAGGTTTGAACCCGAGATTTCCGTGTAGGCATTGGCGCTGTAAGAGCGGTTGTAGTTTGAGGGATCAATGCTGCTGGGCTGGTACATGACACCAAGAGGATTACCACCCAGCGACTCGAGATTCTTACGAACTCCGAGCTTGTTGAGAGTAGGGATCCATGACTCTTGATGCTTGGGGATGATGCGATTGACGACAGCCTTGACGGGGCCGCTGTCGCCAACGCCCTTCGAACCGTATGTCGCAGTGTTCTTGCCTGTAAATGTCTCAGACTTCATCATCGCCTTGATCATCGTCTTCCAATTCCAACCCGGGTTACCTAGAGCTTCCCAGGCATCGTACTCAGCAACCGCAGCACGATCGTAGGTCATGAGATTGAGAGCCGAGCTCCCTCCCAAGACCTTGCCCCGATTGATCGGCCAAACTCTGTTATTCGCACCCGCTTGAGGAACAGTCGTAAAGTTCCAGTCATACTTGGTACCAAGGGTCGAGCCCTTCATACCGGGGATGTTGATCTTTGGTTCATCGTCTACAGCGGGACCGGCTTCGATGAGGAGAATGTTGGCGTATGGGAGGCCTTCGCTGAGACGAGCAGCGACTGCGACACCAGCTGTGCCACCTCCGACGACGATCTGTTAAGAAGGTTCAAGATTAGCCGAGAGATCCGAGGAATAGCTTGATTTAAGATGAAGAATGCGACATGTCATTAGAGTTAAAACGAGATAATTGGTAGACTGAGACAAATGCCGTTTGGATTGGAGACAGAATTGACTCACATAATCGTAGGTGTCCTTTGACGGAGCCGCTACTGCAGCTGCAGCAAGGCTAAACCACAAATGCAACTTGACAAGCATGGTTCAAAAAGTAACAGATATTACGTCCAATGCACGGTAATCGCCACAAAGCTGCAGAACACAGACAAAAGAAGAAAAAGAGGAACGGAGCGGAAGGAAAACCCTTTATTGAGTCGCCCGCTCATGCATCAGCCCCTGCAGAACAAGGTAGTATTTAACTGTAAATTTAATTGACAAGCGGAAGACTGATCCGTGACAGGGAGCGGAGCGAGGCCTGTTTAGGGCGACCAATACGTCCTTGGCGGGCGATGAAACCCCGCCAATGCACAATAAGGTTTTGCTTAGACCAGGGACTCAGGGTCCTTCGCTTAGAGAGAACGAATAGGATGGGAGACGTGATTATAGAGACCTGAATAATGCCATGGTCTGATGCGCGGGCACGAGAAACCGCGTATAAACCCCAACGGTCAACGGGGCAGAATGACTCGAACAGTGGAAAGTTCGTGATCAATACAGTAGGTGGCAGAATCCGATGCTACCTTTAATAGAATTAAAGTTTCGGCAGCAGCTGCGCCGTGTGAGACGTCAGATCCGACAACCCTCCCCTGTCCCGTCGACAAATGCCGCGCAGACCATACATAAACAAAATCTCACGCTACCAATTACTACCATTTCATGCACTCCCCCTTCCTTTCCCCCTCTTTTTTTTTGTACTCAGATCCTTTCGTCATATCGCTGATCATGGCATCCGTGCAACCACCGAACCCATTACCGCCCGATCAAAACGTCGGTCCAATCCTCCTAGGCATATCGGGCACCTGTCTCGCCCTGGTGATCATCACCACTAGCGTTCGGATCTGGGTACGCACAGCCCTACGATCGTCGGGATGGGACGACTACACCATCGTCCTCGTCACGTTGCTCGGCGTCGCGCGGTTCGGCGTGCAAGTTGGGCAGGTCAGTATTGGAAATGGAAGGCATAGATGGTTTATCGAGCCGGAAGATTACGTGCAGAATAACAAACTCGGGTGGGTAGCGCAGATTCTGCTTTTTGCGAGTATTTGTCTGCTCAAGATTTCGATATTGTTGCTGTTGTTGAGGATCAAGGATTCGAGGAGGGTGAGGTATGCGGCGTGGGGGATCATGGCGGGATTGGCTGTTACGAATTTTGGATGCATTATTATCTTGCTTTCGGAGTGCAGACCTGTCAGTGCGTATTGGACTGGTGTTGGGGAGTGTTGGAATCCACGGATTCGAATCTACTACATTTACGCTACGATTGGTATGTATTTCTGGAGTGTGAATGATACAGGCCGAGATTGGCTAACAAAATCCGCCAGCATTTTCCATTCTCACAGATTTGATATGTTCACTGCTACCAGTCTTTGTAATATGGAATACTAGCCTTCCATTGCAGACGAAGATCTCCGTTTGGGCCTTGATGAGCTTGGGCCTAGTGTAAGTTTACCCATCGGGCTTCTTCCATTATAATCGCGTGACTAACTTTCAACAGTGCCACCGGTTTCGGAATCGCCCGTGCCACTTCCCTCGGCGTCGTGACATCAGATCTAAGCTGTAAGTTCAACCCCCAAACCTCCCCCTCCAATCCCGTCCTAACAATTCCAGGGGTCTACGCCATTACAGCAATCTGGTCAAACCTCGAACTCTACCTCGGCATCGTCGGCGCCAACCTCGCTCTCAGCCGTTCAATATTCGCATACTTCTTCCGCGAGGGCGGAACGACAAAGGGGTCTTCGTACGGGGGTATGCCGCGATCGACATCGGCGTCGAGAAATCTTAGAGTTCCGAGCTCGAGCGGCTTTCGATCGGGGCAGAGTCGGATCCAGTCAAGGGATCAGGATAGTGAGATCTCGCTGGTGCAGACGACGAAGAAGCAGCCGAGTACGTGGTATACGGAGGAGGGGGTTAGTGATGAGAACTTGAGTACGGGGAAAGGGGGGAGGAGTGATGGATGAGATTTTAATGTGTAGGGAAAAGTTTATGGAATTAATTGCGTTTGAATTGGATGAATGATTATGGCTGCATATTGTTGAAGCTAGAGTGAGGATCTCGATCAACCATCTCCGCATGATTAAACTGTTCAGGACCATTTCCCAGACCGCATTCACCCACGGTCAAAGACAATCAACAGCGATATACGTAGGTAAATCTCTCAAAACACTCAATAGAGAATACTGATGAGGTTTGTAGATGAAGATTGTGCACCATGAACCATTAGGCGTCACCGTCAGAATTATCCTATGGAACGCCCCATTCCCAATGGCAATCTACAAAGTCTCCGTGTCCCTCGCAGCGGGAAATTGCTATATCTGCGAACCCTCGGAAAAGAGTACCCTTCGCCACCCTAGCCCTCGGTACGCTCGTCAAAGCAGCTAGCTTCCCCCCTGGCCTTTTCCAAGTCCTGACTGCCGACGGCTCTACGAGCTCTATGCTCTCGCACCACATCCGTGTCCAAAAAGTCTCGCTCACCGGCTCCGTGTCCATTGAAAAGAAGGACCCAGAAGTCGCAGCTACGGACCTTAAGCGGGTTAGTTCAGAGCTGGGCGGTAAGAATCCTGTTATTATGCTTGATGATTGCGATTTGAATAAGGCTGTTACTGAGACGGCGGAGAGTATTCTTCAGAATACAAGACAGGGGTGTATAGTTTGTAGTCGGGTTTATGTGCAAGAGAGTGTCTGTGATAGGTTTGTTGCGGCCTATCGAGGTGTGATGGAGGCACGGACGAAGGCGTTTGGTGATGTAGATGATCCGAACACGAGATTTGGTCCGCTTGTGGATAAGTTGCAGTACTATCAAGTAAAGAGGATAGTTAGAATCAAATGTATTGGCGGGCTGTTTCTCATCACGCCTTTTGGTGGGTGTAAAGAGTTGAGACGAGAGTGCGGTCTTTTTGGGTTGACTTCTTGGATAGAGACAAAGACTGTTATGATCAACATGACTTGGGAGGGGGGACATATTTGCTCATAAGCATATGCTGAATTTGCATCTATATTTCAATTACACTTGTAAACCAACTTTGCGGATTCTAGTTCTTGTTGCTATTCGCGCTTCATCATATTTTGTGAGACACGCTATCCGCGATAGTCCCCGAGGTGGGCACGCACGTCTTTGTGTAACTACTTTAGGTAATGAACCTGAATCCATTCAGAACCGCTCTCTGAGAATCCTTATCCAGCCTGTTCACACTCTCCTCACTAGTCTCGTCCACAGTTGCACTCAGTTCATCGAAGGCTCTGTTTGCCCGCTTAAGAGAATACCTCAACCCCATGATACACGCAAACCCCAATCCTTGGAATGCCAAGATACAAGCCCAAGATACACGAAAGTCAGGGCCATACTGGTCAAGCCAGAAGTAGTTTGCAAAGAGTGAAGCGCTGTTGGCCAAGGTGTTCGCGATACCAATTGAAGCCGCACGCTTGACTCGTGGTTGAACGATAGTCGATGACAGCCAAGGATATGTCGTGGAGTAAATCCCAAATGTTCCAGCGCTGACGAGAAAGGTCAATGCGTAGCGGGGCCATTTCTGGTCTGTAATAGCGACGAGTGCGATGGTAGCGGCGATGGCTGTGAGGCCAGAGATAGCAGCGTGGGGAGATCGCTTCTGTCGACGATCGGCATCCCATGCGAAGCTGAGAGCCCAGATGAAAGAGAAGAGGTACGGTGGTGCGGTAAGAAGAAGCACTATGGTGTTGTTTTTGAAGCCGAGTTGCTTGATCAGGGTCGGGAAGAAATGAGAGAATGAGATAGATGCGGTTGTCGACATTTGAAGACAGGCAAACAGCCAGACTCTGTAGTCACGAACAGCTGATAGCATGGCTTGTTTCATTGTGATCTCCTCTTCACCAAGGATTTCTTCACTTCCAGCATCAACAGCCAATCGACCTTGCGCGACAACTCTCTCTTCCTCAGTTAACCAGCTCGTAGTGCCTGGGTAATCGGGAAGAAGGAAGAACGCCACCACTCCAATGACGATAGTGGCAAGGCCTTCAAGGATAAAGAGCCATCGCCATGCGGCGAGGTGTCCGACGCCAGCCATGCCTGAGAGGATACCCGCGGAGATCAAACCGGCAAAGCAATTGGACAAGAGAATGCCACAGACCAGCAACGCCATTCGAATACCGAGTTCCTTTTTGGTGTACCATGTGCTCAGGTAGTATATAGCGCCAGGGAAGAATGGGGCTTCGACGACACCGAGGATGAAACGAACGATGAGAAGACCTGCTGGACTGGAGGTTGCAGATGTACAAGCACTGACACAAGCCCAGAGAATAATACAACCAGGCTATACAAATTAGTCACATCCCCAACCTCACAAAGAAACACTTACCAAGAAAATATGAGGCTGCATCTTTGCCATAATCATCGTAGATGGAAGTTGCATCATGATATAGCCAGCAGAAAAGATAGAAATGGCCGTCTGGTACGTCGCACCCTTGACATGAGTGTCTTCCTGAAGGCCATAGAGACGAGCTTGGGTGATGGAGTTGCGATCGAGGTAGTTGAAGAGATAAATAGTAACTATTAAGGGCAGAAGTCGAAGATCAATCTTTCGCACGAGCTGAGCTTCTGTTTCTTTGGAGAATTCGGGGGTGTAGGAGCGGTAGGTATCCAGGAGGGTGAGTTGTTTGGTAGGGACATTTTCGACTTCTTCACCCGTGGATTTGAGGACGGTGACGTCGTCTACTTGGGATTTAGAATTATCCATCTTATGAACGACTTGTTAGAAGAAAGAAGGGATTTAGATTGTAACGATTGTCTTAATGACCCTCTTGAGGATGTCTCTCTTTATACACCAAAATTCCCCAACTTCTTCCCCGACTCAAGACCATCGGACCCATCCCGACCCCAGATTCTCCCCACACTCACTAGCCTCTACTCCCGCGTGCCGAGTATCCGTTCGGGGTTCGATACAAGCATACGCTCCCACTTCTCCTCCGTAAGCCAATCTCTCAAAAGCTCAAGCTCCTGGTCTGTGTCTACCTCAAGCGGAGGCGTCGGGGTAAGTCCTCGGATCGCAGCGTTGCAGTGCGGCCAGTCGCTTCCCCAGAGGATTGAGTGAGGCGCGGTGTTTGCGATGGTTTTTATTATGTGCTCCATTTGGGAGATTGGGGTGCTTCGTCGGTGGAGGGCGCCGAGTTTGATGTACATGTTCGGGGAGGAGAGGAGGTTAAGAAGGGAGGTGAATTCGGGGGTGTTGATGCCGGGTGGTGTTACGGAAGCGTTATGATCGATGATGATAGGGATGTCTTTGAGGTCTAGATGGGAAGAGAGGGTTTCTGCAATTGAAGACCACGTCGCGAGGGGTAGTTGAGCTGAGATACTCCAGTTGCATCTACGCAGAGGGCAATGAGAAGCGACGTCCAGAAATTGCTGAACCACCCAAGATACATCATCTCCCGAACCACCATATGAGCCGTGAATTCTTACAGATCGAATCCCTGCGTTATGTAGCTTCTCAAACTCAAATTTCGTGAGGCTCTTCAGACCTGCATCTCCAGGATCCCAAAAGATAGTCCCAAGTACACGCTTATCGGGATACTGCTCTCGACATTGCTGCAAGTGCCCCAACAAGCCTGTATATCCATCTTCAATGGTTGCTTGCACAAGCATCACATTGTCCGCTTTTGAGTTCTCAATGAGGTCCTTCAGTACTGCTGGCTGCGGGGTATAAGCGCGCGTTGTTTTGAAAGGGAAACGTTCCGGGTCGAAGCAGTGCATATGGGAATTCCATGCATCAGGCGGTAAAACGGGGGCTGGCATTTTGATTGCGTGTGTAGTTAATAATCGTATGTCTATGCCTTTTTGCTGGAGTGAGCATGGCTTTTGAGCTATAGTGCAGATCTGGAGCGTGTCCGACGTGATCGGTGTTCATCCGGCGCTACCTCAGAGCTATCGGACAACCACCGTTCAGCATAGAAATACGCATTTTAAGGACCATTTACCCCGCAAGAATGCATAAAGCTTGCTTGCGTTAGTCGCTGGTGACTGAGCATTACTCGTTGACTTCAGAGAACGCGTGAGTCCATGTTATTGATGAACAGTGAGAGGCTAGCTTGCATGAATGCTTAGATACACCTTGAGCGGGAGATGGATCAAAATTATCATGATACTTTATAATAGCCCGATTAGTTTAAGGGATAATGTATAGATGCCTAACTTTTCCAAATCTGCTCGAGAGGCTGCTAGAGATTAGTGCATCGACCTCACGACTGGATCCAAGCAGTCTAAGGACCTTATTACCAACTGAGCGTCATCAAATGGAGAGTCACATCCATCCACTTGTTTTATAACCTCAGAAATTTCTCAGCTAAATGATTTTCAAGATAATCTCACAGAATTACCACCGCGATCTCAAAGGTAGTCTCCGAGGTTAAGCTAAAGTTTTGCCTACCCTATAGTATTGTCCTAATCGTATCTCGTACCGGATCGGGAATAAATTCGTGCTTAATAATTTAGTCCGCCGCCTTGTGTCTCATGATAGTTCTATAATGGTTTTCGGATTCTCCGTCGAGACTCCTAGTCTAGCGCAATGAGTTGAGATTTAACAACTACATTGCGCACCGTCGGCTCATGAAGGTTCTTGTAGTGTGTGGGCATATTCATGTACCTCAGCTTGTTGATTTAAGACACATTCTGCCGAATATGGCTGGCAATGACACGTTGTTTATAGATTCAGATGGTCATCATGGCAACAAAGCACTCCTCGCAAAAGTCCATGGCGACCGCTTGAGTAACGCGCCTTGACGGGTGCATCAACAAACGTCAAGTCGAGCGAGATTCTCGATCATAGCAAAAACTCAGACCTACAAGCTGCTGCTGAATACACAACCATCTATTTAAGATTGACCATCCTATATAAACAGGTTTCTTCGGACTCAGAGTGGTTTCGGATACCGGCACGGGCCGTCATAGCCGATCCCCGCAGCGGCTGAGACAGGCGAAATACGAGGTTTCTGATTACATCCAATGACGAGAAATATTGTGACCTCTGGAGTTTAAACATCAATAGCTCACCGATATTCCAAGTTTCTTAGGCCGGGTTGTGCTTAAGTATAAACCGCAGGAATTTCGGAACTCGGAACGACGATCCTTCCAGGTCATGAGGTAAGTTTGGATGAAGAGGGAATGGTTCATTATTCAAAGCGCTTTGTTCAAGTTCTAGTTCGTATAGCATGACGCGGCCGCGGGACGAAATATGGGGATAGGACTGTATCGTAAAGCAACGAATCGGTAGTTGCAAGTCCAGGTAATCTACTGTGTGATATCGAGGTATATAAGATGACAATAACATCAACAGATCATGTTGACTCCTCATTCTCAATTCACTCAGCTACATCACACACCACAATCCGAGCATCTCTATAGTTCTTAACCCGGATCTCCAAACAAGGTAAGACCTTATGACCATTACATGCGTTCCGCGACTTACTCATCCAAGGGAGTCATCATGAGATTCACCGCCGCGATCACGTACATTATGATGTCTGCAACAGTCGCTCTGGCTGTTCCGTCCGAGAAGAGGAACGCCGAGGCCGACGACCTCATCGTTAGGGGTCTTGAGTTACGTGGCACTTGCTGTACATGCCCTAATGGTCAGGCTGGGTGCGGTGGATATTGTTACAGCAACTGCCCCCAGTGTATCTGGAATTCGTGTTAGATGGGTGAAATACTAAGTTAGCTACGATAGGCTGGATCCGCAAGTGGTTAATGAGACTGGCAATTTACTTGATCCTATCATCTATGAAGAAACTACCTCGTCCGTGATTATCATGAGCTTTTTGTCTCTCCTGCGTGAAGATAAGTCAAATGGGTAGAAGAGGTCATCGCGCGTGCCATTAATTTATATATCTAAGCCACTATCTATCCATCTATTCACAAGCGCCATCTCTATCGTGAGCCAGAGTTTGGTCTAAAAACCGGCCTCATTTCTGTGAGCTCCACTCCATCATCTTTATCGATACTGCCTGTCTCCTGCTCAATCGACGTTGTGATTATGACTTTGCTACTAGATGCAGAAGACATGACGGCTGCGTTCGAGTGTACCCGCGTTGACACCCTAGTATCGATGTTTCTGGATGTAACAGTCTCTGTGACATCCTTATCGCTGGACCGAAATATGAGCTCACGCCATCGACTCAGAGAAGATTCATTGACGCCGTAGATTATCGCATCGACGAGACCTTGTGACACAATGCAGGCCTACTCTTGTTAGAGATGTCTGAAAATCTGGGCGAAATTCTGACCTTGTCGATTGTCTGCAATGCAAATGGAGCTGGAGTATGCTTGATGGTCTGATATACACGAATGGCCGTAGGCAGTGTCCAGACCAGCATATACACAACGGGATACATGATCATCAATCGTGCGATCTAACTCCTAGTTAGCACTCCGCCATAAGCTCTCAGTAATGGAAGTCACAAACCCTTTGCAGTCTTCGACGGCCAGCGGCATCGGACTCGTGATAACGCCAGACATCGTGGTTCGACCGTGTAACAGTCCGCTCTCTGGAGGGTTCTGATGTCGAGTTTGAGTTTCCGAGTGAGATGAAACTCTTGTGCGACTTTCGGAGAATGAAGTACAGACGGGCGTACATGGAGAGGATGGTGATTATGATGACCCACCGCGGGACGAAGTTGGCGAGGAGGCGGACTTTGTCGGAAGTAAACCAACACCCTAGCAAAATCAGCACAAGTCCCTTCCCAACGTCAATGAGACATACAAGCTCCAATATCACCGTATCCTGCGAGTTTCAGTCCGATACCAGCCCAAAGAAGGCTAAGTGCCCAAGGAAGACAAGAGAGCAAGATGCGCTGATCTTGGACCCATGACGATAACGATTTGTAACCTGCCAAAATGACGTAGGTGCACAGTGCAATGGTCAACACCCAGTAGTCAGTCTGTATGACAAAGACTTGGGTCATGAAGCCATTGAAACTGCAGAATGTTTGGTGTTCTGGGGCACCAATCTCGTTGCCATTGATGTTCATGGCAGTCGACGAGAGAAAGTTGAGCGCCATGAGGAAGTCGCTAGCTGCAAGTCCACTAAACGTTATCAGTATAAACAAATTGAAGCGGGAAGATTATCGGAACGAACAGAATGAGTTGATGGCGGAAGGACCGGAGACTTTTGAAGACCTGTGCATCGTAAGCCATTTGTCTCGTGAAGCAAGGAAGTGAGATGTTACACAGAAGCTAACGATAATCCAACCGGCTCCAAATATGGAAAGAATCGACACGACCAGGATAACAATGCTTTGCAGGACCATCTCTGATCGATCAGCCGGAGCGGCTAGTGCCTCACGACGATAGATATGCATTGGCGACTCCATTGTCGATGATCAGACGCCTACCGAGGCGCTACGTTTGGGGAAATCAGATGGCGCAATAGACTTTTGGCTTAAGAGGACGGACGCACAGTAAGTTTGCAAATACAGGAGCGTGAAACGCTGATCTTAAGGGTCATTGTTACAGCGGGTACCATTTCCGTTATCATTCCAACTCAGCTGTTAAGTCCAGATATCCCCGGACATGGCACGATGCACAGACATGTATCGACGTTCTAACCGCAATGTGCCAATGAACAGCTCTCCTGTCATGCTTACTCAGTATCTCTTATCACCTGTCAAGACTCTGCTCTTGACCAAAGCCGGCAGGCAGGTCAAGTACTGAAGGTCACCCAAATAGGAATCTCGAGTCATCAACCCCTTTAAACAGAAGCTTTATTGAAGATAGATGTGTTGGTGGCTTGCTTCAGCTGGTAGTTGTACCTGTTTGAGACTCAGGGGGTTTATCTTGATGAAGGAAATGGGGTTGTGCTATTGGTTGAGGCTCTGTCGGCTCCGGAGATGCAGAAATCTTGTGGCTTGCCCCCACACGGGAACTGATAAGGAACGTTGCAGGGTTTGACGACGAGGTGAGACAACAAGATTACTGTTGATCGAGTAGGTATTTATAGAGGATGAAGAGAGAAGAATCGCGATTTGGTATTTTGGATGAAGTGATGCTTGAAGATGGCAATGAGAATTAATGTTATACCTATGCAGCTTATCGAGAATGGTCATGGAGAACGAATGATGGAAGTCAGACTAAATGCATCACCAGTTTGACTCAATTGAAGACTCAATTAAAGACCAGATTGAAGAAAATAATTCTAGTAAATCTCGAATGCATGACCATGTCATATCTGTAGGGGATCTGATCAATGTCGGATCAATCGCGGCTCAATCCCGCCCTCTCTATCCCATCATTAAAAACGCGCTGCTACGCGTCCATAACGCGTTAAACCCTCATGACGTCGCAACTCCACCAGCTCCATCACGAAGCGAGAATAACCGTTGCGATCACCTAAACATCACGAATACGAATTCATCAACTGATCTCAGCCAATCTTATCAATCTCATCAGCTCATCTCTCCATCCCCAAATGTCTCAGCCGCACAAGAGTCGGTGAACACAGGCAGAACCTTGTTCCGCTCCGCTCTGCTCCCTAGCTTACCCCACAAACCGTACGTTCCCTCAGACCATTTATCAACCCGTTCCCGCACGCGAAACAACAACTCCTCCAAACACCATCATCAAAATGGCCAATCTGGGCGTTTTCGCGGGTGTTACGACCCTCGTCGTTCTCGTCCTCACCTACGGTGTACCCCTCTTTCTGAAGGAGTACTTCCCCTGGCAGAGTCTGTACAAGCAGCGCCACGGCAGACCTACCGTGACTACAAAGTCGTACAAGGGGCGAACCGCACTCATCACCGGGGCGAACGGAGCGTTTGGATCGCGAGCGGCCAAGATTTTTGCCGAGAGAGATGTTGAGACGCTTGTGCTCGTTGATGTGAGGGATTGCAGTGGTGTGAAGGAGGAGATTGAGAAAGAGTTGGGTGAGGCGGGTAAACCCGTGCCCAAGATTCTAGTCTGGCAGGCTGATTTGATGACGTTCAAGGGATGTCAGGAACTTGGGGCCAAGGCGAAGGATTTGGAGCATCTAGATCATGTTTTGATGACTGCGGGAATTCTGGCGTTTAATCGTCGTGAATCGCCTGAGGGCTGGGAAACTTGTGAGTTCAATCATCTATCTCGAACTTGGGACGATACTAATCTGTCGACAGCCATCCAAGTCAACTTCCTCTCCGGTGCACTCCTCTCTCTTCTCTTCCTCCCTCTCCTCAAGTCCTCCCCATCCAACCCCTCCCCTCCGGTTCTAACCTTCGTCACGACCTTTGGCATCTACCCCTCATCCTTCACAATGGGCGTACCCAAGAAGGGCTCTTACCTCAAGAAGCTCAGCAACAACAAGGAAGGCATGGAACAAGCTCATCAGTACGGGCGCTCCAAGGGCCTTCTTCTCTACTGGGCCCGCGAACTGGCCGCACGAGTCTCCGCCATCCGAGCTACGGAGAAACTTCCCCGCAAGGTCACCATCAACAGCGCTGATCCGGGCTCTGCATGGACACCTCTTACGAATCCTAACCAGGCGAAGCTCATCCCACGACTAATCATGAACTTTGGAGCGAGAGATCCGCAGATCTGCGCGACGGCTTTGGTCAATGGTGTTTCGGCATCGGAGGATGCTCATGGAAAGATTATGCAGGACTTTGACACTGCCGAGTAAGTGATCTGCACGATGTGATGCGTTTTAGTACTGATTGACAATTAGCTATCCTCCTTTCATGGTGAGGAAGAGTGGCCGTGCTGCTCAGGCGCGCGTTTGGGAGGAGACGAGGGAGGAGCTTGAGGCCAAGGTCCCAGAGGTCAAGGCCATCTTTGACATGCTGGACCAGTAAAGCCGCTGTAATGACCAGATGACGACAGCTTTGGGATCAGGTATTGCGTGTTGTGGCCAAGTAGTTAGGGAGGCGATGAAGTGTAGAGCATTGAAATGGCCCGATGAGGTGTTGATCCGCGGGAAAGCATTGCGCGTATCTTGGAAGGGCCAGTGGTGATTCGATGAGCTTGGGATATGGTCTCGCTAGCGCCAGTGCACCTCAAGCAAAATTGAAGGTTAAAAATTAGTCTAAACTAAATGCCGATATTTGGCGCCCGCGCAGAACGGCAATTAATTGATTGGAAGGATGATATTCACATTCATCGTCATCTCGTTCCATGCTGACGACTTGACGTGGCTGTATCTGACGCTTCACCAAGCAAATAACTGCAAGATAAGATACTATCGTTATCTAATCTATGCTACTACCGAGGAGATCAGCCCTACCGGGGCCAACCACGAAATCTTGGCATAAACCCAAATGGCGACACGCGCCAAATAAGCCTCACAAGCTTGCGAGTCATTTTCATGCGCACCGAAGAAAAACAAGTCACGCGATACAGGCATCGCATTAGGAAGCTTGAAGTGTGACCTGTGTGCTGGTAGCCAAAACACCTCAGTTGCCGAATTCCCAAGCGATGCGGTTTCGATTTGCCGGCGTTCCAGGGTAGGTAAAGTGGCCTGCACACAGCCCCAATTGACATTTTACCCGAGGTATCAAACGGGCGAGAACTAAGTTTCCTCGGCGTTGGTGAGGGGAAGCGCCATCGCGATGATTTAATCAGGCATAAATGCACGCGATAATTCTGTGATTTGTTCGGTGAGCGAAAAAAGGACAGTGGCGATGATTGGCAGGCATAATTGCGGGGAGATGAGCGACGGCAATAAAACATGTCACTGCAATTCCGCTTCACTGCTGGGTTGTTGATCACCACCTTGGTCCATAATTCATTAGAGAGCACGCCTCAACAATCTCGATGGTCAAAAACGCTCCCAACGTCTACACATGCCGAGAAACTCTAATTTTTCAATCGGCATCTACCGAGTAAACCCAATCATCATCGCATGAAAATGCAACGTCAAAGCCTCACATCCAACGCGTAAAATGTCAGGTCAATTAAGCTTTTCGACAAGAAGCTTAACCCGAGTCAAAAAAGAAACCAAGGCAGAAGCGCTGGACCCCTAAAGCTCCACCAAACTCAGGGGCTTGTTCAGTCCAGACCCCATCGTCTCGCCCACGTTTAACCAGTCTTGGCTAGATCTTCGCTGCTGGTGACGGGGTTGCAATTGGCTAATCCGTAACGAGGCATCATCCTCGAGATTGCGACTCCACCCGCTGGGTCGATATACGGTAAACGAAAATGGATCCTTACCCAACAGACTCAAGGGCGCAGCACGACACAACCCGCTACGCCGCTACGCTCCAGCCTACCAAGTGCCAACTTTGACATAGGGGCGAAGTCCACGAAACAGGAAGGCCCTGCGAAAATGGTCCCCGGGGCCTAGATCGTCGAGGCGGATGTCCGTTACACGTTAGATCGTTGGTGGGAAACGGGGGGCGCTTTTTTGTTCTGCGGCACGGGCTGGGGAGCGTTATTTATCGGGGCGACGCCCAGGTCTTTTCTTGTGTCCGCCGTCGTATTCCCCTACCTGACAGTTTTTTAAACCCAAAGGAGACCATGTTCTGTCAATAAACGTAGCAAATAAAACTGGGTGTAACAGTGTTAGGGCCGACTGCGTGGTAGTACCTACCTCACCTTCCACGCGCTCCTCTCAACAGGAACCTCCCGCCTTCTCTTCTTCTTCTTCTCTTCTTCCCTTTCCGGATACACAAGGCTCAAGATGGTTTGGTTTCAGAAGATTGGTTCGCTCATCTACTCCAAAATCGCCAACAGACGGTTCGCATTCGCTCTCACGACACTAGCTGTATGCGCCGCAAAGGGCGTCCATCTTCACAACCACCGGTCCAGCGTCGCCCCCAAGCGCATGCTCCTCTTCTTCTTCTCCTTCTTTACCCAAGACATTCTCCTCCTCCTCCTCATCCGCCTGCTTCTCAGCCACTGGGTCCCCAGCTTTCCCGGCAAGCTACGAACACTCATCACAGCGCTTGCATTCTTGTTAATAACCTATAATGTCTCTCTCAGCATTGTTTCCGTCTCTTTCTACATCGTCGCTGGATCTGAGATCCACTGGCGCAACATTGGCTTCATAGCTGACCCGTCGGCGCGGGCCATCATCTTTTCGGGGTTTACTGCATTCTTGGGCGTTTTGTGTCTTTGTGCTTGCTTTAGTGGCGTTCTTCAAACGGCGTGCTATGGGCTTTTTGGGTGGGGAGGTGATATTGTTAATTGGCCGCTCAACTTTGTTGCGCGGAAGCTTTGTTGCTGTTGTTTTGGGAGGAGGAATGCTTATGATCAGTTGTCGCAGCGGGACAACGCGCAGTGGATTGACAGTGAGAGCGGGTCGAGTCATGATGAGTACTCTGAGGATGAGTACAAGGACAGGTCAAGATCGTCATCGAAGACACCACGATATTCTGCCCGAGCACTCAAAGGCGATTCACCAGCCCGCAGATCCAGATGTACCCGGTTTCTTCGCATATTACCGTATCCCATCGTCATCATACTTCTCACAGCGCTTTTCACACTCACATTTCTACGACCCAAGGATCCGTCTCTAATTTTTCTCTCATGGACCAGCGGCCTATTACCTTTTGTCGATTTCGCCTCAACATCGCCCTTCCTCGATGATCTTCCCTCCGTTTTTGGTAAAGGCATGCAACGAAGCTGGGACGAGCGCACTGCCCTCGCTCAGCCTCCGTCTTTGAGCTGGCTCCCAAAGAATGCATTGCCACGAGGCTTTGAGGACTGGTTTGACGAGAAGCCTCACTACAACTCTGAAGCCGACCCATTGAAGATTTCGAACCTGGATGAACCTCTCCGGGAATCCCTTCGTGGCAAGTTAAAGGACATTAACATTCGTCACGTGGTTATGTTCTTTCTTGAGAGCACGAGAAATGACGTTTTTCCTATTAAGAAGGACGGATTGATCTGGAATCGATTTGCCGACACATTTCCCGACAAGAAGCTTCCGCAAGAAGTGCAAGACAAGCTGGCCAGTCTGACACCGACCGCGAATTTTATCACTGGAGATTACGACGATGGATTCGAACATGCGGAAAAGCCGAAACGGGGTGGAATTCATTTTACGAATGCGCACACAGCTGGGACGTATACTCTCAAGAGCATGACCGGCACAGTCTGCGGTATCGCTCCTTTGGTCGGCGACTTTAACCTCGAGCACAGTCACCACATTTATCAACCCTGCCTACCGCATATTTTTGAAGCCATGAACCAAGCAGAGGCACTAAGCGAAATGACCAAGACCAAGCGCGATGGACATTCAGGCACGAAATTCAAGTGGAACGACAACATGAACAAGGAGGACAAGTGGAACTCTTACTACTTCCAAGCTGCGACACTCGATTACGACAATCAGTACAATCTCATGTCTGCGATGGGATTTCCGATGAAGAACACGATTGGCAGGGAGTATCTGCGAAGCGATAGTGCGAAGCATGGACCTGTTACGCTGCCCAACATCAACGAGTTTGCATTCGAGGAGGATCCGTTGGAAGATTACATCACCGACATTTTCGAGGACGCAGCCAAGGCCAAAAGTCGTGTGTTTCTGACTCATTTGACGAGCACGAGCCATCATCGATTCCACATGCCCAAGACGGAGAAGTACACGCCTTTGGCAAAGGGTCTAGACATGATGTCTCGCTACGTCAACACAATAGGCTACGACGATCGCTGGATCCGTAAAGTCCTCGACGTTCTAGATAAGCAGGGCATTGCGAACGAGACGTTGGTTATCTTCCAGGGCGATCACGGTACTTCACTTCCAGAAAACGACTATGCTTCGCCGTATTACAACCCCAACATCGGCGTCGATCACGTCCCCTTGATTTTATCACATCCTCAACTACCCCCCTTCAACGTAGACGATGCAGTCCACTCGACACAAGTCCTCCCCACCATTCTCGACATCCTTCTCGAAACCGGCTCTCTCAGCCCCAGCAGCCACGCCGCAGCATCATCCCTCATCACCAACTACGAAGGCCAATCGCTCCTCCGACCATTACGCACACAGACCAGCGACAACAGCACGGGCCAGTGGCAGTTCACCGTGACGAACCCCGGACGCGCGATGCTCACGGTTCGCGACGCGCGGTTTCCGAATAGACATCTCGTTGTGCCGGTGATAGAGAACGTGGACTGGAGATTATCGGATCTGGAGAAGGATCCGCATGAGCATGATTCAGTGCAGGCGTTGGATTTCACGGAGTTTGTGAAGAGTGTGGAGGGGAGGTTTGGGAGGGATGTTGCGGAGTGGGCGGAGGAGGGGGCGTTTGTTACGAGGTGGTTTGTTAAGGAGAATAGCAGGCGTTGGCGTTTTGATCACCAGGGGTGATGTTATGACCACTATGGATGACTAAATCTTTTAATATTTTGCGTTGACTTTCTTCTTCAAATACTCTTTTGTTAACTGTCGTGATTGCTACAGACTTGCAAGAGTTTCTGCATCGCTCTGCTGCCATGGATGCATCCGCTCAATTGATTCAATCAACTCACGATGCTCAGAAGATCGAGGCTTGATGGCAGTTTCAAAAGCCTTCGGATGACTGACAACCTCAGACGTAAACTCAGCCTTGGGCATTTCAGCTCCCGGTTTCACTCTAATGTCAAACGCAGCAAGAGTCTGCGCCATGTTGAGGAATAGCGTCTTGTCAGCCATGGCTTGCGCCGGACAAATTCTTCGGCCAAAGCCAAAGACGAAACGACCCGGGTCTGTCTCAGCCTCCGGACCAAGAAAGCGCTCTGGTTTAAAGGCCATTGGATCGTGGTAGAGTGCGGGATCATGGCAGATTTGCCTTGCAGCCGTGTCAGTTATTGTCCGAGGATGGGGAGTGATGATGAGCTTACCAGATATTCGGAAGTATCATTGCGCCTTTTGGGATGAGGTGTCCGTTGATAACGTCGTCTTGGGAGGTTGTGTGGGGAAGACACATTGGTCCTACAGGATGCCACCGGAGAACTTCCTTCACGAGCGCATTGACGTATGGTAGGCTTTGTCTATCCAACAGCGTGGGTAATCGTCCATTTCCAATAATGTCATCGATTTCGCACTGGGCTTTCTTCTGGGCATCAGGAAATAGTGTCATGGCGAGAAAGAACGTCGTGATCGCAGACACAGTCTCGAAATAGGTCAGCTGGGTTACACCGTCTACTCGGGAGTCAACATACCGTATCAGCACCTGCAGCGTAAAGAGATGCCGCCAACCATTTATTCTCAGAAGCTTCTTGATCCGTCAAGCTTTTCTTCTGCATCAGCTGAGATAGAAACGATGTGTTATCCTTGCCGTTGGCCACTTGATGCTCCACGAAAGCTGCGGGTTCCTCAACCGAGCTCTCGAGGTTAGACCTCCACTGCTTTGCTGTAGTTTTGAAACTAGCTCCAGGGAACCAGTCGTGGATATATTTCACTATGTGAACATGTTAGAACAATCACGTATTGGACCTTTGTCACCTTACGAATCGGGATGAGGTCAACTATAAAGGCCCCAGGCTTGGCCGCGATGCCAAACTCATCTACAACCTTTCGTACCGTGCTGAGTAGAGGATCGGGCTTGAATTGCTCAGCGGTATATCCATAGACAACTTTCACGATTACGGAACCAGCTTGTCTGTAGGAAATGTCAGCACTGTCACCAGATGTCTGAACCAATGCATACTTTTGAATATGCTCGACCAAACGGTCAGGGTCTCTCAGTAAATGCAGCAGAAAATGTCCAACTTCAATCTCTTGTATAGCACCATTCGAACTGATGCTAGCTTCGGACTTGAGGCAAAGGTGAGCCTTTTTACGGTGGCTGCGGAGCTGGTCGTTGTATGGCAGGAAACTCAGGGTCTTGTCCCAGCCAACCCTGTTATTCGTGAGCAAGCAAACATCATAGTGAAGGAACAGATGTGAGCGCACATTTCACCGGCGAAAGTCATTTTTGATCTGCTAGAATGTTTGGCTGAGCGATCGTTGAGGATGGTCTGAGCCAACTTCGCATCATTGATTATGACGAGGGTTTGGCCGAAGACAGTAACTGAGCTGATTTTCCCTGACTCGTATCTCGTCAATATCTGAGGAGACAGTGGAATTAGTCAATCGTACCGTATAGGTCTTTATGTTTTGCCCAGTGATGCGCCTCGAATTGGCCAGCTCGTGGGAGATCTAGCACATTGCCGACAAGTGGAAGACCCCGGGGTCCGGGAGGAAGCCGTGTATTAAGCGATTGTTTAGTAAGGAGTTTGTTGATGCAGATATACACGAGGATTATGACACCAGCGTAGAGAATTAACGAGGCAGACTCCATGATTAAAGAACACTGAAAAATGAATATAAGTGTTAGATGAAGAAGTAAAAAGAATCATCGGGTAGTGCTCAGCTTTAAAGAGAACTGCATGTAACACAGAACCAGTCTCCTTACCGCCGTGCCACTACTGAATCAAGTGACCTACTTTACTGTGTAACACAATCAATCAGGAAGCGCATCAGTGAAAGCTAATCGCATTCCTCATGACCACAGAGTTACTACTCAGATTGAAAACAAACCATAGCAGACATGCGCCAAGTCAGCTTTGCAGACAAACATTCCCACCAACGGCGCTACCATCTGATTGTGTTACATGAAGCCCGCACTAGTGTCGTCCACCAACAAACTCGCTTATTGGAGAGCATTTAATTGGTCATTTCAGCAAGCTACGCACCACTTGCAGAAAAGTGTAGGTTTAGTCTAGAGATGAGCTGGCGTGGCTTCTATTGTTTGTCTGATTGGGAGGACATTGTCTTCGACCTGAGTGGTGGATTGGCGAAGTGGCTTGATCACTCAGTCCGTGGTAGGATGCAAGGAATTTATTTCGCTCATTCGAGGTAGTTTGCGATAGGATTTCCTTCTTGAGCCTTTCAAATATGACAGATCCGATCTGAGAGGGTGAGATGTCCATGTCACAGGACCAGTGTGCAGATTTGTTCTCAGCTGAGCAGAGAAAAGGTGAATGACACACCAATGAAGAAGTAAATACAGAGCAGTAACTGGATCCTGCGTAGCACTTGTCTACTGAAGAACTCAAAAAGAGACGTGTACTTTACGAATCCATCTAAAACTCAGGCTGTGATCGCTTCTTTAACAAAGCAGATTCCCAATGTCATGAGAACAGCAATAGATGTCAATACAACTCTGGCTCGGCCTTTTGCAAGTGCGAAGTTGTCGTATTAAGTCATAGCAATCGAGATTCTTCCTCGATCTCAATACTCGCAAAGCTTAAATTCGGCATTTTGTATCGAGTGACTTGAGGTCAGGCGGCATTAGTATGGAGATATCATCCTCCAAGGACAACCAGCGGCGCCTCTTCAGGTGGAGTCTTGGCTGCAGGTATCACTTAGATTTTTTAAAATACGCGCCAGGACGAGTTTAAGAAGGAGCACTGTAAAATAAAGGCTGAGACTGAGGTTCATGAGCTTTCCGAAACAACAGGCCCTTTCGGCAGAGGTACTCAAGCCAAAAGCCGCATCCAGGACATGACCAATACCGAGAAACCAGGTCCTCGGCTGATCAGTGCAATAAGGTTCAGAGAGCAGGTGAGGCCTTTCTTTATTTGTCGTAGGGGGCGTTTCAGGCTCAAATACGACTGCCGACTGCGACGTGAGCAGAGCCTCTGCGGAGTCTTCGGCTCACGACCCCGCTCTTAAGCCGAGTTAGTCATCGCGTCAGGCACGGCAATTGCCTTGCATCTGATGTAAGAATAAGCGATCTGACACGCAAATGAGAGAATTGATAAATAAGCCCTTGGACATTTCCCCTCAACAAGCATACTTCATCATAAAAATGATTCCAACTAAAGACCAACCCGTCCTCATCATAGGCGCTGGTATAAGCGGCTTGCTGCTTGCACAGAGTCTATCACGACATGGCATTCCCTTCCGTGTATTTGAACGCGATACGGATCTTGAAACACGTGGTGTCGGATGGGGTCTCACCCTTCTCTGGACGCTTCCCGTATTGAAAGATCTTCTGCCCGAGCATTTTTTCAGTCGCTTGCCAGAGGCTTATGTTGATCGCGAAGCTGTTACTCAGGGTCTGTCGTCGAGCTTTCCGTTCTTTGACTTGAGTACTGGAGAGCTTAAGGCGTCGGTACCTAAAGCGCCAGAAGCAGAACGTGTCCGAGTCACAAGACAGGGTCTCAGAGCTCTGCTAGCTACTGGGATTGACATTGAGGTACGTTGCACTGCTGAGTCCAGTTACCTACTGACACTTCCGGATACCAGTGGGGCAAAGGTGTTACCGGAGTCGTGTCGACGGACGACTCTGTCACTGCTTCATTCGAGGATGGCAGCTCAGCTACTGGGAGTTTACTCGTTGGATGTGACGGAAGCCATTCACGAGTGCGTCGCTCAATGTTCCCCGAGTGGAAGCTCAAAGACATTCCTGTTCGAATGTTAGGCATCAAGATGGAGCTCTCGCCCTCGCAGATCAAGCCGATTCGCGACCTTGATCCTTACTTCTTTCACAGCACAAACTCGAGGAATGACACTTTCGTATACTTTAGTGGTAAGCAATTTAATTTTGTTCTTTCTATAGATGTTGCTGACAGCCACTAGTTCTCGACGCGCCTGGCAATCATGCCGATACCGACCGCCCGTACATCGGACAACTCTGCGTCTCGTGGCCATATCGCGAAGGTTTCCTGAACAGGGTTTCCCCTATCGAGATTCCGGATTCGCAAGAGGAGAAGTATAAATTGGTCCAAGAGTTGACTTCCACTTGGGCCGAGTGCTTTCGGCCCCTTGCATCCGCAGTCTCGCTGGACAGCGAAATGAAAGGCCTCAAGATACAAGACTTGACACCTCCAAAAGACTTCCAAACAACTGGCCGAGCTGTACTTATGGGAGATGCTCTCCACGCAATGGCAATGTGTAAGACTCATCTTTCACTCTTTGAATACCTGTAGCTAACAATGAAAAGACCGGGGAGAGGGCGCAAATCATGTCATCTTCGATGTTAAAGACTTTGTGGAACGAGTTGTTCCTACTCTCAACGGCAATGGCGATCTGAGATCTACGCTGGATGAGTATGAGCGAGCGGTTATTTCACGGACGCGTCCAGCAGTACTGGCGTCGAGGCGAGCCTGTCTTGATGCACATAATTGGAAGAGGATCAGCAAGGCCAGCCCACTGTTGACAAAGCGCATGCCATACATAGAGTTTGAGGAGACCGAGGAAGTTGAAGTAACGCATAGACTATAAGAGAAGGGGTAATGCATAGGTATCTTCTTTTAAGTATCATTTCACTAAATTCTCAACAGCCGGGGCTATCTTAGTACCTGTCTTGCCCCTGATCTGATCGCGCGTAGTGTGTGATTTATAGATCTAACCTTGAGATATGAACAGCTTGTACATTCTGGCCAATTCTTTCAGCTCCTGCCAGTCAGAATGGGATCCGATATTCCTGTCTGGGGTCCAGGGTACTAAATCGCGCTATTTCATACGTCACTAAACTGACTCAAAGTTCATGGCAGGAAAATCAATACAGATCCGGGAGGGCTGTCTCTCACTCAAGCAGCTCAGAGGAATTGGCGCTGCTCACTGAAAAAGTGCATAATAACGTTGCGAACAGGTTCCAGGGCTACATTAGAGCTATGAAAAGGGGTATCCGTTTCTGCACTGTCGATGGCATGGTAGTCATACTCATGATAGCACTATAGCATCGATCATTCTGCTTAATGAAGTTATATGATCCTTGTTGCTCTATTATCAATACCTAAATACTGTACCTATTTTTATCATCCAAGAATATCTCCGTAAAGAACTGCAATACCAGCCCAGCTCTTAGCCAAATCATTCTTGTTACCGAGGACTCCTGGGAATTATCGCTCTCAATTGTATGCTGGGGTGTCGTGTGAGGCGCGTGATGTGAGCCATCAGCGGTAGGGTCTATCCACTCAAAATAACACTCTTATACAGTCGATTCGGGCAGTCTACAAGCTACCCAACACAATGGCCCCAGATTCTGGGGTGTCATTACCTTCGGACACTCAAAGTTTTCCATCAGCATCGGCCCAAACTTGGAGATACAGCTGACTAACGTGAAGTCGTAGTTACACTCCTTTTCCCAGGCAAGGTCAAAAGCGCATTCCTCCATCCCAACCTCTTTGTAGTGCGCCATCAAAGCGTCCAAGTTGTTCAGATGCCCAGGATAGAAATTCGACTCAAAGAACGATGTCTTATTGACAAGATGTTCCAGGGCGCCGGCGTGTGCTTTGAGGGATTCCTCTATCGCGCGTGAACTGTCGTCCGCCCAATCGCTGCCAGGGTCTTCTTTTAGAGCACGGTTAAGTACCAGCCGCATAGCTTCTTTGCCAAGTATCTCTCGTTGGAAGATCTCCGAACACAGATCCCCAGCATCTTCTCCGTCCAGGAGCAGGGTATAGGAGCCATCAGGCATGCCAGAATCTGGGAGATACATGGCCTCGGCTAGGCAGTTTACAACGATGGCCCACAGACCTGGAGCTGCATATCTAAGAAGAAACTCTCCAGTTGAGTCACCCTTGCAATCTTGAATTCCATCGAAGCCTCCGACTCCAAAAAAGTAGGCGCGCTCGAAAAGGTTGCTTATCATGCTAAACTGATGTCTGATCCGCAATCGTCTGTTCTCTTGGCAGAATGGGATAAGACCTATAGCATGCCCGTCTGGGTAGCCTGTGGACATGCGATCTTCGTGAATGATAATATTGCGAAGAGCCGACCTCTTGTTGATAGGCAGGGCATCGAGGAACTCTATGGCAGCTGAAACAGCAGAGAAGCGGTAGAGTAGGCGATACTGCATTCCATAACTGTTACTAGCCTTCCACGAATTTATCGAAGCCCATCCCTTGTCATCTTTGAACCTGCGTCCCATTTCATCAAGGTCGGATAATGATGGCGGGAAACGCCAGGGCTTGTAGCATCGGTCAAGGAAATTCGAGAGCCGCGCACCTCCGCTGTACTCCCAATCGACAAGGGTCTCATTGACACTGGCTGTGAATTGTTCGTCCGACGTTTCGCAAAGAAGTCGCAAGGTGAACTCGATAGCCGCTCGGTGTGCAGAATGTGCTCGGTCGTTGGAACAGATTTCTATGTAGATCTCGTTTTCTGGGGGCGTGACGTCTAGCGAATACCCCCAACTGTTCAGTGCATCTCTCCATTCATATTGAGATCCCAGTTCTGGGTTCGCGTGGTAAAGGAGTGCGTTAGAGAGATGTGTACTAAACCACGGAAACCTTTCCTTAATACGGAGGTGATTTTCTGGTGTGATAAACGGGCATAACCGAATGAGAAGTTGAAGTTGTTGCTGGAACTGGGCAGCGACTAGCCTATCGAAGCGGCATAGCCACGGGCTAAGATCCTGTTGATAGAAGGTCTTGAAGGAGATGTCATTGTACGAGAGAGGCATTTCTTTGGTCTCTTCAGCAACGAACCTGCATGTATATATGAGGGCAAGGTCGATAGGCTCGCCGTGGGTGGCAGTGAGCTTGCCAGATGCTGGACTAAAATGGTAGCCTTGCTTAGTGGTAAAGTAATATTTGTAGACCATGTGCCGCAGTTCGTGCGGAAGACAGACAAAAGATCGCGGTGCCATGGTATCAAGGGGTGCAGGCGGCGAGGGGCTTCTATTTTGGGAGGTCTCAGTAGAATCAGAGTCAGATAATCACAGCGCGGTAGTGATATGAAGTTGGACAAAATGAAATTTCTGTGTGCCTTGAGCTGGAGCATCCCAAGGAAGAGCAGCAGGCACTTATTTATATACCATTTGGCAAATCTAGCTTTTTGCCAAAAACAAGACATTAGGCAATATGTGGGGTCAGACGTGTATTGAATCTACGTAATTTATGTTCCTTATCTTGATTTGTTGGGCTCAAGTACGTAAGTTCTCTCAGCCGATTTAAGCTCCCAGCCACAAGTCTCAACTTCAAATAGCACGCCTAGCTCACAGAAGCATCTTTTAACCTTTCAACCTTGTCATAGAAATCAGGCTTGATACGCTGTGTAGCCTTGGTAGCAGCAATCAAGGTTGCGGAGTGCAGTCACTGGGCTACGCCACGCATCATCACGAACTGAGTCCTGCCAGCACAGAGCCATTGGTGCCTAACATTTGAGTTTCCCTGGTTCACGCAGCAGCCGCGCCAGGTTTCGATCCCGATTGGAACGCACTAGAATAAGACCGACAAACGGTGTGGATGACAAGGTCGAGCTTCAGATAGCAAAGGTGACCATAAGTGATTGATTCGCTGAGACGGTGAGAAACATGTAGCTACTTTCTCTTCTCCAAAATACCAAGCATCTCCAACAGTGATGGGACAAACTCTTTCGTCTCACAGCGAAACCCTTCGTGGTGTCCAGGAACTGTCATTCTAGGACACTCCAAGATCTTGGCCTGTTCCTCAATCGCTCTCGCGTAGAAGGCATCTTTACATCGGACACCTCTCATCACACCAACACTCACCCCGTGCTCTTTGATGCGAAACATATTAGGACAATACCCAATCAACGGCGCCCATTCGTATTCCCAAAAGTTCTTCTGGTTCCTTGGTTCAGGCGGTCCAGCCTTGGGAATGCCCTCAGCATCATACCCAATAAGACATTTCTCAAACTCTTTGGCAGCTGCTTCTTGGCCTTGCGTTTCGAAAAGATCTAGAAGACCGTACATCCACTCAAGAATCTGCGTTGCGTCTAGTAGAAGCATTGCAAGGCCGGCTTCGTGAGCGATCAAGTGAACGACCATTTCGGGAAAGTCATGGGCGAATTGGTATGCAAAGATACCACCAGAGCTGCTGCCGAAGAGAATAGCTTTATCGAAACCGATGGCTTTGATGACAGCGCGGATATCGCGAGCTTGTTGGGGAGGACTCAAGCGTTTGTTGACGGGGACTTGGCTTGCTGACATTTGTCGACGATCGAAAGTGGCGCAGGTGAAACGGTCTGATAGAGCGGCTATAATGTTGTTAAACTGCATTCCGTGGCCGTTTCCACCAGGGATGAAGATGATGAGAGGACCGGAGCCTTGATACCAGTAGTGAAGGTCACAGCCTTCATTGTGTACGATGCTCCTGATTGGATTGAACTCCATTGTTGACTGTTGCGTTGGACTCTGGTTGACGAGTGATAAGTGTTCTTTCTACTTACATCTTCTCAAGCAAAGCGACATGTCTTTGGCTTCTTATACACGGAGCTGTAAGTTGGGCTCGGACAATCCTGAATCCCGAAGAAAGATTGAAGGAATTAGCCTAAAGGTGAAGAGCGGCGTGAGTCAGACGTTCATCATGCGATTTATAAGCTGTCAGATCTGTTGCCAAGGCTATTTTGAATCCAAGTTCTCATAACGGCATAACATCATGATTATAGTGAAAGCCGTGTAAAAAAGTCTGGGATTGAGTCTATCATGGATAACTGAGCACACTTCACCACATCCGGCGTATGTAGCCTTAGGGGCACCATAGTCACTAAATATGGCTATTTATTCCGCTTAGCTTACTCTCGGTCATTGTCGATCCGCCCTGGTCTGCTCAGATCTCGATGCTAGTCTCTCCGGTACGTGAAGCATTACCCATGATCCTCACGGTCTTTGTGTCCCGAAGCCACTCAACAGTCAATTCACCACCTTCCTTCGACTGCTGCAAAGATCGTAACGTGTTTCCAGTGAAGTCTGGATGGTACTGCTTGAGTCGGGCAGTGGTCTCGTCGTTTGACAAGACGTGAGGGATGATGGCACGATGCGCGGAGCCAGTCTGTTGATATTAGTAATGTCCATTTCAAAGACGGAGATACTTACCGCGGCGTCCTCATGATTGTTGCCTGCGATGCAGTTGATGACTCGAGTATGGATGTGCTCTGAAGAGCCTGTCGAAACTTGAAACATGTAGATGAAACCATTCAGTGAAGCCTGCTAAGTTAGTTGTGTACTGCCAATGATAGCGATAAACTGACCAACTTAGAGGCATCAAACTTCAGAGCCTTCAAGTCAAGCTCAGGACTGAACTCAAGCAAGAAATACTGATCTTGCTCAAATACACCAACCGGCTCTCCTTGACCTTCCCACTTCGAGCCAGATGCAACTTCAAAAATACCCTTCAGTTCTCCCCACCGCTTGCCATCCTTCGACACGGAAGGAAGGTCAAGCAGTTCTGGAAACTCTATACCAACCAGCTTCGCATCCTCAAATGGACTCTGGTTGAGAGATGCAGAGGCAATACCATGAAGCCTGGTGAGATACCTCAGCGTTTGCGGTGCATTGGGAAGTGTACTGAACAGATGCTGCGACAAGGCGAGAGTGGCATGACCGCACAGCGGGGCTTCGTTGACGGGATTGAACCATCGGACGGCGTAGTGAGCTTTCGCCGACTCATTCTCCGGATCAAGAGGGAGCGCAAATGCAGTCATTGGGAGATTGATGCTCGTCGCTGTCTCTTGAAGCTTGGAAACAGGAGGGAATAGTTCGTATGGGAATGCGCCATTGTCATCCTTTGGGCTGGCCTCTGACTTTGGTAGGATAATCACGGCTGCGGGATTGCCCTGGGCCCTTGCCGACGAAAAGGCTTGGTATGTAGTTTTTGTAAGAGAAGTCATCACGATTTGCTTTTAATGATGTTCAATTGCAATTTACGGGGAGAATCTGAATGAGAGACTGGCGAGAAGTATTTATTAGATCAAGATATTATCTCAAGGGCGTAAGTGACTCATGCTGACCCCGCAAATTGACTTTTTGGAGATAGTGTCATTGCTTCTGAGTGGGTATTGGGATCATTTCATGAGCGTCCACGACGTGCAACTATCTTCTAGGTTGCTTGAACATAACCACGGTTCCAGTAGATATTTCCCTTCGTCTTAAATGGTTCATCATTACCTACAGGTCCGGCCAGCTTGATAAGCAATGGAACTGTTTTCGGCATAAGTATGTCAATCCCGACGCTAACCGACAATGTTTCGCAGCAAGTTTCCGCGATAATATTCTACATAACTCAGAAATACGCCAGTGCGAGTAGGAGCATCTATATTTGTATATACCGATCTATCTCGAGTGCCTATCATCCATAAGAAATAACGGTCAACAGTTATCCCATTGACCGAACGTTCCAGGGTCTAATCTAGGTTCTTTCGTTATCGCTCCGCTCATTTCAGCAGCTCAATGCCATTCCAGGGTCTAATACTCTGAGAGTCGGTTCTCGCGAGGTAGTTGGCAGACCGTCTTCGACCCTTAGTGCCAGTGTGATACCTCGCTCCGATACGGAGCAAAAGAGTTCAGAACGATGTCTAGAGAGATGCGCCCTGTGAGATGGGTACCCTGGAACAAGCATCAAGGCTCGGATTAGCTCTGTTGGAATGCAGAGATCATTTCAGTGAGTAACTCACATGGAGTTTGAGAGCGTCTTCGGTACCATGCATGTAGAGCGTAGAGCGTCGGCGGAAGGGCAACTACCAAGCTTACGATTGCGACAATGATCTCGGCTTTCATTTTGCGGCAGGTTTTGGAATAATGTGCAACTAGAAAAACTGAAATGTTTCCAAGAGAAGATTTCTTTTTTGAATCATAAAACTCTCGTGAACAGGCGATGGCGATCCTGGCTTTCTCGTATATTTGTAAATGGAGATAGTCTCAAGAGACGCAGCCACAGGAGGATGCGTCAAATGGTTTGCCAGCAACATTCAGATCGCAGCACAGCAGTGGGTGGTCACATTTGGTCAGGCAGCCTACTTACTGTGGGTCAGATTCTGGAGAGATCCAATTGACTTGTGTCTTGTGTTGTTACGTACTGTTCAGCCGTGAGCAGCGACCCGCAATATTATGGATTTGACGAATGAGCCCCAATTTGAAGTTACACAGCACTGACAGTTCCGTGCAGAACGCGCCCCTCTGGACTGGATTCTGGTCAGAGCCAATGAAGGGACCTAAAGCTAGGCGCTAGGCTTGGAATGAGGCTTGCCAACTTCGCAAGCCCCTCAGATTCTGGATTAGACGAATCAGAACTGATAGGGCAGAGCGTCATTGGGCACGTACAAAAGTCAGCGATGCCTGCGGTCAGCATCCTCGATTCTCAGTCTACCATTCCTCGCTAAGTCTCCGTACGATACAGTCTTCGCCAGTTCCAGCCTACTCAACACTATCGCCCTTGAATGGCCCCGATGAGTGCAACAAAATCTCAGCCAAGCGCGGCGGACTGGTTGGCGCACAAGGATTTGATTCGACATGAGTACCTCGTCAAAGGCACTAAGCTCAAAGAATTAGCAATTATGCTGAAATCTGAAGGACTACACGTCTCGTTTGTATATGTTAGCCGTGCGTTGCGAGAAAATTTCTAACTTGATAATAGAAAGGGGCAGCTTGAATGTAAGCTAAAGAACTGGAACTTTTCCAAGAACATCGACAAAGAGACATGGCAATACATTGATCGAAAGATTCGCAAGCGCAAAGATGAGGGAAAGGAAAGTGATGTCATACGGGATGGCAAGAGATTAAAAAAGGTCAAAGTCACGAAAGAGACGAATCGTCATCGAGAATCAAACATCTTTGCTCGATTCAAAACACGTTCGTAACATTTGTACTTAGTGATCAGTGCTAACCACTATAGCAGCTCCACCATCTCCAGCAAGTCTGCAGCTTTGCATTTGTACTCCGCCAGCCTTGCATATGACCTTCGAGTGGCCTTCTTCTTTGCCGTGGCTCCGTATGCGTGATACTTGGAAGGGTAAGCCATCATCAGGACTAGGCAGCCGGATTAACTTACGCTTACTGAATAGATACGATTAGCGTTACGGTATCCAACGACACAATAATTCAGCAGAATGAAGACTCGTGTCACATTGTTTCGTCATTGATGACAATCCTGGCCCCTTATGGCAAGGATGTGGAACCACCGTCTTTATCCAAGCTGATAGCAAGTGCCAGTAATGCAATGCCGGAATGGTATCCTGACGAGCACATCAGGACCGCTCAAAATCTACTCACTGGCCCGTTCTCTGAATTCAGCGCCGAATACTTCAAGGTTATGGTGTACATGGTGTCGAACGCAATGTCAATAGATTGGCCATCATCTTTTGTTGCCTATGTTATGGGAACGGGAAGGATGGGGCTCCGAGGTCATTTAAACAGGCTCCGGAACGAGAGCCCTACCATTCAATCATTTCTGGAGAAATTATTCCAATCCGAGATTTACAAGGCAACTTCACTATGTGACAAAAAAGCAGAGCCACGGGGGCTTGAAACGCTCACCTCGCTTTTGGAATTAGGACTGGATCCGGACTACCCTTGCTGCATGACTGACCATATCTTGACGATTCCATGTACTCCGATCCAGGAGGCAACCAGAAGCGGCTGTCTAGACGTTATTCAATTACTTCTCCGATTCCAAGCCCGAGTGGATCGGACACACGTCAGTGTTAAGAGCAATGCTTTTGTCAACTTGGCCTTAGATGCTCCGTGTTCTAACTCTCAAAAGTTACGTATTCTGACCGTACTGTTTGAACATGAGTTTCTCAACAAGGATGAAATGGTGCGTGCGGCTATCGAACTGCATGATGAAGAAGCAATTCTCAGTATCCTGGGTTGTGGTATTGACGTTACAAGTTATGAGTCTTCATGGTTACATAAAGAAGACCGACTTTGGTCACAATCTAGTGTGAGTTACGTTGCAAGACCGTCAGTTCTCATGATGGCAGTCCAGGCTGGTGGGAGAATTGCGAACTTGATGTTGGACCACCTTTCACTAAAGGGCCAACCATCACCTTCAGCCCTAGCAGATGCCTACATAGCCGCGGCCTATGGAGGACATCATGACATCATGCTGCGACTGGACGCTATGCATACTTCCGAAGTGGCTTGTAACAAAGAGGGCATTACACCTCTACAGGCAGTAGTGGTCGGAGGCGATCCTACTGCATGCAAACATATTCTTGAATGCCAAGGAGGCACAACAGCGTCGTTGGTTCTTGTCGCAGCCATTCTTGGAAACCTGCGAGTATTGCGATTGCTTATGGAATATGGAGGCGACCCCAATGCTCTATTCTACACCCACGACATCCAATTGTATGATTACTTCAACATCGGCCAATACCACGCTGGAGATTCGGACATCTTAAAATTGATCGACAACCGCAAATTTATTCACCGTTATGACGGACACCCGACCCCTGTCCTCTCCATTCTCATGCATTCAGTATCTGATTATGTTTTTCTGGAACTCAGTGTCCTGACACTGATAGAGAACGGAGCCACTATACCTCGTAGCGAAATGGGTACGTTTTCAAGGCTTTGCTTTCACGAATGTCTCAAAGCTGCCCTCGAGGATGGCGGCAATCCAAACGATGTGGATGAAAAGGGTGATACGATGCTCCAGTGTGCTTTGAATAATGATTTTTTCGACGGGAGAGACGACCAAGCTATGAAACGCCTTCTCACTGTCGAGCTTCTAATAAAGGCGGGAGCAAAGCTCACTGGTGGGGAAGTTGTGAGAGCCATCTATCTTCGAGAATGGTCCTTGGTCTCATTTCTTTTACAAAACGGTGGAAACTTGAATGATGTTGACGACACGGGACGAGGCTGCCTAGAGGCCGAAATAGAGGCACAGAATGACCGAACCCTACAAGACGTTCTTGAAGCACAAGAGCTTCCAATCGATGCAGGACCCTTCTGTGCGTCTCTACGAACGGGTGACTGGGCTCTTGTCAGAAGGCTTCTCAAAAGAGCTCATAAGCCGACAGGCTGTCACCTGGTGGAAGGAACCGCCGTGGGCTTGGCTGCTAGGGCAGGGCAGCTTGATATCCTGGACAAACTCCTCGCACGATTTACCGACCCATCGGTATTGAGCTTGGCAAGAATTCCTGAGTATATTTTTGCCAGTGATGTATATTCTGTGACTAAAGGGAAGGGTTGGGTTGCTGGTTTTTGGCGTCGTGCCACTGATCGGTGCTTTAGCGTGGGCAGTCCTCTTGCCCTGGTCGCTTATGGAGGGAATACTTGTGGTTTTGGAGAGCTCCTTCGCCGTGGTTGTAAGATGGATACAGTGAGCTGGGCCGTTGTTGCACACAGTACGTGTTCCTCTGAGTATTTGCAACTGTTGAAAGAATTTAGTTGCGGACTCGGCAATGCCACAGAATACGGCAAGCAATTCGGAACAGCATTGTGGAGAGCGATCAATCATAGAAAGTTTGATCTAGCGCAATACTTAGTGGAGGTGGGAGCAGATGTCGATGAATACGATATCTTTGAAAGTGGATGCACATCGCCTTTGCAGTGCGCGATAAATTGGGGGCTTATTGAAGTGGCAACATACCTGCTTGAGAAAGAAGCAAACATCAATGCCCCACCAGCGTTTGAAAAAGGCGCAACTGCTCTTCAATTCGCTGCCATACACGGCCATATCGGACTTGCAAGACAGCTTATTGAACTCGGTGCCAGAATTAATGCACGAGGGTCAGGCAAAGATGGCAGATCAGCTTTAGAGGGGGCGGCTGAGCACGGGAGACTTGACATGCTGGCACTCTTGGTGCATCATGGCGCTGACACAACGGGTCCTGGTCGTCAACAATTGATCAATTCTGTCGCATTTGCCCAACAGAATGCACATATCACTGCGGCCGAATGGTTAAAGAAGAACTGTGGTTGGTGTGACGAAGATCAACGTCAGTTGAAGTTTGTCAACGCCGACGCTGATTATCCTGTTGGAGAATGTATCAGGGCATATTGTTGCGACGAGTACCATGACAGTGATACTCAGTGCGTTTATCACTATACTGAGGAGCAGAGGCAAGTCCATTATGATGACTGCAAGCGTTGTAAGGACCTCATAAATCATCTGGACGATAGCAACTTGTCAAGTGAGGACGAGGAGATGGATTCAGAGTGGGTGGATGATGATCAAGACACTGCACAAAGCCTGAATGTTATGGAACAATGCAATTAGATATCAGTTATCAGAGTTGATTTGTCACATTTGCTACTTTTCCCAAAATGGTGGGTGTAAGGTTACGGCGTAAAGAGGCTTGAAGTTAATGCAATCTTTATTAAGCATATCTCGTTAATGATAACTTACTGATGGAGTGACCCGAATCTGCCATAGGGGGGTATTCAGTAAGTGGCACTTCTTACCCCCCACGCTGAGATCCTTCAATTTTCTCGACCGTTCCACACTTCTCGACGGCATGGCAGCCTTTTGGCTGCTCCTGGGCCTTCTCGCCCTAAGCACAGGAAGCGGTGCCAATGGTCCCTGCGAAGCGTCTCTTGGATCAAGTACCGTCGATGTCATTCGCACCAGCACGACAACCAGGAATCAAACGATAACCATAACCGACAAAATTATAATTCAAACTGTTCCTCTCAACATCACCAAGTCTAAAACCCGACCGACTTGGTTACCCGTGACCGACAAGACCATCAGCACTGTGGGTATCACTACGACAACGACCATCAGAGCGACATTCACGAAGCTTGTTACCGTGACTGCAAACCCTGGAGCCAAGATAGCTACTATCACAGTTACCAGTACATATAGTCAATGCATAGCTTTTGATTATCACAGCTGACTTCTTATCAAAGAGCCAAGCTTTGTCAACCGAACAGAAACCATGACCAAGACAAAGACCAAGAGGAATACGATCACAACCACGACATATTTTGCCACGACGATCGGTAGACGGCCCGGCTTTACCGCCATTAGAGATAACATGGAAAGGATATCTTCTGAGTTTGAGGATAAAACTTCAACGGTCGGGTTAGACGCTAAGCTGTTCTCACATACTCTGTCAGTAATATGCACTGATAATATGCCGATAAAGAAGACTGTGACCACCACCAGCTTCGGAACGCAGTCAACAACACTTTCTAAGCCTTCTATTGCGACATCCACAGTGACGGTCTGGACGACTATCAATGAGACTCAATATCCTCCTGGCCTTGCTAGCACGGTGACTACTACTGTTTATCCCATCCAGACGGCAGTTATCAACGCCACCAAAACTGTCACCGTTGATGAGAAGGGTAAGTACGAAACCATATGTTACTCCCTACAGTATTGACTTGCTTCAAGTCACGCTGGAAAGACAAATTCCCCAGGAAACGCACTACCAAGTCTGCGATGCCGGCAGTTCCAACTACCTCTCCTGGGCGCCAGGAGATAATCCGTCAGACAAACGCATGATCAAGGAATTCTCGCGCCAAAACCACGAAGTAAACCCCACCGAAATCAAAGTCAGCGACGCAATCGCCTGCTGTAACGAGTGCATGAAGCGCAAATACTGCCGCATCAGCTTCTGGGGAAGACCCCCCGGCACAAAACGAGAAGTGCCGCACTCGTGCTATATATACCTTACCATCAACATCCGGCAGTGTATGGATGGGGCGCAACCGCTGTACGCAAGGTACTTGGCCGACCGGCAGGTGTTGGATCCGATTACTGCGCCGTGGTTTACTTTCAGCAATGGGCCGTGCGGACAGTTGAAGTTTGGGGGGGTTAAAGACGATAAATGGCATAAGCCGATGAAGCATGATGGTTTTGATATCTGGAATAGTATGGACGATGAAGGTACACCATAGTTCAGGCCATGACGTTGTAGTAGATAGCTTCTTTGATCTGTTGGGAAAATACGAAAAACAAGGGTACGGATGGACAGATTGATTGATAGTTAAAGCTTATGATATCTCAACGAGACATATCAAGCCAACACACTGAAAAATAACGGATGGATAGATCTACGTTAGTTTAACGCCGAACATCAAGTACTGTGACTTTGGCGCACGTCAAAAGAGGTTCTGTCCCGGTATATCTTCAACATCCGTACAATGAATTTTCGGATATCCGCAGCACCGGGGGAGATCAGGGTAGTCAGCAATCACAAGCTTATCATGACGCACTAAAATCTCGGGAAACGCCAAGAAGACCGAAAGGATTCTCCCGCAGCCAATCAAGTGAAGCTGACATTTCTGACTGCATTCCGCAGGCGCTAAACTCCCCGTTCTTACGCTGTTCAACGGATATCCGATTCCCGCGAATAGGGCTGACTTTGAGATGGTAATTGTCAGAAATGATAGTGACGAGTGCAGGTGAAGTAGTATTAAAGTGAGGGGTATCTTTGTCCAAATGAATCTCATCATCAACATTCTCGTCAACATTCTCATCACCATTCTCATCAACATTCACAAAAAAGATCAACAACTTGACTCTTAAACATCCATCTACCAATTCAATCGATCGATACACATTGACAACATCACTCAATATCATTCAAAATGGTCGCAATAAACACAATCAAGAAATCCAACCAATCAGCCCTCCCCCAATCTCTCCCTCAGAATCTCACCGCTGTTTTCCTCGGCGCCACATCCGGTATTGGCCGCAGCACAATCAAGCAGCTCGCCATTGCGACTGATAACAAGTCGCCAACAATCTACATCGTCGGTCGAAGCACTTCAGCCGCTACACCGCTAATCGCAGAATTGCGACAAAGCAACTCATCCGCCATAATTGAATTCATTGAGCACGATGTCTCTCTTGTCAAGGAAGCCGATGCGGCCATGAAGGAGATTACGAAGCGAGAGACCAAAATTGACATTTTGTTCATGTCTGTTGGATTCATGTCTTTTGAAGGACGAAAAGGTAAGCCTACTTCACGTCTTCCAATCATTGAAGTCAACTAACAATATCCAGAAACCAAGGAAAAACTAGAGCCCTCTTTGACAACCCGCTTCTACAGCCGCGTTAGAGCCATCCAAGTCCTCCTCCCTCTTCTCAACAACAGCCCAAACCCCCACGTCACCAACATTCTCGCCGGCGGTCAAGAAGGTCCTCTCATCGAAGATGACCTCGATCTTTCCAAACCAGGCAACTTCGGCGTCGCTTCAGCAGCTCAACAAGCAGCAACCATGCTCACTCTCACCCTCGAGCGCTTCGCTAAAGAAAACCCGAAAATCAGCTTCGTGCACGCTTTTCCCGGTTTGACAGCTACACCACTTCTTTCTCGTGGTTCAAGTGGGATTATTGGCTTTCTGCTCCAGTGGATTGTTACACCGCTTGGGGGGTTGTTCTTTGCTAGTCCTGATGATGTTGGTGCCAGGGTGTTGTTTTATGCGACTAATGCGAGGTATACTGTTGAGGAGACCGAGAAGCTGGCGACACCGATTCCTGACGGTTTGAGGAAGGCGGCAAGATCTGCTGGTGGTGTGTTTTTGATTGATAATAAGAGTGAGGCTGCTGATAATGAGAAGGTTTTAGTTGGACTGAGGGAGAAGATGGCCGACACGGTCCAGGCCCACGTGGACTCGGTCTTTGAGAGGGTAATCCAGGAATAACGAGAATAGGTTCGTGATGGAAAAGAATGATTGGATGTACAGGAGTTTGGATCATATCAAGGGCGCAATTTGATGAATTTTCTTTACCTAGCAATAATGACAGTACTGGCTTTACAACTTTCCTTACACTAAATCAAATGGCTTTGGTTATTATTGGGGATTTAATTTGATATGCACTCGATTAGTTCTACACAGCATTGGATATGGCGATACTTCGCACTCTCTCTTCGGGTCCGGGGGCCCGTGGAGTTACGTCCGAAAATCCATGGTGGCGCGGGTGAGCAACATAATCCTTAACAGTTATCAGCCAAGATTGAGCATGGTACTGTTAGACCTGGAGTCTCGGCCCCGCGGGGGATCTAATCACTATGAATCATCGAGGCGAATACCCTAAAAGAGCCTAGACCCATTTCTTTGACTCACCTCGATTGCCCAATCATGTTGATTAATTTTGGAGCTGACTTGGAATCGAGAATACCACAGGCAATGGGCAGTTCTATAAAGGTTGCATACTCTACCCATCAATTGAAGTCCTTAAAATTCAATCAACAGGAACACTTACAAGGCTTAAGCTTCAGAAAGTATCGACTTCATTTTCAACACTCGACTACTCAGTCTCATGCTAGGAACAACAACCACCACTGCTGCAACAACTACTACTCCTTCCATGAGCCTACTCTTATCCGAAGAAACCAGCCCTTTGACACCATACATCATGTCTATCAACGAGTCTGCTCCGGCTCCTCAATCATTCACGCCAGGCCAATGCCTCTTTTGTCCCTCTGTCTACCCGACACTAGCCGAAAGCATCGCTCACATGCAAACTTCACATGGCCTCTTTGTTCCCTACAAGCAGCACCTCCTGGTAGATCTCGAGACACTGTTCAGATATCTTCACCTTGTTATCTATGAGTACCGAGAATGCATACACTGCGGGACAAGCAGAGCTACGGTTCAGGCTGTGCAGCAGCATATGATGGGTAAAGGCCATTGCAAGTTCGACGTGTCGGAAGGATCAGAGTTTGCCGATTTCTACGACTTTTCACACCAAGATCGTCATACAGAAGATAAGGTATTGGATGAAGACGTTGAGGAAAAGTTTGAGTCCGACGAAGTGAAACCTGACCGCAAGCCACTGCAGGTTGACCAGGATTCGATCCGCCTACCCTCTGGACGTCTCATCTCCAAAAAGTCATCAGCGCAAGTTGAACCATCGATTTCCCAGGTGCGCGAGCGCAGGAGGACCCCTAGATCTCAACTCGAGTATTCATCTGTCGAAGTCGATGAGGAAATTCCCATGCACGACGAGCATGCGCCTGGCGATTGCGATACGAGGCTTTTATCGAGACGAGAACGACGACAGAAAGCCACTGTTACCTATCAACTTGCCAACATGAGTGCCGGTGACCGCAGCGCTTTGATGCACCTGTCTGCATCTGAGCAACGTTCATTGATCGCCGCTCAGCATAGATTTACGGAAAAGATTCAGAAGGAAGAGAGCCGGAGACAGCGCAGGATTGATCGTAAGGGAAATAAGAATCTGTATGCTTATTGGCATACGGAAACTCCAGTGTATCAGTGTGGATAGTCATATTAAGAGAACAGAAATCAATAATTTCCAATTCTTGAGCTTCAAGCATTTAGGATAGTGAAGAAGAGTATATAATTGAACTAGAGTACGTGTAATAATTGGCCAAGATAAGTACTTTTACGTGCCGTGGCTTCTATCTTCTATACAGACAATCCATCTTCAACATTTATACGAGAGACCATAAATACTCCGCCGCAGGATCCTTCCACAGCAAAAGGCAATCCGTCTCATTCATCACTGGTGTAAACGGCGGCTGCGAAAACATCGCCCGAGTCTCATACCCCTTCATCGTGAAAATGGACCCGGGACCGCTAATAAGAGAAGGAATTAGAACCATGACAGCTGGCATAATCATGAGCATAAACATGCAGAAAAAAACAAGCACAACGGCCACCACCACAAGGACAGCTGGTACAATGGTCCAGAGAGTATGCAGATTCTGAAACCCTGGTCCTTTATACAGGTTCGGGATAGTGAAGAATGCTGCGAAGTAGGCTGCGACGAGCAGATAAAATACCGGCAGTGAAATCTGGAGCGAGAATACGCGAGTGAATTCTGTGTAGATCCCTTCGTACAACGGAGACAGGAAGTTAAAAGGCATAGATTCGCCTTTGTATGTTGATGATAGAACGCAGGCTAGCCATGTCGCAGCTGATGTTGCGGATCCAATATCTGAAGCGTAGAGGATCTGATACCAGCTTGGACAACGGCGTGAATCACCGCGGCAGAAGATAACAGCGGGATCTGGTTTGTACTCTGGGATGTACAGCGTTTCCGGCATCTGTCCACAGCCCGGAAGTTTGAGAAGCAGCGCAAGAGATAGAATTGAAACAGCGGCGCCGCCGAGGGATAGCTCGAATGTTCGATGATCAAGAACCGTAAGCGATTCCCAGCCATGTAGATCTTTCCGGCGCTGGTAGAGAAATATCGTAGCCGCGAATTGGAAAAGCGTTGCAAAGATTGCTATCGCTCTTCCAAGTCGTATCCAAGCACTTCCGAAGCGAGATTGCCTTGCTTCCAATAAGCCCGTTGGTGTTCGCCAAGGTGGTAAGGGTTTCTTTCCGAATAGCGTGTTCCATCGTCGCGCGTAGGTTTCGAAGTGGATTTGAAAGGATTTAGGAGACCAAGCGACGTCGTAGATCAAGGATATGTTGATAATTATGACACCGAGAGTTGTTTGTGCAATCACTATCAAGGGCGATAGAAGGAATAGGATTGGTTCAATGGTGTCGAGACGTTCATTGCGTAGGGACTGCCAATTGCAGAAGGCGACGATGGCTGTGAAATGGGCGACTATGAGTTTGACGACCATCTCCTTCTCGGTGCGTGTATCACCATCTGGACATATATCGGTGTCCATCTCAGCAAATATATCATAAGAATTGAAGGTTTATGCGAGAGAGGAATTATTGAGAGCTGAAAACGAAGAATCGAGGGATTTATTCAAAATGTTCTAGGTCCACTGCGGCTGTGCTGTGAAACCTGCCTACAGGCAGATCGACAGGCTGATTTAGTGGTCACACGAGCCCTTTTGACAGGGATGATCGCTAAAGAGGGGCGCCTTGGCATTGTTGTCCAGCCTCACTGTCAACAGTATCCATATCTCCTCCCTGCTTCACAACATCCGAGCGAGTAATAACGCGGTATTTTTCCTCATCAATAGTACCGAGACTTGACTCAGCAACTTTTGACGGTGTAAGACCGTAGAACTCCTGAAAACTCATGATCAACGGCCTCCAGCGATCAGGATCAATCCTATTAGCATACCCCTCCATCCTCAGATCATGCCGAACATGGGTCCTGAGAATCTTGACTTCAATGGCCACGAGACGCCCCTTCCAGTCCGGCACTTCCTGCATCAAATCCATGCTATTCGTAAGCTCGGCTTCCATCTGCACAGGACACTCTGAGATTCTTGGCGGCTGCACGAGATCAGAAAGTTGTTGGGTGAGGCCTGAAGCAGCGAACTTGTCTTTGCAGTGCGTGTAGCCTCGGTCCTTCTTGCCGGGAGGGACGGTAGGTGTGCCGGTGGTTTTGGCGATCGGGTTGATGTAGTGCGCCATGTCAGCGCTGGGGAGGTTGATGACGCAGTGTTTGGTACGGAAGAGATTGAGGGTGGTTTGGGATCCTGAAGCGAGGCCTAGGAGGCAACGATGGCCGAGCCACCATACTGAGGATACGGGGCCAATGTTGGCGGTGCCGTCTTCGTTGGAGGTTGTGATTAGAGCGACTGGAGTTCCCCAGTACATAATGGCGGGAGTGATGATGGAGTGCGTGCCTGTCATTTTGTCTGGTACACGGTGGCGAGGAAGTTTATGAGGGCTCTTGTGAGAAAAGGTCGAGATGAAGAAAATAGTCGTGGTTATTTAACTACACTGACTCATGCGCACGTCTTTATTATATATTTCGTGAACTGGCAGTAGTATCCATCTTGCTTTGGATGTAGCGAATTAACCAACTATCTGAGGCTCAATGCGTTTGAACCAGGAACATCCATAGCAATGCCTACCAGAAGCGGATCGTTGCTACAGATATGGCCAATGGACAGTGCAGATCTAGTCCGAGTCAAAGAGGTCCTTTGGTCAAGCTAAGTCTCCTCAGCCTCTCATTCATCGGAGGTCATGTCATTAGCATTGCGTTCTTGATAAAAACATTCATATTGGGGGGCTTTTTCCAATATCAAAGCAAAAGTCCAAACGTTTGTATAACAAGGACACTCAGATGCTGACCTGTACGGAACAGCCAATCGAGCCCTGGGATCGTCACTAGTGAGGGGCTTTAGCGCTGTTCTCTCAGGAACAAGATGATCTGCCGAAGGCTCCGATAAGGCTGACTCATTATCACCTGCTCCAGTCGCAAATCGTTCGATAGTGCTGACCAGCAATTTCTTTTTGTTGGGAAAGCCTTCAAATTTTCATCTCGAGCACGCAGTGAGGGCATCATCAATGGACGCCCTCTACAGCAATTGGCGGTCTCTTCCGCTATCATTGTCTGTCCCGATAACAGGTTTTCTCATCATCGTTATCGCGACAATCACCAACGTCATCAAACAGCTCTGGTTCCCGAATCCTCACCGCCCTCCAGTCGTATTTCACATCTTTCCACTTATCGGCAGCACAGTCCAGTATGGAATCGATCCGTATAAATTCTTCTTCGATTGTCAAGCCAAGTATGGAGATTGTTTCACGTTTATCCTGCTGGGCAAATCGACGACTGTTTTTCTGGGACCGAAGGGGAATGACTTCATCTTGAATGGGAAGCATGCGGATCTTAACGCTGAGGATGTGTATGGGAAGCTTACGACGCCTGTTTTTGGGAAGGAGGTTGTATATGATTGCTCTAATGCGAGATTCATGGATCAGAAGAGGGTCAGTTGACCGCCATCATATGAAGAACGGCATGCTGACGGTTCATCTGTAGCTTCTCAAGCTTGGTCTCACAACTGACTCTCTGCGATGCTACATCCCCAAGTTCGTCAAAGAAGTCGAAGACTACGTTGCCACCTCACCCTACTTCAAAGGAACAACCGGCGTTGTCAATATTACCGAAGTAATGGCCGAGATCACAATCTACACAGCATCGGGGTCTCTCCTTGGCAACGAAGTTCGCTCCATGTTCGACAGCACATTCGCAACCCTCTACCGCCATCTCGACGACGGTTTCCAACCAATCAACTTCGTCATGCCCGGTCTGCCCTTACCACAGAACTTCCGTCGCGATCACGCTCGTAAAGTAATGGAAGAGCTTTTCAGCGACATCATTCGAAAACGACGTGAGATGGGAAACCAAGGTGATGAGACTGATATGGTTTGGACGCTTATGAATGCTAAATACAAGGATGGCGAGGATCTACCAGATCATCATGCAGCGAGGATGTTGATTGCTATTCTTATGGGTGGACAGCATAACACAGCTGCGAGTGGTGCTTGGCTTCTTCTCAACCTTGCGCATAAACCGCATTTGGTCAAAGAACTGTACGACGAACAAATTGAGGTTTTGGGATCACCGCAAGAGCCGTTGACGTGGGGGAATTTGCAGAAATTGACACTGAATGGACAGGTTATCAAGGAGACTCTACGTCTTCACAGTCCCATTCACTCTATCCTTCGACAGGTCAAATCGCCTATGCGGGTTCCCGGTACAGACTGGGTTGTTCCTCCGTCACATACACTCCTTGCTTCACCGGGTACACAAGCACGATCTGAGGAGTTCTTCCCTCGACCTATGGAATGGGACCCTCATCGCTGGGACAAGATCGAGTCTTTTGATGACGCCAAGAATGGGGAAACAGTCGATTATGGCTTTGGGATGATGAACAAGTCTGTGAGCAGTCCATATCTGCCTTTTGGAGCAGGACGACATCGCTGTGTTGGAGAGAACTATGCTTATGCGCAGCTCGGTGCCATTATTGCAACGTTTGTGAGACTGCTTCATATTGAGCAGCCTGATCCTAAGGCACCTCTTCCTGCGCCTGACTATTCGGTAAGAGCCCCCCTGGGGCTGAAGTATTCTTACTAATCGGTGATATAGTCAATGTTTTCTCGACCTATGAACCCAGCCGTCGTCCGATGGACTCGTCGCGACACGGAGACTGATTAGAAGCTTTAGAGTGACATAGATAAACTACGTACAGCGCAGTATAACAGAAAGCAAGTCCTCAGCTGCATCATCATATCTCATTACCTCCTGAACCTGGAGCTGTGCCATGGACAGCATCCAGAAAGTAGAACAGTAAACAAGTAGCTGGCGTTAAGTACACCGAAAAGGCCTCACTGCTACCTTTCCACTGCATCGAAAATTGAGTATCTGTTTCGATACCTGAGAAAGAAGATGGCCAGCCAGGAGGTCGTGCCAGTTGAGCCGTGTATATTTTGAATGCGTACATTCCAAAATGTAATATATAAAGCCAGTAAACACAGGCCAAGACTTGCTAATGTGCCAGAATAGGTGATTCAATTCCAGTAATTTCTAACCTGCGAAGCACTACCTTGTCTATGATGAATGCACCTTCTTGGTCGGTTTTCCAAAGCCTACTTCGAGGATAAAAAAGATTCGAATAAGCGCAAAAGCAGCTGTACCGTAAACATTGGCCCAGTCCTTTGCCGACATGCTCGCCATCGACCAACTATGAGGCGGATTTCTCATTTCCCAAATGCTGAAAAGGATCATGAGATCCATTGCGCAGACAGCCCCTTGGCAGATCTTCCAGATGTTTAAATCGTTGGTATAACGTAGAAGACCACCTTGCATGGCGCTAATAACCACGTAGCCTCCTGCGACCTGCCACAGCCATGGATCGTAGGCTTCCACTCGTGGTGAAAAGAGCGGGGAAAGTTGTGCGAGCATGAAGTCGCGATGGAAGATGAGGGCGTAAGCTGTTCCGGAAGCGACAATAGGATCGACCCAGGTGAATACACCGCGGTATAAGGATGGAATAGACTTGATGGTTGCCATGATAGTTTTGGTGAAGTTTTTAGACGCTATTAAAATTGCTGAGCGTGTTGTGTATTGAGACGATGAAGTGTTGTCTGTCTGGGGAGGGGCCGGTGCTAAATACTGTAGGAATCTGGGTGTAAGCTGACATCAGACCTACAGTACAAGCAATAAGCCAAGACCGGGGTTACGGCCGCAGGAATCTGGCCTACGGTCGTCCAAAAACCGAGCCATCCAATCACCGCCATTGGCGAAGTAAGCTTATGTATACCCGGGCATCATTACAACAACCGTATAGTCTAAGTTTTTTCTATCTCCACTACTTGACACTTGCCATTTCCTGGATTCAATATATGAAAAAAATGTGTTTACGGGAGCATGGACTTTCAATTGTGACTCGACTCAGTATTAAGCCCCTGAATTCCATCCTGTGGAATGAGAGTCTTATGTTGACTTTCGGAATTGGCGCTCAGTAGCCGCGTCGGAGCATGCAGTTTCGACGGAGCCAGAAGAACCATGCTCAGTTTCACGGTCTACGACGCTATTCTCAGGGATTTCCTCGGTACACTTCATCCCAGAAGACTATTCATCCACGTGGTCTCCGGGGACAAGAGCGTTGGGTTCGTCGGCGCCAGCATCAGATGTATCATCCTCCCCGTATATAACAAACTCCTTAAATGCGAGGCCTGAGTAGTGGCCGATGGTGCCTGGAAACTTTTCGGCAGCATTGTCATTGTGAATCCATATGGTGGTTGCGTCCTCATCTCCTGGAAGGAGGATGGGGTCCTCGCCTGTAATTGTCGTCCCAAGACGGAGTGGAATGTCCCTGGTACATCCCCATAACTGTAGGACGCCAGCCACTCCCCTGTGCGAAGATATCACCTGCATTATTGAGGTTCCAGGTATGTCCTAGGAGCCACAAGAATATGGACCGTCTAGTAAGTGAAGCTTTTGGAATGGGATCAGCCTTTGGGCCAACTAAGTGGAGCACTATACGATCACTAGAGGGCAAAAATGTGATCATGCTGGGGATCGAACCCAGAATCTTCTGATTCGTAGTCAGACGCCTTGCCATTGGGCCACACGACCGTATTCACTTGTTGAGCATCCAGCTTCGCAACAGCCTCTCTGTGCGACACCGAGTTCGCGACGACGATGCTCTTATCCATGGAACGAGCAAACTGTCAAAGCTGCATGTCAACTTCGTAATTGTTTGAACGGTTTCCAAGTTCATTAACTCTGGAGAGTGGCTTACCATACAGTTCGGTCACGGCATAATAATGCATGCATACATATTTGGCGGCGTAGCTGCACTAATGCAGAGTGCAGTAGCTTCGCTACCTCTTGATCATAACAGAAATAGCACCCAAAAGCCTTTGAAAAAGCACATTTGTTTGGTGCATATTATAAGAGTGGCCTACACTACTCGTTATTCCACTTCAGTAACTTCTCCCCTCGACTCTGCCGCCATCTATTTGTAGTCTCTATAAGCTCAGGACAGCCTTGAAGCAGCCAACCCCATTTCCTCAGAAACCAAGGCGACGCCTCCCAGGAATTCGGCACAGACGAGTCTCCCCATACGATCAAACTTGGCTTCTCAACGTTTTCCCAGTTGATCTCCGATATATCCTCACACAGCTCACCATCGTCCAGTAACTCAGCATCCGCCGCTAGGATCACATTATCTCTGAACTTAGGAAAAGGAAAGATGTCGAGCCATGGGTGATGCAACACCGCCTTCTGCACCTCTGTAGGCTCGAGTGCCTTTGGAGGATTATAATCTGCATTAAAAGGCCCATTGATGTTGAAAGGCGATATAGCTTCATCGATGCACATAAGCGCCCGATCGAATCCCAGTACTGTAGCGTTATTGGCAACCGCTATAGTAACGTTGAGACTAATGAGAAGTGGAAGTTGCGATATCCGAGGAGCGTTCATGGTATAGTCCATATAGGTCTTGCACGCGACAGCGAATACTCTTTCGCTCTTATCAGGTCTCTCATAAACTTCGCATGTTCGACGGATGACTTCAAACATGGCATCTGGTGGGCCTTGCAGAGCAAGTGCTATTGATGGCATCGATTCGGCGGGTAGTCCAGCTTGACCAACGATGTTGGAAGCAAGTCGGTTTTGTTCCTGTTGCTGACGCTTTCTGAGATCTGTCAAGTGTATATGATGTAAGAAGCTTCCCTAGACAGTAGGCTAGTAGGGTGCACTCACATTGTGACCTCTTGTTCAGCCGGTTCTGCAGCTTTCGTCGTTGTGCAGTGCTAGTGACCCCGGTCCAGTCCTCCCCAGGTTTCTGGACAAGGAGTTGCTGAGCCATTGGTTCAATGGCGATCTTTTGTGGATCCGACATCCTGGTGTATATGCCGGCTGCTGATAGATCGATGTGTACGGTTGATTATGAGAGAATTAGGTGATACCTTTTGAGAATTGATGGGATAAATCAGGAGAGAAAATTGCTGGCATCTGGAGGCGTCATCATGGCATGCACGTGAATCCCTCTATCGGAGCGGGAATGGCTAACTCCACTCTGTCAGCAGGTTGCATTAGCGCGTCTAATAAGGGTATAGTTCGATTCATCGGGCTTATCATTGGATGAGTTTGAAAGCCGGGGAAGTCGGTCCGACGAGGGTCGCAAGTAGCTTGAGGTTTGACGATATCATCAACTCGCATAAGTCCGCATTCAGCATATGACGAATAGTGGCTAATGGTACTGAGAGATTGATGTATAAAATTCAATGATATAGTAGGTCAGTAACTCTGTGACCCAACTTCCATCACAACCGATACTCGCCAACACCTTCGCAGCATTCAAGGCATTAATATTTGAGCTTTAAGATAATTTTACATATACGCACACAATCTACGTCCAGCATGCCTCCATATCATATCTCGCCCCCCGTAAACTGCAATATCGACTTCGGCAAAGGTCAAATTGCTGGAAAAGTTGCCATAGTCACCGGAGGTCAGCGTCGCCGAAATTCAGGGAATGGTATAGGTTAGCTAACATCTCAGGCGCAAATGGCATTGGGGAGGCTTATGTACGGGCCCTACACAGCTCAGGGTACGCGCAATCCATAAGACTCCACAAGTTATGAATACTAATACAAATCAGAGCCAAAGTTGTAATCGGCGATAAGAATGCCGAATCTGGCGAGAGATTGGCTTCCGAGTTGACTGGCGTGAAATTCATCACGTGCGATGCAACTGTCTGGGAAGATCAAGTTCGATTGTTCAAGGAGGCCGTCCAGCTATCTTCTTCTGGCAAGATTCACTACGTGATAGCAAACGCAGGGATGACGAAAGAAGACCAGACTTTCACTTTTGATGGTAAGAACTCTCTACCTACCGTGCCTAACGCAGTCTCTCATACCATTTGCGCAGGAAAAGACCAGGAACCTCAGAAGCCAGACTTGCAGACCGTCGATGTGAACCTGAAGGGAGCGCTTTATACATCAAAGCTAGCCATGCACTATTTTATTTCCCAAAACGGCATAGAAGTTAACAAAGACCAAGAAGATACCTGCTTGATCCTAATCAGTTCGGGAGCCGGTTTCCTCGACGTTCCTAGATCTCCAGAGTACAGCAGTACAAAGTGGGCGGTCCGCGGAATAATGCATGCTTTGCGAAGGACGGCATTTTACTATGGGAGCCGAGTGAATGTTATCGCGCCATGGTATATCACTCTCAATTCTGGTGCACTTGAAATCCTCGACTAACGGCTCTGCAGGTACATACGCACTAGTATTCTCTCCAAAGATCAATTCGACCAAGTTGAGAAATCAGGAGTTGAGTTCGCAACGGCGGAAGATGCTGGTGAGTGCGCGCTGAGGATCCTGTCTGATACCAGTATCAACGGAAGGACGCTATTTGTGTGCGCGCGGAAATGGGCTCCTCGTGGATACATGGATCTTAATATCGAGGACTATCCTGAAAGCTTGATCCAGGAGATACAGGAGGATCAAATGAGAAATGCCCCGGTTGACCTTGGGCTGTTCCCGTGAGGCGGCCTGCAGATGTACAAAAGGTCTAGAACACTACAATCATCGTTCAGCCCAATGAGGGGTGAAAGTAACATGTCGAAAGTACCAAAGTCGGCTGAGCAACACCCATCACTGGTTGGATAGCGCCATAATGCAACCCTCCATCAGAAGGTTGAGCTGAGCACTAGCACCAAACTACTGGCCTTTATTTCAGTTGGCGCTTTTTAGTGACCTGCAGCCGGGCGTTTTGCCGTGTCTTGGAACTGCGGCTGAGAATCGCCTTATCGAGCCTTGTGCGAACCAGAATGATAAGAAAGCCTTGAAGTACCCGATCATAGCACGTTCTATAGCGTTTCCCTCAATCTCAAGTCTTATTTTCTACTGCAGCTCAATTCGACATGGATTTCATCATGGACGACGACCTATGTGCAAAGTGCGAAGAAAAGCCAGGCGCTGTCCGCTGCTCTTGTGGTGAACGGTTCTGCGAATACTGTTTTTCTAAGAAACATCTACAGCGCAACCCAACCCATAAACGCGGCGGTTCAAAGAAAACTGAGACTAAATGGAATAAGATCAAAGGAGTAGTTTCTAACATCACGAGTTCGTTTTCTCCTGCCTCGCACTTCCAGAGAGATGAGACCAGTAAATGGTTCGGCCTACATATCTCGTCGCCACCTGGACGCAAGGATCGTATTGCGACCTTGGTTGAGACCACACGATTCTCGAGCCTTTTGGAGGAGTCCCTTCATTTCAATAAGCACAGTCCCAAGCGACAATATCCCAGTATTTGCTCATTTGTTGGCGATACTGGTGCTGGAAAGTCAACTCTGAGTATGTCCCGCCCTTCTTCACCTCACTCACATGGTAGGCTGACAATGAAATACAGTCCGAAGTCTGATCTTTGACTCCGAGCGGGCATTGGATTTTGATCCTCTTGACGCCCCAGTTCCTGGAGCTCAGACTGGATCTTCTGCCATTAGATCGACTACCGGAGAGGTCAATCTTTACCTAGACCCTTCGACCTTTGGTACTGCCGCGCCAATGTTCTATGCAGACTGCGAAGGCCTTCTGGGCACTGAACCTCTTGCGGCAGAGCACCAGACTGAGTGGGCAAGGTACGGACAACGCTACCTCATTGAATCCAAGGACGGCAAGCCAGTGGATCGACGGACTGCCGTCAAGACAATTTACCCTCGCTTTCTGTACATCTTCAGCGATGTCATCTGCTATGTTACCAGAAACCACAGAGCGTGGGCTGAATCTGCCTTGCGGCTTTTGGACTGGAGCAAGGTTGGTGTTCAGAACACCATCAATCAACATGCACTACCTGCCTTAATAATCGTTCTTAACGGGCCGACTTTGGAGAATGAGGCTTGGCTTGGGAATGACCATGAAGTTGTCACGGATGCTTTCTTCCAAGCCATCGAGAAGGAGATAAGCGAGACCACTGAGTTTCGAGAACTCGCTCAAAGGGTTCGTATCTTCAATTAACCAGAAAAACTGCCTCATTGAACTAACATACTTCTAGCATGGAGACAAGACAATGAGGCAGCTGTTTTCAAGGAGCTTCTCTAGTGTCTACGTTCACTATATCCCTCTCGAAGGCTTCGGATCGCTCGGGACTAGTCTAGAAATCATCAATCAGACCACCCGCTTGGCAAAGCGAGTCAGGAGAGATGCAGAGCGCGTTCAAGCCCAAAGAGCCGAGTCCTGGACCCGCTTCGACACGACGCAGATGTCTCAGGTGGTGCATTATGCATTCGCCCATCTCGCATCTGGAAGCTCAGAGCCATTCGACTTTGGTCAGTGCCGGCGGCAGATATCGGTTCCGGATACCACGGAAGGTCACTTCTCTGAATTCCTTGGGTTGTCGCTTAAGAATAAGATGGAGGCGCGGTTCGATGACACGGCTGCTGTTATCGCGACGAGCTTGTTGAGGAACTCCTTGAAAGCGAATAAAGATGGTATGTAGTTGTAGACTGATAGATGAATTATATTTACTCGATGACTGACACTATCTCTCGCTGTAACAGATATCGTGCTACTGCCCTCAGTCGTCTTTGACAAAGACACCCAAGCTATCTGCACCCGAGCCATCGGTCAGTTCCTGGATAGTAAATCGCCATGCGCATACATTGATCCCGACTCTGGCGAAAAATGCGTAAACACAAAGTCGGGTCATAGTTTAGGCCACCAGAGTGCGTCAGGCGATCTTTTGCGCGATGGTAACTTTGTAGTCGGTGACTTTAACTCTGCCAAGTTTCTGCTCGCGGTCGAGTCAGCACTTCACGTCACCATGCGAGCGATTAACTCAAGCGGCCCCTCTAACCATTGCGACTGGCGACGCCTTGCCGCCGTTCATCATCGTCGGAACATTGACGCCCTGAGACGGCAAGGTGGCTATCCGGGATTCCATGTCGGGGACCGTCGATTCCCGTTTGGCGACAACACCAGGAAAGAACCGCTAGCACTGGCAATGTCATTCTTATCTGTTTATACGGGCACTTGGCTTCGTGGATGCGAACAAAACACAACGTTTTGTCTCGGTTGCCTCTTTGGAAGACCGGAATACCGTCTTCCCTGCGAACATGTCATCTGCGATACATGCGTGGAAGATTTCGATGATACCGCTGTGGATAAACAATATCCTGGGCGGGTTATGCATCGACGCTGCATCATTTGCAATAGTTCATCGTCCGACAAGTGGCCGTTCGTCACTACCGTCAGACCGCAACTTTGCGGCCTTCGTGTCCTGTCGCTTGATGGAGGAGGCGTCCGGGGTATCGTCGAATTGACGGTCCTGAACCGCTTGGAGAAAGAGATCGGGCTTGGGATTCCGATTGGGAGTTTCTTCGATATCATTGTTGGAACAAGTACAGGTAAGCTCCTCAAATTGCACAACGAAGCTATATAGAGCGTCTGCCTGACTTTTCCAGGTGGCATCATCGCACTTGGTATAGGTGTACAACGAAGAAGTGCTACTGAGTGCACAGGTCTGTTCCGAGATATTTGCAATGAGGGCTTTGAGGCCAAATTGCTCACCAAGTCTCGATTCTTTGGTTGGGCCGCCCGATGGTTCAGCAGTTCGATATACAAGACGGATGTTTTAGAGACGGCCCTCCAGAATGCCTTTAGGGACAAAGATCCAAAGTCCCTCTATGGATTGAGCAGCTCATGCCGAGTTGCGGTCACGACAACAGCTAAGGAAGACTGTCATCTGATCGCCAATTATAACACAGGCGGTAAAGATCGGTACCTGGACTCAGCACTTCCGCTTTGGAAGGCGTAAGATATCTTGATCTGATTTCTGGGGCTTGGCTAACCTAGTATCTTAGTGCTCGCTGTACTTCGGCTGCTCCTATGTACTTCGAACATGTCTCCCATGCTGGACATGAATGTCGTGACGGCGGCCTGAAAGAGAACAATCCCATCCAAGTAGCTCTCAACGAATCACGAAAGATATGGGAAGATCCTACTTACGACGTGATCCTATCTATCGGATCGGGACAAGCTAGGTATCCAGCAACCGAACCAGTTTCAACCGCCATCATACCCAAGTGGCTTGCTCATCTCTTCTCAACCCTTGTCAGCACCATGAACGGCGAGGATGCATGGGACAGGTTTCGCTCGAGCCAGGATAAGCATATACTAGACCGTGCTTCGAGATTCAACTTGAGGTTCAATGGGAGCACTGAGCCGGCACTTGACGATGTAAATGCTATTCCGAGCATGGAAACGGCGGCAAAGAAAGAAACATTCTATGAAAGGCCTTCGATCTCACCATTCTCAGCAACCTCTGGCATTATCCAGGTGGACGCACTTCATCTTATGGCCGACAAACTTCGAGCAAGCCTCTATTTCTTTGAGCTCGGGAATATCACGAAACACGGTACTGTCGCAGTAGTTCAAGGCTGCATCTGCTGTCGCTTGATGCCGAATGATAATGGCTTCAAAGAGCTTTTATCTCGCACTTTGAGATTCCTTATTCGAGGAAAGGTGTACGAGTTCAAGAGAGTTCCTGTTGATCAACCACTTCGATTTGCGGTTGAATTTCAGCACCAGCATCTGGATGAGCCGATTCGCATTGATGTTAACTTTGGGGCTACGCATTCAACGGCTATTAGCGGCTTCCCGATGACTTTAAAGGTGAGTCATACACCAGAACGATTAGATTGTGTCATTAATGACTATATCCTAGACTCTTTTCACCCACGCGGAACATCAAGCAACTTCTCCAGCGTCAGTGCCAATTGCAGAAATGACAAGCAATACAAGCAACCGCGATCCACCTGATGGAGGAAATAAAGGTAAATTATTCTAATTACTGGTTGCATATTCGTTTCACGACGGTATCGCGGCTAATAGGCTGTCTTCAAATATTCAGATCAGAACACATGTCTAAAGCAAACAACAGCAGCTGAGCTACCAGCTATTACAAAGGTCACAACGAGAGAAGTGCCGCCTACACAGACAAGCACCGTAAAACGGCCCGAACCAACAGAAGACAACCCTAATACGGTGAAGAATTTGGTTTCAGCAGCAACGAAGAATGACCCAGAGAAAGTGCTGGAACTACTTGACCAAGGGGTTCCCGTTGATGGCAAACATGGTGGCTGGACTGCACTCGGCTGTGCAGCCCACAAAGGACAATTGGCTACCGTCCAGGCTCTCCTACTTCGCGGTGCTGATATGGACATACGAATGGACATTGGCTTCGGAGTTCTTCCTGGCGACGGCAGTGCTATCAACTGGGCAGCTTGCGGCGGCTACCTCGACGTCGTCAAGATACTCTTGGAGAAAGGGGCCAAGTCGAATATCTGCGCGAAGAGACCAGTGTTCCTCGGCACTGGGGGAACGCCTGTTACTATGGCGGCAGGGAAAGGCCACCTCGAAGTCGTTCGGTATCTCCTTGAGGATAATTGTGATGACGATTCCGCAAATGGTGTTCCGGGTTGGGATGCCTTCATCATCGCATGCGAAAGAGGAAGGCTCAACATCATCAAATACTTTGTCGAAGAAAGGGACATCAATATTGACAGAACTGGCAGCGATGGCGTAACGCCCCTGATTACAGCAGCTCAGAGTCAGCAGACCGCTATCATGGAGTACTTAGTCAAGCGTGGGGCGCGCATAGACGCGACCGACAGTGATGGAAGCACTGCGTTGCTTCATGCTGTGGCTAAGAAGAGAGTTGGAGCGGTAGAGTGGCTGGTTAAGCAGGGTGCAGACGCGAGGAAGCAGAATAACAAGGGGATCTCGCCGTTGAAGCTGGCAAAGGAGGAGTTGCAGAAAAGTCAGGAAGACAAGAATGCGGCGGCTATGGTTAAGTGGCTTGAAACCACGATCAATGTTGAATTCCACACAAAGGCTTAGAATGCGTGAAGGAGTCTGTTTCCTGGCCTGTGATTCGTGGGACTCAGAGGCCTGTCGAGCAACTCATCTGTACGGCGGCTGTGGTAGACATGTTATATACGGATACTACATATGACGGAAGTGAGGCGCTATCCCAGTTTGCATGATGTTAGGTTGCTACGAGTCAGTCAACTGCCTAGCATTTTATTTTATCGTTAGTGATATCCTAGTAAGTTCTAAAACTCCCAGGGATTCTCCCTACTAGTCTATAAAACAGTCAATCTACCCATAGCCCGGTAAACCATAACTCCAGCAAATAGCAAAAACGACAGAAACCACTTATAATGTACTAGAACCTGCCTTAGTAGTTCTTAATCAATGTCAACAGCGCTCGCTTCTCCTTATAAACAGAGAGATCATGCCCAGTGAGTAACTTGCCAGGATCACTGTATGCCTTAGTCTGCAGGATGACAAACTGGTTGTCTATTAGATGGTTAATAAGCCATAGAGTCATAACGGTTGGGAATGTTTACTTACATTGAGGGCAGCCTAGAGCCTCGAGGCTCGCACAGGTTTGCTTAAGATCGAAAACGGTAGCCATCTAGACCGGAAGGGTTAGTCGAATACCTCTAATGAGCAAGGACATACAAGAATGGGTGCTTCTACTTACCTTGAAAGCTGTTGTAAGTAACAATAGTAGATAATGATAGGTGTTGTTGAGAATAATTGAAGCAATTGAGAATGATGGGCCAGAATGTAATTGTGCTTCCATGTTCTTTATAGACATTATTAGTAGAGATCACGTAAATGTCATCCCCTTGTTCAACCTCATTACTCAAAGACGCCGTTAACAAAGACTGTGGCCTGGACAAAGACATGGATCAAACATAGAACTACATTTCAAAGAGCGGTACCTTTTTAAGCGTAAACAATGAGGTATGTTATGACATCTTCTTATTATTTCATTCATGTAGGTGCCAAAATAGGTGTTAGTAGTTCTTCAACAATATGCAAAGACTTGATGTCAAATACATCAAAGCTTGATACACCCAGAGACAACGTTTAGGACGTAGACCCTGAACGACAGAAAGAATTAGATAAGTTAGAAAAACCATGGATGAATCTATCATGGGCGTCCTGCTTTCAGTCTGAAGTTACATGAAATACCCAAAGCCTCTTATTATCTAGTGTTAATGTTCTGGGCCTCAGATAGCAATCACTTGTTCTTCCGTCGCTTGTTCTCTCTGTCGATTTTCTTGAAGAAGTCGCTCTTTTCACCCTTTTTGCTCTTCAGACCCTTGTTAGCAGAGGTATTCCGTTCAATGTACGCCATGTCCTGCACACCACTAAGCTGATCAAGATACTCCGCGACGCGCTTCACCGTGTTCTCCCCCTTGGCTTTTCCGCCCTTTCCCCCGGTCTTCTCCTGGCCCCAGAGATCACCCGCAGCAAATTCATCATCGACAGAAGTTTCGTTATCGACTAGCGTGCCTTGAAGCAACTCCTTTTGTTCGGAGGCAGTAGAAAATGCGAGATCGGGCGTCTTTTCGATACCATATAGCTTGGTGATGACTTTGAACGCGTAGCCTTGATCAATGAGGAAGGCTTGCCGCTTTGACGCAAAGTGCATTTCAGACGTGTCTTTGGAGACGAGAGAGTAAAAGAAGGCATTGAAGCCCTCATCGTTTCGCCGTTTTGCCCGCAAGATACGGCCGAGGCGCTGTGCCTCTTGACGGCGGGAGCCGAATTGTGAGGATATTTGGATAAGGCACGTTGCTTCGGGGAGATCGAGCGATGTGTCCCCAATTTTGGAGAGGAATAGCGTATTCACCTCGGGGTTGTGACGGAAATGGTCAAGAACCCTGAGTCGCTCCTCTTGGCTTGTTCCCCCGTAAATAAGGTACCTCTTCAGCTTGTATGCATACAGCTTGAGGGAATAAAGCTCATCAGAGAAGACGATGATCTTATCCCCGCGCGCTTCATGATAATTAATAAGAAATTGGCAAGCCTGGAATTTGGACGGATTGATAGCGGCTAGTGTTCGTTTCATGCGAGACGAGACCTTTAGGTATTGCTCGTAAAAGACAGTCGGCATGGAACACCAGACCTCAGCGCATTGCACCTTGGCGATATGCCCCTGCTGCGACAGTTCCATCCAATTTGCTTCGTACAACTTCGGCCCGATGAGGAAGTTGAGATGATCGATCTTGTCATCCTCACGAAGCAGCGTGGCAGTAAGTCCAAGCTTAGAGTGCGTTTTAATCGACGAGATGACACGTCGAAACATATTCGCCGGAACGACATGTACCTCATCAAGAAGCATCAACCCCCATTCCCGTCCTGCCAGGAAATCCATCATTTTCTTTGAGTCATGAGCGCGCTCGCGACTATTCGTAACCATTGAATACGTCGTCACAATAACACCGGTACTTCCAGAGAACTTCTCCTTGCTGTCGGACGTAAAGGTTGTGATGTCCTCGGGGTTAATGTTTGACCATTTGAGGAACTCATTGCGCCATTGTACAGCAGAGACTGAGCTTGTGCAGAGAACGATGACGCCTTTTCGGATGGTGCATGCTGCTGTGATGCCGACGAGGGTTTTCCCTGCGCCGCATGGGAGAACGATGATGCCGCTTTTGGCGCGACCATTGCCGAACATCTTACTGAGACTCTTTTCTTGATAAGGTCTGATTTGGGTGTTTGGGCGAAGATCGATATCCAAGTCGGGGTTGACGTTGTCGCAACGAAAGTCGTACTCTTCTAGGATGGGGTAGGACAGGTCCAGGCAGCGCTTTTGCACGCTTTCAACGGCGCTGTCGGGAATCTCGAAAGCATGGACTGCTTCTGTCTCATCATCGTTGTCTTCATCATTCAGAATGGCCTCAATGTGATCCGGCTCTTTGTCTGTGTTTTGTGGGAGGTCTGCTTGCTGAGCCCCCGCCGCGTTCTTTGTTCCAGGAATAACCAAGCCACCCAGCGCAGGCGCACGCACTGTGGTAATCTCATCAGAGTCGCTCACTCGAAGGGGACCGATAATGCTGTCTTTGAGCAAAGTCTGAAGAACATCTGCGTCGCTGCTCTCGACGAAATATTTATTGCTCTTCAAAACCAGCTTGACCTTTCCATAGCTCTTGGTGCACGATCTGATGAACTCCTTGATCGTTTGCGGAAGTTCCGTTTTGAGAAACTTGTCAAGAGTGTTGATAATATCTTCACCATTCAGACCAACAGAGACAGCGGCGTAGAGACTATGCGGCGTGATCTTGTACTCGTGAAGAAAAGCAGGCCTGGATTGAGGCTCCGCGATAGTAACGAGGAAGTCAGTGGCTAAGTCCGCCAGAGGATGAAAGCGTTCAAGAATGATGTATCCTTTGTCGGGGTCAATCCATAATGGCCGGTTGGCGCTATCAGGGTTCGGCGCAAGATATGAGAAGTCGCGTTTGATGATGTTACTCAAGTCAATCGAAGCTTTTCTCCCTTTTCGCTTGAGCGACATTATGATGTTGCAGAAGAAAAGAAGAGATACAGAGGGATTGAAAGAGGTGGAAGATTGACCTTTAGGCAGCTGACACAGAGAACAAAGAATACAGCGGCTGAACAAGGATGACTAACGGTTATCCTGTCACGTGCAGAAGCACGCCGATTCTGTAAAGACAGGAAGGCAGGAAAACGAAGATTTGATCGATAATGTGATAAGTCATTGTTCTTATCACTCGTTCTCCAAGTTCGATTGAATAACTTAACAGACCTAAGCGGCGATATGACTTAAGACCAGGAGATACAGGTTTGATATAAAACCAATTGAAGACTGTTATATGCTTAAGTTTAACTGATATACGTATTGTTATTTTTTCGAATGAAAACACTAGTTAAGAATTATTAGTACTTTGGGAGCAAGTAGTGTCTAAATATACAGAATGTCGATGTGAGGTATTCTTCTCACTTATGTCATTTGACTAACTGCATATACTAAGGATTGAAGACACAGCAGTTCATTGTAGGAAGCACAGTTATAATCAAGCACGAGTTATATCTAGTACCATAGCATGCGAGGAGCTTTACCCGATACCGACCCCGGATCTCATAATTCTCCGAAATCTCTAGAATTCGCTATCAATTCTGCAAAACTCCCTATCTACGCCGGTGCACAAGATCTAGCAGACTGATTTGTTGATTTTTTTTTAGTGTAGGGTATCTCAATTTCTTCGATAGGGCGTGCCGGGTTATGGATATTGAATGAGAGTAAATTATACGTCCTTAGAAGACAGACATGGAATATAAGCTCGATGTTCTGCTCAAAGCTGATGCATTGCCCGGAAAAGCCTTAATCCTATTGGTGACGTGGATCTTTCGCTGGCAATTCAAGCGACATCATTTGGGAAAGTGCAGTGCATGGACCTGCATTAGCCTGGCTGGTGGCTCTGCTATTAGCATATTTCCACCAGAACCGGTTAGTGGATTCTGCTTAACTTAATAATTTCTCAATAGCGTCACAGACTATTGGCAATAGCCTCTTGCTAACCCATGGCCTAGCGCCAGTAATACCACAGCAGCAAAAAGGGGATGTTTGGCACTAAATAATTCCGACTCAGATTTGCATCTTGCAACATCGTCGACATTTACGTTCTTTAACCTCACGCTGCGATATCTGCAGTCGTATCCACTCGTTTTGACAATTGCTCTTAAACGGCATCATGGTTCGCCTTTCTGTGCTCAACCTAGCAGCCATTGCTACGCTGCTACTCGGTGCCGAAGCCGGTCCCTGTAAGCCAAAGCCGACCACAACGACAAGCCTTGCTGAGACCACCTCGACGCTCCCTGCTGATACTTCGGCTACGTCAATCGCCTCGACTACTGTCATTACCACGGCCGATACCACCACTACAATCCCAGAGGAGACTACTACAACGGCCCTGGCAGATACTACGACTACCGATAAAGCAGAATCTACCACTACGGTCGAGACAGGATCTACTACTGTCGCGGAAGGAGAATCTACTACTACAGCCTTGGTAGATACTACTACAACCCAGGCGGAATCTACCACCACCACTGCAGCGGCAGGCTGTGTTGAATCTCAGCTATTCGTCAACCCAAACTTCGACGACAGTTCCAATGACGACATCGCGCCTTGGACCAGCAACGCGTTCATCACCCAAAACCAACCCCAATCCGGCACTAATGCGCTGTACGTTTGTTCAAATTCTGCATCATTACCCTTTACATGCTAATAAATCACGAACTAGCTCCGCGACTTTCAGCAATGGTCAACCGGATTACTACGTCAAGCAGACTCTCCAGAATCTGAGCGGCAACTACAAGTTCTCCTACTATTATCGAGTCGTCAGCGTCAGCGACAATGCCGATTACACTTGCAATATTCAACTTACGGCCGGGTCTGTAAGTTCTTATGGCGAGATCGACGATAGAGTCGGTGGCTGGAAGACAGCTAGCGTAATCTTGGAGATGGGTGATGCCACTATCGCACAGGCAGATGTGCAGTTTGGTTTATCCTGCTACGGAGAATTCACTGGAATTGAGGTCGACGTTGATACTTTTGCGTTTACGCGAGTTTGTGCCGCTTAGGAGTTTGCGGCATTAGAGCAGTTTGAGGGGTCATTGGGCGTTGAGGCTTGACTTCTGATACATATTACGTATATAACCTTATGAGATTTATACTGCAATAGAAGAGATAGACAGCATAACGCCTTCTCCAGGTTAATTATGTCTCTGTCTCGACGCGTCAGGCTTGGGAACCTTTTGCCGAGGACTGCGACACCCCAGGATGACATGTTCAAAAAAGATGACCTTTCGGCGTACAGACTGCAAAAATTTCTTCATGGAAGCCACAGCTTTTGCTCTTGGCGTATGTAATGCTACTCATCGAACCTATACAGAAGCTCTCCTGGCCGAGATGAATGGCGTTTTTGATACATATATTACCCGTCTTACTTGTCAATCGCGGAGTAAATAACCCAGGACCCCTGATCAAAGTGTTAGTTGGTTGTCTGTTGACTTTATTCGGCAAAGTGGACTACATGGGCGTTGCTGACAGGTCCGTCATATGCATATTATCTCCGAAAGTAACTAGCTGTAGTGAACTATTGGCAATAGCATCCTGCGAAGCCGTTGCTCAGCGCCAGGTACAGCTGCAGGAATGAACTAATGTTCAATCTATACATAGCTGGATTTAAAAGGAGATAAATAGATGGTAAGCCCCATTGCTTAAATTTGCCTCTCGCAACGTCTCACTGTTCACATTCTCTTAAATCACGCTGCGATCCCTGCCGTCGTATCCACTCGTTTATATATATTTTTCTATTACGCACGCCAGAATGGTCCGCTTTACCCTCCTCTGCGTAGCGGTCATCACCGCCTTCTTTGCCGGAGCTGAAGCTGGCCTCTGTCGACCTTCAACGACGGCCGTGACCAGCGCTGCCGTTACTACGACTACCTCAATAGATGCCACTACTACCCTCGCGGCAACCACCACCACTGTTGTGCTAGGCTACGTCGAAACGCAGTTGTTTGTTAACCCAGGCTTTGATGATTCCGACAGCGGTTACGCGCCATGGACTGGGAACGCTGTCATAATTCAACGAGACCCTCAAGCCGGCACTCAGGCTTTGTACGTAGCTCTATGTAATATTTTCTTTTATAACGCATGCTGATACATCGTGCACCAGAGCCCAGATATACAACAACGGTCAAAGCAATGCCAGAGGCTACGTCAAGCAGACCCTGCCGAATCTGAACGGCGAATACGAATTCTCCATTATTACCGGGTTGTTGTTGCCAGGACTGGTCTCTCCCCTACGTGTGATCTCCAGATCAAGATCGGGGGAGATACGACCGTTCCCGCCAATATCGACTTAGTCGTTGGCGATTGGAAGTCAGGTAGCTTGTCCTGGTCTAGTGCAGGCGAGACTATCGCACAGGCGGATGTGGAGCTTGCCGTAACGTGTAGAGGAGACTACGACAGAATTCAAATCAATCTCGACAGCTTTGCATTCACGCGGGTTTGCAGCGCCTAGGGCTTTCTGGACATCATTGGGATATCAACATAGGCATCCTACGGCTTTCAAGACTCAACTTCTCATATTTAATACTTATATATCATTATTAGATCCAACATATCATAATCAGACAAGAATTAGATGGGGTGGATCCTAGACCGTGGAGGCCCGTTTTACTTTCATTGACATATTGGCACGTATTGCAAAAGACTGCATCGCTTTCAGACTCAGTTTGATTTGGTGGCTATTAATGATATGAGAGATGCGAGATTTGGTGAGTAGAACTTGACTTGGCCCCTAGATCCCTAACCGTACCCTCCAACAATGCATACCTCATACTAACCAAGCCAGCCAACCTATTTGTTGCTCTTGGAAGACCAGATGGGAGTAGCGCCACCGTTCTTGTACAGAACAAGGTTTCCATCATCCTGGACAGAGACAAAGGTCTTGTTGTCGCCGGTTGGGGCAGCGGTGTTGGTGTGCCAAGTGGCCTTGCCATTCTTGTCACTGCGACATATGAGTCAATAACCGTACAACGAGGGGAAAGAGAAGATCTGGGCTTACTAGATGCAAAAGTTGCCATCACCCTGCATGATGGCGCCCTTTGCGTTGCTGATCTGCTGGTCGGTGCTCTGCCAGGCACAGCGGTTGTTGTAGTAGATGGCGAGCTTGCCGTCGTCTTGCATGCGGAGCTCGACGGAGCGGTCTTTGCTGAAGATGCTCATGCCGACCATGAGCCAGTCGCCGTTCTCGAGAGTGCCGTAACCCATTTTGAGTGATTTGTGTTGGAGAGTGATTGAAGAAAGAATTGATGAGTGTAGATGAGTTGAGTTGAGTTGAGAGTTTGGGTTCATCTGAGTGAGAGGGAGGGCTTCTTATAGACAAAGATTCTCTCTGGTGACGTGGGAGAATACGCAGCACAGTACTTTGTAGATCAGTTTACGCGTACAGCTGTTCTTTTGTCTCGCAGTTCACATCCACAGTCTCCCGACATCCAATTATCTCGACAATGAGGGTCTCATATCACCGTGCATCATGTAGTTACCCGTATCGGTCACATCCTATGGGATCCTAGCATGATCTTCTCCTCACCGGGCCATCGGCACATCAAATTCCAATCACTTACTGAGACACGGTACGATCATAGTCGAGCGGTAGGCGGTTCTTTCGTGGTCTTGTTTGAGAAAAGAGATATGTATGCATCATGCTATTGGGCGGACTGCTGATCTGGCTGTCGGCGGGTTACACAGTCGCAGCGAAGAGTCCAGGGAAGCCTTTGCTACATGATGTATCTCTTCTTCCACCTATCTAGATTTTAGAAATGTTCATGCAAATGCTTCCCTTCACCTTCAACTCATTCGGCAAAGCGCTTACAGGTGAGGCTGCCGCTGGAAAGCGTTTCGTTTTCTCTCCCGATGAGCCGTCAGTCCGGCTGTGAAGACAGATTGTACCTACGGGGAAGCGGGGTTCTAGCAGATCTCAATTGTGACAGGTTTTGCTGTACCTGGTTGCACAATCTGTATGTCTCACCCAAAAGAGCAGCGGCCCGCCTGAACCCCTCTCTTCTGTCTGAGATTCAGCCCGCCACAGAACTTCCCGTGTCTCAGTACTCGGCCTTTTTTGGGTCAAAAACTAGCGACGTCATTCGTTACGTTCAATCTTGGCCATTATGCACCTAAGAATCATGTTCTCTCTTCCAGCGAGCTAATGCTACACCTTCAGCTCTAACTTGGTAATTTGATAGACACCCAGCGAAATCATATAGAACCACAAATGTTACCCTGAAAAGAAATTATTATTGCTTTCTTCGAATTCCTGGGCTTTACATCTCATTCTCAAGACCAAGTGGAAGGCGGGGTAACAAGACATGCAGGACAAAAGAATGACTGCAGACGCGTCTATGAGGCACAACCTCCCGGTGCATATCACTTATGGCATTGAGACCTGTGGGCCTGGCTAAGAGTTAGTTGCCGGAGGTTCGGAGTAACGCACCGTACCGCTCCATCTTGCAGCCGCAGATCTATCTTTCTAGTCTCGATGCATATTGCGGTGTAGATTGCCGCCGCCACTGACAAAATATGACCTGGGTATCCGGGTATTAGCGGCGCTAACAGAACATGTCTCACTTAGCTTGTGAAGTTGTCTTCCCCTGTATCGCTTGATGTCATAATCAGGCTTGAATTGAAGCCGCCGGCAACCGAGTGATGGGGGTCTGTGGCTGCAGGCATTGTTCTCGTATTGATACCTCATCTGAGGATATGCTTTCTTCTTTTGATCTATACTTGAGCAAGGTTCAGTGGCTGCTTGAGCGGTGTGCAACATTCTGGCAGCTCTCGAGGCAGGTTTCACGAGACCCAGTAATGTACTACTGCTTGCTCTGGATAGAGACAAATAAGGTGGGGAATATTGACATGGCATAGAACATCCTCCAATCGATACATGATACACCGACGTGAACTTTCCACAGACTTCCAACAATTTCCTTGCTGCAACTTCCGGCGCACTGATTACCAGAGAAGGTTGTGAGACAAGTGCCGCTTTTGGCCCACCGCATTCATCAACCGAAACCCGTCAAGTGAGACATAGTGGCGTAATGGCGTTTATTCATAATGTAAAGGCCGCAGTCACATCGTCAATGGATCTACTGTAGCAAAGCCTGTCTTCACAGAATAGTGTATAGTATTAGGTATTCAGGCACCATCAACAACCAAGTCAATTGACAAAACAATTCATTCTCCTCTAGCCCAAACGAACCTTCTTGCTGTTGGGAAGTCTCTCATATGGAATCATTTCATCAGCAAACGCCTTTGCCTTTCCATCATTAGCCCAATCCCAATTATCCATGTAACTAAAGGTTCAAAGGTTAGCAAAAGCTCATTTTGAGGCTTTGTAGAGTAACGTACGACATTAATGCGAAAAGAGCATATGACTCAGCCGTGAAAGTGGCTTTGCTCGGGCCACAATTTCCTGCGTTGGGCCCTTCGTGAGAGCGCGCCAAGTTGGAAACCCACAGAAAGTTGTCTGTTGTCATTCTATAGTCAGTAACTATCACTTTATTTCACGAGACCGAATAGAAGATAAACTGCAGAGAAAAACCCACATGTAAGATATTTCTTGAGGTCCTTGAGAGATGCGTCAGTGGTGCGTTTGCCGTCGGGTTGCTGCCAGACAAGGGCTCCCTCTTTTCCGACAGCTTGTTGATCTGGGACTGGTAGGCAAGATATCAGCATATGAACAAATTTGAAAAACAATCATTGTCAAAATACGCACTATTGCGATTCTCGGGTCCACCAGTACCATCGCCGCCAAACCAATGGGCAAGCTCGTGGACCATGACTCGAGAAAGGCTAGTAGCCGAATATGTATCCAACGTATCATCCTTCTGAACGCTGTCTTTAGCATCAACAGCAGACTTTGTACTGGCCATCGGGTCTTGAAAAGAAGGAGGACAAAAGATAATAAAATCGTTGCGAGTCAACGTGACGGCAAATACACCTGGTCTACAGAGTCCCGTGTTGGCTTGCTTGACGCCATTTACCAGGTACCGTTTCTTGTAGACCCAAGCGCCCGCTTTTGCATCCCCTATCTCCTTGGGTCTGGACTCGCGGAGAGGGCGTCCTGCTGGGTCATGGGGATCTTTGTCGTCTCTTCCTACCCAGACGAACTTACTTTCGTCGCATAGCAGAAGAGGCTTGAGTCCGCCGTAGCCATTGGCTGGAACCATCTCGTCGTTGTGAAGTGTCTTGACCATGCGATCATAAACGTCTTATGGCCAATCAGTAAAGACATATCAGCTGTTGTAGCGTTAACTTACATCTAACATTGGAGTAATGCTCCTCGTTAGGGTCGTGCCCATCTTTATTTGGCACAAAGCCGAACATGTTGGTCGCGGCTCTTGCGATACGGTCCCAGTTGGTTCGCATGTTTGAGACAAAGTCTGGACGCGCGCCTTTGAGCTTCTCAAGGTCTTCTTGAGCCTTGACTGCTAGGACTTCTGCATCGCTGTACGCCTTGTCAAAAGCACCTTTGCGTTCGGGTGTTTGGCAAGAGTCATCAAGATCCCAGACATTCATGTCTGCGGCTAAGCCAAGCCCCGCGAGGGCCACGATAGGCAAAAAGAGCTTCATGGCGAGGGAGAATAGGCCTGGATGAACTAGTAGAGAGTAGCAGAAGTGAACGACAGGACCAAGAACGGATAGAAAGAGAGAACACCTAATACTAAAGATATAAGACCTCAAAGTTATGTTTGTTGCAGTGCCCGAGACTAACAACCAAAGAAGGCACGTACTATTCGATGCTCTTGAATCGGGAAGTTGCCTGAGAATAAATCACAGGGATGCAGAAAATTTCTCCATTAAGAACAGTCTCCGTCTAAGCCTTGCGAAAAGGCACAGACAATCCTTCAATGCCACTGTAATTAACTCTCATTCTGACCTAAGAAACCCGTTCCATTCAGAACCTCGTATCGGTCCTACTGGGCGCTTAACCCATAGTACGGAAATTGCCGTAAACAAATCCAGCGTTGCAGATAGAAATGGATCCGTAGGGCTATGCCGAGGCTGTGCGGCTCGGGCCTAGATCTGTTTGATTGGCCTTGTTACGGCTTGCCATCAACCTTGCAGTCTCTGATTGGCCCGTCTATCAGAAATGCCTCGAAATGCTCCATCGCATTATTCTTAGAGCTAACGTTTGACGCTAAGCCGAGCACAGTTGAAGAAAAGCTTACTTTTAATTTTAAACATGTAAGCAAGCTCATGCATTCAGATCCTTCTGCACAGAATCCCGCTGCGGCCGGGAGATAAACTCCCGTAGTGAAGAAGATCGATTATGACCTGGAGTTCACATGCCGAAATGGGCTGTACTTCCGAAATAAGCGCCACAATTGGTGCATAGTACTCCGCTGGCTGTGCAGATCCTACGGCTTACTTGTTTGCCCTGCCCTGAGCTTGGATAATTTTGGATGAGGCAGTCTAGCTAATGCAAGGGGAGACACTATCCACCAATAATTACAACAATACTAGATGTTTCAACGAAATCATTCCGAGTGGTATATATCATAATATTCTGGCTCAAGTTGCCGAATACCACCAGTCTTGACTTGGCATCTCGGTCCTCTCCTCTCTATCCCCTCAATCGTCCTTGGTTCATCTCCTTCTTGTCTTTCGTTGTCAACATAACCGCCATCATGATGGTACCTTGGAAGGTCAGCGCCATAGCAGCACTCTGGCTAGGTGCTACGGCAGTCGGTGCAAACCTTGAACAAGAAACCTCCTCTGGTGCGGCCGTGTTCACGCACCCAGTCTATCCAAGAATTCTTGTTCCAAGGCAAGAACAAGAGATACCCGCTGATGACCGCAATCCCCCACCTCCCATCGTCCCCAATCCTCAGCCAAATCAGCCTGGAGGCCCAAACACTCCTGTCCCAGCTCCTGAGCCAGAAACCACGGCTGAACCCAACAATCCTCCCCCTCCAGCTACAACGATAGCAGCACCCGAGCCAGAGAACCCTCCTGCTCCAGTTACGACACAGAAACCTGATGAACCAGAGGATCCAAAGACCACTGATGGCGCTCCAGTACCTGTGCCCGTACCGGTTCCAGTTCCCAACAAACCGGATGATCCTAAGAACCCTGACGATCCGAAAAAGCCTGATGATCCCAAGAAGCCCGATGACCCTAAGACCCCAGACCTTCCTGATATCCCCGATGTCCCTAAGGTCCCGGACGTTCCTAAGGTTCCTGACAATCCCGACGACCCCAAAGAACCTGACAGCCCTCAAGATCCCAAGGACCCTGCAAAGCCTGACGACCCCAAGAATCCCGATGACCCTGAAGACCCGAAGGATCCCGAAAATCCAGACCCCAAGGACCCTGAGAACCCCGATCCCAAAGATCCAGAGAATCCTGATCCTAAGGACCCCGAAGATCCCAAGGACCCCCAAGACCCTCAAGATCCCAATGAACCAGATGATTGTGAGAAAAAGGAACCAGCACCATGCACAAAGACCGTTTCCTTCTACTCAGAAAGTGAGACATACACCAGGCAAGTCTACAACACTGAACCCTTCTCCTGTCAATAATCTAACAGCAGATCTATAGTACCGTCTACGTGACATGCCCTGTACCCATCGACTGCCCAGCCAAACAGACCCCCACCATCACCACCAGCATCTTCCCCGAGGAGTCAGTCCTCTTCGGCGAAGTACCAGCCGACAACGAGGCCATTCCAACAATGGAAGCCATCGAAGACGACACCTCTCGTTACTTCCAACAGGTCTTTGACGATGAAAATATCTCGATCAACGATGCTCAACACCCGGATGTTCAGTGCCAACAACAAAGTAGCGACGATGTTCCTCGCGATTGCTTCATGTCCATCTACTCCAAGTTCTGCGCCGATGTCAATGGACATGAGAGCGATGAGCTGAGCAAGAACCTCACTGGAGCTGACGCTGAGAGCGGATCTCAAGAGAAGCGTACGTCGCTCAATCTCAGAAGACATATGCTCCGAGAACGAGCTGAGTCTTGTGAGGGCTGGGTGTTCGAATACGACTGGAGCGGCGCAAAGGGCGATTGCCAGATTCCTTGCGGTGATTCTATGTACGCTTTTGGAGATGAGTGCTTTGACTCCGAGAACAGCTTTCTTGAGGGTACCATTGATGTAGGATGCGGCACATACAAGTACACCGCTATGCCTACCACCTCAACAACAGCACCGCCATTTCACTTGACCGGCCTCCCAACTCTTACCGACGTTCCGGGACCTATCTCTACTCCTGACGGTAGCTCGTGCGCCGAGACAGCGACTAACACACAGTGTGCGCAGGGCGGCGGTGGTAGAGGTCAAGCATGCGTTGAGAACACATACTGCGCATCTTGGGTCTCGACCAAGCCTACTGAAGCTCCAGCACCACCGGAAGAGAAGATCACACCTTTGGAACTGGGACCAGTGTTCTGTAAGAACAGAGGCGGTGATCATAAGGACGTCAGCCCAGGCGCGGTGAAGTCTTTAGCGGATGCGTACTGCGAGGCGAACCTGCCTGTCGATATGAAGCCCGACAGTCCTGCCGCTGGAATTACGAAGAGCGACCTGTATTACTACGAGGTTTCGTGGGTTGAGGGATGCAAGACGACCGTGGAGTCACAGGATCCGTATACGCCACTTGGAAATGATGGCCCGCTTTGCAAAGATCTGTTTGTCAAGGCTTATGCAGGCTGTAAGTACTCCTTCCCATTTTTCACTGATCGTATACTAATGTGTTGGGTTGCAGGTGATAATGGCGGTATTGGAGGATACATCGATGCGGGTTGTGTACGATACATGTTCCTTGGCGCTCAGTAGCGGCTTTCTATTTATTCATGTCAATAGCAACGATCTTCTATTAAACAAGTAATAAAGTTTTATTCTAAATGGTAACGATGCTTCTTTCCTCCCAGTCCTCCGCCAAAAGAAGCCCCGTTCCTTCACCCTCATTTGTCTTTCCCTGTAGCCTCTGCTCAAAACGAACCTATGCGGTAATACTCACCTGATTTCTCAGCTGGGTAAATTATCAAGGCAAACATTTGTCTGATACCACTACGCAGATAGAAGCAGCTAGAGAGTGCGACAGCCAGAATCTTATCTGCGAGATGGCTTGGAGTCTCCGCGTTATGAATGTCTTCTTTTGCGCTGCCTAGACTGCACGGTCGTCGAAATCTTACATTACATTTTTTATTTTACCTATCAGCCTTAGACTGAGGGACAACTTTAGCTTTTGCCTTCAGAAACCAAATACAGCCACTGAACCCTTGCATAGTTTAAACCCAAATCTAATCGCAAAGCCCACTAGCTTTAAGTTCAAAGACTGGCTCTCGGTATAAAGATTACCTAGGAAGCGACTAGTATGAGAAAGCTTTTTCATTTACATCTCTGAAGACACACAGGATAGAGTTCAAATATTCGCGCTGATCCCTCATATAAATAAGTGGCCTTATCCCCTAAAAGTGGCGTCTTGCCCTTGACATGTTGCTGGACACAACGCCATATGACAAAAGAAGAAGGATACCGCACGCAGCTATCCAAGATGTTGAAACGCTGGCTATGTACTCTCTTTAGCTGCTGCCGTAGAGGTATGCCTCCAGACTGTCCAGGTAAGACTCAGAACCGCTTCCTGCTATGGCTACTAACTCAAATGGAAGAAGAGGTGGGAAGCATTCATCCCATGAGAACGGATGAGGTAAACAATCCGATGAGTGTGGAGATGCCCAAGATAGGAACCGCCAAGAGCTCAACGAATTCGCTAATCCAGCAGACGACTTCGTCTTCGGACAAGGATCAAACTAAAAAGGCTAAACCTGAAATGGATGGCTTAGTTACACCAAAGACCCTAGCGGCATCGGAGGAGCCCCATATCGAAGGTTCAGTCACTGTTAAACAAGACAGGTTCGAGAGCTCAACGGGTTTATTTGCACAGCCAACAACTTCGCACAAATATGAAACGAGGAAGATTGAACTTGAACCTGAGTGGCCAGTAACACCCAAGAACCTGTCCCCATCGGAAATTCCACACACGCATGGTCCAGTCAACGCCATAGAAGAGAAGTTCGATAAAACACCGACTGCATCGAAATTGGCCGCCCTTCCAGAAGAGATTATCTTAAACATCCTACACCAAATATATGAAGGCGCTGACCAGCAATCTCGGTTTGCATTCTTTGTCCTTCGGCAGGTATCCCGGCAATTCAGACGTCTCGCTAAAGATAAGATGTTTCTATCACATCCTTTTTCAGACAGAAATTGCTGTGCATGGTGCGTTGGCTATAAGAATGACTCTGCTGTTGCTGGATTGAAGCATAGTAACTGGGTATTCAGAAAAACCCATTGCTTTGAGCACAAGACAAGATGCGAGGACACAACAGGATTCGCAAATCTTGTCAGAAAGGACAAGATCTGTGAAGGATGCCAAGTGGAAGTCGACAAGAGACAGAGACGTGGTGTTTCATTGACGTGCAAGTTTGCCGCCCGAGACAACAATGATTGGGTATACTGCTACATCTGCTATGTTGAACATCCATCTTCATGTTTCTCCCGTGAAGAATTACAAAAGGAATCAAATCGAGCATGCATTGCCAAAACGGGTTACGTTCGTCTCTGCGAACATAAGGTCCTGTTTTGGTATGACATGAAACACCAGGCTATGCGACCGGGTGGGTTTGACGAGATTCAAATCTGCAGACATCCAAGCCATTTGGAAAACGATCTCCGTCATAACGAAATCCCCACTGCCAAGCTAGTTGGCTCTTATGACGGCATTCTTAGTCTGTCGCTGTCATTGACTGTCGTCTCGGCGGAGAGATGTCGGACTGTTGTGACGGGTCAGAATAGCAGCGTAGCAGCCGACCAAGTACTCGAGGCTATTCAGTCCGTTCGCCGGCATAGAGCGCAGTGTATTCTTCCAGAGCGCAACACGAAAGCTCCTCCTGAAATGGACGCTTTCGTCACCCCTGACATCCATGCAGGAGAAGAGAAGATGTGGACACCCATCAGGAAATGTCCCAAACACGGCGAGCTCAAGGATCGTAACGATTGGAAGAAGCGTGCTAATGGGCTGTCGGTGTTTTGTGAGCCTCGCCACTACGGACCCAATAAATCGATCACTCGTCTTTGCTTTCTGTATGAGAGAAAGATACGTGTCAGAAACTCATATTGGAATGGACCAAGCCACGACTGGTACCATGCGATCAGCCCAGAATCATATACATATTCTGGACCGTCAGGCGTTCCTGGGACAGGCTCTAGTCCTTCCTGCCGAAACCACTACCCATTTACAACGAATACGAAGCGCCATAAAGTTAGTATGTGGAGGCGCGATAGAATCTCAGGATAACTAACATCGCAGTGAGATAGATAGTGCAAATTCAGAAGTTATGTGAAACAGTTCTAGCTGACAGCGGTGAGGTTGTTGACTATGACCCTTGCTATATAGAATTATGTGTTTTGGATTGATTCGCAGGGCTCAGAGTTTATCCCGCCTATATGAGAATAAGAACGAGCAGTTTTATTTGAATTCCATAACTAAAGAGAACATATGTACTCTTATGCCCCATAAAGAACCGATAGACCGTGATTTCCATGAGACTGTGATTTGACTCGATTCTCGTGACAAGTGGCTGGGCTTGTGGGCCTATAAGCCTCACAAAGGTGTTCAGAGTGTTGAGAGGTGATCAACACACGAAATGTCGTTTGATTCTCGGCTAGGTACACTTCTCTATGCTTGGGTTGAAAAGCCTGCCCATCACGTCTTGGTGGCTGGCTGGGTACATTCTAAACCACTAGGAACGTTCTGCGCCATTGCGCATTATGAACGTACCAATGAGATGATGCCAAGTCACACCGTGAACAGGCCCTTGGGGCTGTGGTGAAATGTACATTCAATGTCACAAATCAGGCTGTGACTGCTTTGTTGGAGAAAACAAAGAAGTCCGGACTCTGGCCAATCTTCCCTCACTCACCGAACTTTTGGCCGTCGGGGTATTCTGTTGAGTCCTTCATCAAAACTCTCTTCTTGATTGCCTTCCTCGCATAGTCAACAGCCGGCATCAGTGACCATGGAGCCCGTGGGTGCTACCGCCAGCATACTCACGTTTGTGACTGTCGCATTTTCCGCTACCAAGTCAATTTACGGCGCCCTGTCAGCAATCAAAGACGGTCCTGAAGTCCTGAGCTCCATCAATCATGAGATATCCCAGCTCCAAAATATTCTTCAGAGATTATTGCAAGTGGTTTCATCAACAGCCAGACCTACCGATAAGCTTGAGCAAATGGTCAAGAAATGCAGAGATGATTTGGTCGGATATGAGGTCAAGCTTCGCCAATTCGATGTCTCGGGAGCCGATGGTCGTAGAGGCCAACTATGGCGAAAGCTGAAGCTTTGCTTTGAGGAGAAGGAGCTCGATCGGATCCGCCATGTAGTCGGGAGGCATATTCAATTACTCACACTCCACTTGGGCACTATTCAGGACGAGCATACGTCGCTCATCGCGACACAATCAACGGACATACTTGCACATGTTAAACGCCTTCAGCAGTCATCGTCTACAACAACACAGTCAACAAAGATACTTAACCGCATTGAGTGTCTCCAGGAGACAGCACCTACAGCAACACAATTAAATGAGGTGCTTGTTTCTCTCCAACAACTCCAGCAAGATATGGCGGTATTGCGACTATCCTGTCCATCTGTTCAAACTCAAACTGGGTCATCAAGCATTCCATCAAGCGTTGTAGAACTAGACGACAAAGATTCACCGATTTCGCAGCAGACCGCTTTGGATGATACCATCGCTCGATTGATGCGGTTGATTGAAAAGAAGCCTTCGGTTATGGAGTTTCATGATGCACAAGAAATATTCGACGACCTGGAGCGGCTATTGCAGTCTGTTCGTGACGATATACACTCCACAAAAACGGCAGGTGGATATCAGGATAAAGGTGCGGATGTCTCAAAAGAGATGAAGCTATTCACTAGCCTGATTTTCTCCGCCCAGTCATTGAGAGTCAATCAAACCGGTAAGCTTATCTACCTTCCAACAAATTATTGGCTAACTTGAAAGAAACTATGAACTCTTTTGAGGCCACAGAGCCAAAATTTGCGATCTTTCAACAGAAAAAGCGCAAAGAAATGAACATCGGGGACAATTTCCTTACAGTCACGACAGCAAAACGACGCAGGCAACTTTTGCCCTTGCCACAAAACGCTCAAGACAACGAAGCATGCGGATGGGGGTTTCTTGGAAATCTAACCGTAAAGTCAAAGACCAAGAAAAGGATGATTAGCTTATCGGTGAACCGGGGCCAGCTTTTGTTCGATAAATTCACCAGCATGATGCCGCGAGTAATAGTTTGCCAGATTCTCCCTAACAACTCGCATGTTTTCCGAGTGGCATCAGAAGGATCGGTTCAAGATCTTATGAGATTGATAGTTGAGAACAAAGCTAGCCTTCATGACCATGATGAAGATGGGTGGTCTTTGCTGCATGTAAGTGATCACTACACATAGATCTATTATTTGCACTCTATATCAAGCTAACTATCCTGCTCCCCATCTCAGCATGCAGTCACAAATCTTCCAATATTGAGGTTTCTTATCCAGCAAGGTTTAGATGTTGACGGGGTTGGTAAAAATAAAGACCTAAATACCGACAGGCAAATGTATTCTCTTTCCAAAATCTTTCCATCTAACTCGAACTAATGATCCGTAAATACAGAAACCCTTTGACAATAGCATACATGCATGACCATGATATCAGTTCAGACGTTCTTTTATATGCTGGAGCTGATCCCACTGTCGAATTGAACGGTGATATAACGTTCTTACGTTGCATTGCTTATGATGCCCACATTACGGTGAGAGAGCCATTGCACGATGTAGAACGAGCTAATTGTTAGCATGGATAGTACAGAAATATGCTATACCGCACCATACTTACTAGCCCATTCCTATTTTCACGCTATCCAAGGGATGACGGGTATATGATGGGGAGCCTCTGTCAAAGATGGGCAGATTCCCAAGCAGGAGATTTCAATCCAGAGCAGGAGCGGCAAACTGTGAATTTCCTAATCAGCCACGGTTACAGCAAACAAAGGAAAATTGGCCTTCTTGGGTTCTTTTCGAGTAGGAAAAGATCATTGTCAAGGGTACTGGAGCGGCGAGATCTGTTGACGTATTTCATATCGAGGAGCGCTGATCCTTGCATGGCCGATAGATGGGTTGTGGCACCTTCATACCGTGCATATGGAAGCATGTGTAAGCCCTGTTCCATGACACGGTCCTCTTTAATGGGTGATCTATGGGATAGTGTTCTTGACATTTGTGGTTACGACGTCTCAAAGTTTCGGCGTAATTATCCACGGAAAGCAAGTTATAAAAATGGCTATAGTCGCGAAATATTCGAAGAGCTGTGGCGTGGTAGCGAGGACCGCTGCCCTTACTGGAACGATGACCCTTGGCCAGAGTTCTCACATGAAGCGGCGGAGTTCACCTTTAAGTCGAAACTAGGCCAGGGCTTGTGCTTACGTTGCTGGTCTTGCCTCTATAAGGATGACTGGACTTGTTATAATTGCGGAATTTGTCTTTTGGTCTTCCAGTACTCCTGTGTTGAGGAACTCGATGTTGATCATATACACGACCAACATTGTTCACGCTCCCGAGTCGGGTATTTCGAGCGTTCTGAAACTACTGGCTACTATGAGTTCAGGGCGAGGAGCTGTTCAGGTTTAGACTCAGATGGTGAAGAGTCTGATTACGACAACATTTCGTCCTCGCGTGATGAATTCGAAAATGCACAGTTACCGCCAGCTCAGGCAGTTACTGCACATCGGAGTTATGGCGATGAGGAAATCATTTCGGAAGACGAGTCAGTTGGGGGAGTGTCGCTATAGATTTATTTAAGGGATTTAGTTCTCAAAAGCTTACTAAGTAGACTATAGGTTGCTTATTGTCTTCTTAATCTATTAAGTTCAATTTGAACATTATAAGCACATTAAGATACTAGGTTCTCTCGGCTGGATTAAGCTCTCAGCCATAACTCTCAGTGGCAAAAATACAAAGCTATAGGTTCTCTTCCAAGCCTGTACAAGACCAGAACATGCGATTCATGATCTGTGTTCCTGTTTGAGATAAAGAATTATAGGATATCTCACTGCTGTAAAATGTGCTACACAGTTTCAATTTGAAGCACTATATGAGCTAATGCTTTCGTAGAGCACTATCTCCCACGAGCTGATGATCACGTCATAAGCGACGCATCTCTATGTCTTACCGACTTTTGCTTGTTGAGCTGCATTGTATAGGATGCTGTTAAATTTCGTAACACCTACTTGCTTTTCCTATGCTAGATTACCTGTCCAAAGCTATATAAACCAATTTGCATTACCTGTATTGCACAAGATGAAGTTCCGATAGTTCTCATCCCTCATATGCCACGCTTTTGCCTGTATTTACTCCTCTGGTTCAGTATTCTTACTCCCCAGCAATAACCCTGCTATATCCTCATACCCATGTCTGATGGCCCATGATAGTGCTGTGTATCCCTCGTCATCCCTAATTTCAATGTCCACATTATAGTCCAGCAGTAATTGAACGATTGCTCTGTGCCTAGCCAAGACTGCCCAGTGCAACGCCGTCCATCCGTACCGGCCCCTTGCATGAATGTCTGCCCCAAAGTCCAAGAATAGCTGCAACATGGCCTTATCCCCATTCCTAGTTGCCCATAATAGCGCCGAAGATCCTTCGTCGTCTTTTGTGTCGATATCTACTTTCTGCCCCAAGAGTGCCTGGACTATTTCCATGTCCCTTTTTCTGACTGCCCATATTAACGCTGTTGACCCACCTTTATCCATTATATCGACATATGCTTGGTGCAGTAAGAGAAGTCGCACTGTCTCTTTATCCTTATTTCTCGCAGCCCATATGAGAGCTGTCTGTCCTTTTTTATCCATGGCATCAATAACCCCATGATGCCCGTGCTCTAGTAAGAGTTGCACCACAGTCTTATGCCCATTTCGGGCAGCCCAGTATAATGCTGTTAATCCTGCCTTGTCTTCTGCTTTGGCATCCGCGCCAAATCTTAGCAACAACCGCACTAGAGCCTCATGCCCACTTCTAGCTGCCAAGTTTAAGGCTGTCCTCCCGGCCTTGTTCCTCGTGTCAATTTTTGCGCCTTCCTGAAGTAGTAATTCCACAGTAGTTGCATGCCCATTCTTTGTCGTTCTACCAAGCGAAGTCCACCCATTGTTATCCACCACATTAGGATCTGCCCCATGGTCTAGTAGTAGCCGCACCACAGGCTTGTGCCCATTCATGGATGCCCAACATAGTGGTGTCATGCCATCCTTCTCCGGGCCACCATATGAAGTTCGCTCAAGCAATATCCTCACTACTGTCTCAAACCCGTTCCTCGCAGCCCAGCTTAACGGCGTCCTTCCATCATTATCTGTTGTATCAGGGTCTGCCTGGCACTCTAGCAGCATATGTACCACCGCTTTATGCCCTGAAGCTGCCGCCAATGATAATAGGGCGCGTCCATTCTTGTCTTTCAGTTGAATATTAGTTCCAGCCAGAGCCAACACCTCAGTTGCTTCTGAAAACCCATTGTTGACTGCTGTATTCAGAGCCATATCTCTGAATGTCTCTGCAATAGAGTTTGATTGCTCGCTGAGTAAAGTTTCCCCGAGTTGTGATCTTGCCCACCTTTCTAGCAGATAGGTAGCCCCATCAGAAGTGCGAATCAATTCATCGATAAACTGGGTCTTCAATCTCCGGACATAGGCATCTCCCCGGCAACGATCCAGGTGATATTTGAGATGCGCCAGAGCATAGCTTGCCAGCGGCCTCTGATTAATATGATGAACACAGCTTACGAAATCTTGCAAATTCCACTTCCTGACATCCGAGGGTCTTGTTGCCATGTTTGCAGTGCAAAGCATGAGGTATCGGATGCAGGTAATAGCCATAGAAACGTGAGCGTCGTCTCCGACCATTTTGAACTTGGACATTGCTACATACCCATTAGGACGGAGAAAGAATTCGCGGACCGTTTGGTGCATAGCCTGGACTGTAGCTTTTCCTGAAGAGCTGGAGGTCCAAGTACTGTTGTGCTGCTTGATTTCCAGGAAATTGCCACCGCAATGTACGATGCGTCTTTCATGCGGAATTCGTCTTTGGAACAGATCTTCTGAGGCTAGGAATTCTGGTTCAGGGCTATCCGGAATACCAAGAGCATGGAGGAGCTCGCGAACCGAAAGCGGACGGCCAGCAAACAAAACGAAGCGAAACATCTTGACTCCATCTCTCTGTTCTTTGTCTGTTCTTGCAGTCATTTTATCAAGCATTCGTTGGTAGAGTTCGTCCAGCTCGGTAGGAAGACTCCTCAAAAACTCAAATATGTCTTCCTCAGCACAGCCTTGCTCATCGTAGGCGAGCAATTCCTCTCCAACCAGCTTTACCCACAAGAATACACCATTGGCATTCTCAACCATATATCTTCTTGCTTGATCAACAAACTGTGGAAAATCCACGCGTTGTAGAAATGCACTGGCGAAGTTAAAGATATCCGATTGTGTCTCGTCCTGTAGTCGAATGAAGCTGTGAAATTCGCTAATTCGGCGTTCGAGAGCTGCGACTGGTCGACTTGCCATAAACACCTTTATAAAGCAGACTTTCGTCTCCGAACAAATGCCAAGCAGTAAATCTAGAATCTCGCGTCTGTCCTTGTCATCGGATTCGTCGACTGCATCGATGATAAGATAGAACCGTTCCTGTTCTGCGTAATCTCGTAGAGATGAAAGGAGATTCTTCAACGACAAATAGTCCCATGATACGAGACCTCCATCGCAACTACCGCCTTCAGCCAATTTACGACGATATTCATTTTGGAAGCGATGGTAAAAGAAAGCCTCGTGTTGGTTTAGGATGCTGTAGAGGATCGATCGAAGCATGTTGTAGTGACTTCTTTGGGCCTCTCCCTCTCTCCAACTGTAGAAGAACGTGGCCAGAATCGCAGGTTTCACACTCAGTTCCCGCTCCAGCAAAAGCTTTGCAAAGTATTTTGTAAGTGTGCTCTTTCCACTGCCAGGCTTTCCTTGGAGATATAAGAGCCGGGAGGCGTCTGCTGCTAACCATTTCAAGCACTGAGTATGTGTCCAGATCCACTTGAGGGAGCCTTCATGTTCTTCTGAGATCCTACCATAACGGGAGTTATCGAAGTATAGACTAGCAAGGCAATCTTTACGTGTCAGAATCAGTCTGATGTACTAAAGTATAAGTGGATACAGACTGACCTTTTCTCTCTTTGTCATATTCGATACACGGTAACCCGGTAAAGAGTTCCTTCAAGTCAGCTCGTGGTCGACTCGTGAGTAAAATCTTAGCTGTTGTCGTCCGTCCTAGAAGATAATCAACAAAGCCACGAACCCCATCCTTGAATTCATTTCTGTGATCTTCAATATCGTCCAGTCCGTCGATAATGATCAGCATTTCTAAGTCTTGTTCAATATCCAGAGCTGCCTGTAAAGCGGCCCAATGATCAAATGCCGAGGCTTCTTCAAGCATTGTCTTTATCACTTCATGCGGACGGCCGTCGTCTTTGAAGACAGTGTCTAATTTATGGTGCCATTCGGAAATTACCTTCGGTGCCGCCCGCCGTTCTTCACCTCTTTCGTGCCGTTCGGTATCCCTTTCGCGTCGTTTCACTAGTCTCTCGCGTAGGGTATGAAGAAACTCTTTAATAATGGATACTTGCTGCGTCGATGACCTGTAGATGATTTCAAACAGGAGCCTTCGAACAAGTTTAGCACTTGTCTCGTCACCTTTCTTTAATGAGCAGAAAAATCGTAGAACGCTGCCAGGAGTCCAAGTGGTATTTTCCGGTTCCGCAATGTATGATGAAACTTCGTAGAGACCGCATTCGGGCGGGCCAGAGAGCCAGAGCCCCTTTGAAAGGCTGGATTGCACCCAGTGTTTAAAATCAATATTCTTGAAGACCCAATGAAATTTCTGCTGTTGACAATCGATGGTAACTTTAGGTATCTCTTGGCCATGGCCCCTGTTTGATAGTACTTCAAGGAACGGCTGTGGATCTACACCATCAATGATAGATCGTAGGAATTCCTGTTAGGAGAGGGTTCCGAACATTAGCAGTAAGTCCTCATTCTGATATTCAATGAGAAATAAATTGCCGTACAGATAAGAACATTCCTTGGGCTCTTTGAGTTTCTCGCACTTCGGTTTGTGGGATAATTGACAGGATCTCCTTCGCGCACAAGGCTGCGGCCGCCGACGCATAAGGCTGCCATCTCTTGTTCTTGTGAGAATCTGCATAGTCACAGATACCTCGAATAACAAGACAGGGGAAACTGTTCATAAGTCCTGCTGCTTCCATCTCGAAGCAAAGTACTCCACCAAGCGCCCGGCTAACTTGGTCCCTTAACTTACTGTCTCTCATAACCTGATTGCCGGAGGCGATGGTGCCGTCATGAACGGTACACCCTCGACTTTCATAGGCTTGCCGCCGGATCTGTCTGTCAATATCACACCTTTCACATCTGTCCCCGCCGACGTGCTCGTAGGTTGATTCAAATAATATGTCGGGTCCTGCATTCTCAGACGTGAACACTGGTGAACTGTTCAATATGGATAGCCGCGATGCAAAATTACTCATCCCTCGCAGTTCATTGGTCTTGAATTTCGACAGTGCGTTGAGTAAGATTTCCGGTGGCGAATTGAGTGAACCTGTTCGTTCACAAGTGCGCGGTCTAACCTTTCCCATATCATACTGAACGACTCCTCCGTTGTGTTTCGTCGGCTGGCTAACGACGACATCCCCGAGCCGAATATCTGCTTGGTCGCTTGGTACACCGCCTCCAATTCCCACCATCAGGCCGAACCTAATCGCTGTGAAGGTTGACTTCATCCGGGCGGCCATGACAGCAGCAGAACTGGTTCCTAACTGACCTGCCGGAAGGCATGCAATAACAACGTTATGGTTATTAATACAGCCAAGCGTATATAGGTTGGTGTCATTGGCGTCCTGGTATGATAGGTCCTGGTACCGTTCATCTAGAATCTCCTGCGCCGCGGCGAGCTCGATTGGGAGCGCACAAACCCATCCAACCGTGAACTCCTGCAGGGGGATCTTTCTTCTACTCATTTCAGAAGCTTAATCAACGGACGAAACATCAGTGGAAAATTTAGAACCTTTGGAATGATTGACATATTTCTGCCCAACTGCTGTTGGGCTCAGCCTTATGTCCTCATGCACAACAGGAAATCTGACTGCTTACAGTGATTGCAACGCGCGTAATTACATATTTGCTAAATTTGCAGCAATCCGCATGAAATGGGATTCAATGTTGACACAATGTCGAGAAGGGCTTGCCTATAAATATGATTGCAGTCTCTGCAGTTTCAAATCCCTGAAACGCAATAGAACCTCCCCTGGACTTTATAGCTAAAGGTTCTCTTTAAAACCTCTATATAATTAAGATAAGTAATTTAAGATCTATCTTACTATTTAAGATAAAGCATTATAGAATATCTTATAGTTATAAAATATACTATATAAGATTTATTTTAAAGTACTATATGATTTAATATTTATATAGAGTACTATCTACTAGAAGTAGGTAATTATATTATACTAGGTTGTAGCTATAACTATTAAGGTGAGAGCGACTGCTTGATGACGGTAAATTTGCTTCCACTAGAATGGGAATCCATCTATGTTTAATGAAGCGTTTAACACATACACCCGCCCTTGTCAAAACTATTACTCGACTTAAACCATCTGCTGCGATGCTCGCTACTCAATTTCCTACCTGTCTGACGGCCAGGACGGTGTTCAATGAATGCCGTGAATGCGGGGTCAGATCGAGGATTGCAGACGGCCAATGTCTACACCGTTGTCTATCCATTTCTCTAACTAAATGCAGGTTAGTTTCTATCCAGGTAAAGACTGCAGAAAGAAAGGTCGCCTGTGTGATGATATAATGATCCCCATTCGGAAAATGCGGAGTAAGCTCAAGAACAATAGCTCAGTCTAGGGAAGGAAAGAAAACTCAGAATCTTAATCCTAAATGACAAGGGACTTAGGTAAATGTATACAAATTTAGGATGTCTTTACTACCTAAGTTTAGGGCACCTTTGATAAGCTTAGGATACATTTTGCTGAGTTTATTTTGACATCCTGTATTAAAGTCCAGTCTTTTCTTGCTCCCAGAGGTCACTACCATTGAAAATATGAGTCTCCACGATTGGCCCATCTCCACATTCCGATCGCTTCAAGCCATGTGGGGCCGGATAGCCGGTCTTCAACCCCGCAAAGAGCTTCCGGGAATTGTTTATAATGGAGAGCCGCCCGGAGGGATTGTGGATGTACTTATTGTTTTAACACCCGAATGAGACCTCTGTATATTGAAAGCTTAGTTACATAATTGACTAAAATTCCCAAGCTTCTCGTTTTGAGTCCTAGCCCGTCACCATGGACCGCCTGTCCCATCTCGTTTCGGACTTCTCTCGGGGGACTCTTCTCGCAGCGCTCTCACTATCGTTATGCCTGCTTTATCTATCAATTAAAGTCAGTCGCCGCATCTGCAGCTCATATCACCGTCTAATCAACATCTTTGCAGATCATCGGCCGTTTATTCTTCAGTCCACTTCGACATGTCCCAGGGCCATCCTCTACCAAGCTCACTAGAGTAGCAGTTTGGCTGAGCACCATACAAGGTCGTCGCGTTTACGTACGTTCATCTTCTCCCATTTCCTATGAGCTGATGCTGATATAAGAGCCCGAATACAGAAGCTGGAGGAGCTACACAAAAAGTACGGTCCTGTTGTGCGAATTGGTCCGAATGAGGTATCAATTAGTGACTGGCGACACCTGCGCACGATCTATCTCAATACCAAGGGAATGATAAAAGACCCATACTTCTATGAACCTGCTACCTTTGTGGGCAAAGACAATATCTTCCAGATGGTGTGAGTATAGTTTTCCTTTCTGTCACCTCCTCCTACGTTCTTCACTGGCTTCATACAGTAAGGCCTGATGTCTAACTTGATATAACAGAAATGTCCAACAACATGCTGCACGACGAAAGATGAGCAGTCCTCCATACTCACTGCAATCCGTCGCACTACTGGGTCCCCTGATCAAAGGCAATGCCCAACGTCTTGCGCAACGGCTCAAAAGCGGCATTACATCTCCCGTCGACGCCTACACACTATGCGGTCTCTTCAGCTTCGAGGTCATCTGCCAAGCTGGCTTTGCAAAAGACTTCTCCAACGACACCAGTGGCGCAGCTGCTCATAAACTCCTTCAAGCAATGGACGGAAGCGCACTCACCCTGCTCTTTGACGGTGCTCTTCCTTTTGTAGCCAGATTTGACATCGGTACGAAGTTACCAGGCGTCATTGGTGATTCATATCGTAAACGAGATTACTGGCGGGAGAAGTCTTATGAGATGGTCGATCATTTTCTTGAGAAGAGTGCGGATGATGAGAAGTATTTGCTTACGCCGTTGGCTACCGGTGTTGATGGATACCTGGGGCGCAAACTCACTCATGAGGAGCTTGTTGAGGAAGCTATGGGGTATATGTTTGCTGGCTCAGGCACGACATCATCGACATTGACATATCTGCTCTATGAGCTGTCAAAACCGGAGAACGCCGCTATCCAGGAGCGATTGCGCGCCGAAGTACTCGCCATACCTGACGATGATATCGTGGCCATCAGAAACAACGCGTACATCAACGCAGTCATCAAAGAGGCATTCCGCGCTCATCCAACAATCATCTCGACTATCCCCCGCCTACTCACCGAGCCCTTGACACTCGGTCAGTACGTTCTGCCATCTGGCACAGTCATCGGAATGCAGAATTGGCTTCACCACCACGATGCCTCTGTCTTCCCAGAGCCAGAGAAATTCATCCCCGAACGATGGCTTAACGAGACTTCCGAGATGAAATCCGCTCTTACACCGTTTAGTATTGGCAAGAGAAATTGTATCGGTCAGAATCTGGCGTGGCAGGAGCTTTATTGGGCTGTAAGCGAGGTCATGCGCTCCGGTTCAAGATTTAGAGTTGCGGAGGAAATGAAGGATTGGGAGATGGAGATGGAGGATCGGTTCAATACCGCTCCGCGGGGGAGAAGGCTCATGCTTACTGTTTCGCCAGTCGATTAGGAGAGGGCTATTGTTGGAAAATCGGATAATTGAATGGATGTGGATGGCGACTGATCAACTTCTGCTAAAGTAGCACGAGGCTGAGTGTTTTTGAGGGTGCGCCATGTCGCCAGACTGTTTTTTATCTAAATATCTGATGCGAGCAATCACCATGGTTTCAATACATGTGACACAGATCGAGACAGTTGATGGCAATATTTATGATCAGGATTGAAGAATTATATTATACAGGCCGTGTATTCTAATCATGCATTTTGAACGCCAAATACCCAGTATACAAATAAATTATGTAGTACAGTCTTGAAGTCACGTCATTCTCCGCGTCAGGTATCATATCGCTTCCCCCAGTCTATCATTCTATTCCCTTTCATTACGCCTTCTGCTTCGACACCGCCCTGTATCGACTAGGCAACCCGACATTACTCCTCTCCGCCGGCGGGATACTCTGCGCATAGCCTCCATAAGCCGGCAGCGCAGGCTTCACTGCCGGAGCCATGCTCCCACTAGTCCCCGGTCTTTGCGGAATGCTACCCCATGAATTATTAGACTGATGTTGTGCGCCATACGCCATCGTCTGTATAAACTGCATTTGATCCTGGATGCCCTGCGGTATTTGCTGATGTATTTGCCCAGAAGGCGTTTGTGGCCGTGATAATTGATGTGGCATTGGCGCGCCATACGGTGAAGGCATGTATGGTGATGCACCCGTCAAAGCAAACGGGTTCTGTAGTGCTTGAAAACTAGCACTTGGCGTCCCCCGTCGCGAAGCTTTAGCGCGCTCCTCATTCGCAATAACGCTGATCAAACCGCCCGTAAACATGGGCTTCTTTGTCTGGAAGGGATCCTGAAACGGGTCTTGGAAAGGATCTTGAGGAAGATTTGTTGCAAAGGATGGTAGGCGGAGATGTGAGCCGTTATCGGGCTTTCCTTGCGCCGAACCGGGTCTCATCATGTGTTGTTGCGCGGAAGCTCGGAGATTGGGGTTCGATCGAACACCCGCCAAGCGAGACATGCGATCCCGTTGGCTCCGAGCCTGCAGCATAGCCAGCGGGACGTCGTCGTCGCTATCGTCGTCAGGAATGTTCATCCAAGGACCTTGTATAGAGGGAATGCGCGAGTGTTCTGTTGATGGGGGTCCTTCGGTCGTCTTCATCATTTGTTGTCGGTATCCAGCAAGATGCGCTTCTTGACGTTTTCGCTGATCATTTTGCCTTTTTGGCTTGCTGTCGTCGTCGGAATCGTAGTTGATGTTCTCTTCTTCATCTTCGCTGTTCTGCTCCTCTTTTCGCTTTCGGTATGCTTCTTGTGTCATGACACTAGGTGTTGGGGAAGTGCGGCCTGGCATTATGTCGGTGTTTCGGGGAAATGGTGTCAGAGCAATTAGATGGTCTAGCTGTTGAAGTCTGGGGAAGATAAGGACAAAAAGAGTGGAGTGTTAGAGGTCATACAAGGTCACCGTGGGTAAAAGGATAGAATGACAGTGAAGGCAGTATGATTTGAAGTGCTGCTGTCCTTTTTGTATAAAGTTCGTAACGGACAATGTCATAGAACTGCCGGGGCTTTACTAATTCTACGGGGCTCATCCCTGCTTACAATCAGGTACTAGCGCCCCGTAGCTAACGTCAGATTGATGACCATAGCGGGTATGGCTCCCTCTCTGTGCAGTCCTCCCCCAATAATTCATGATCCAAAGCTGCAGACAGAAACTTTGTGGCTGGCTGCGTGTTTAAATAGTTTCTACAAAGCAACGTTTCCTCCCAACAGAACCTTTGCCTCACTGTCTTCGTGTCTGTACACGCATTCCTTTCTCGTGTTTTTGCTGACGGTCGGGACGTCCGGGTTCTGCTTAGCGCTTTGATGACATGCGTTTTGATGCTTCGGGGAGACCGTTACATAGCGCATTGAGGCTTAACTGGCCCCGTCCCCCTTTTTTTTCTCATCCCAAGTCTTGGGACTTTGGCTCCAGCCAGGGTTCGGATAATTTTAGAAACGCTGATAGTTTCAGCAGACTTCTCAGTTTGGTGATATTTTTCTCGCCCTCTTGCATTGTTCCGTGCAAATTTGATGTCTGCGTATTTCAACGTCTCTCATCTCGATACTAAAGTTCCAATTGAACAGAGTTTTCACTTGCAAAGCTTATTGCATTTCCTCGTAAACGGACCAGGGGGAAGTTGGGCCCAGAACTTTGCAGGTCGCGGGGCAAAAACCTCGTATAGATAAAATCGGAGCAAGATATTTTCCGCTAATCAATTGGGGCCCGAGATGGGGCTCGGCTGTTATTTTAAGGCTGGGAATGACAAAGCAGGAATTCTCCTTTTCTACGCCAAGCTTTCTATTTATATCATCATCCAATATTTGGCGGAGAGTTCTATTTTGAACCCGCCTCATCTTGCTTTCCCGTCAAAATGCCTGTAATATTTCTATCTTTATCATTGAAGTTTGGAGAACCCCATTTCGATTGGTATTCTAGCTTCAGTTGACTGCCGATCGCGACGTAATACTAGGTGGAATGGCATGCTTCTCCAGAATTACCGATGTAGATACAAGCTTATCCTTATCGCGATAGCACTGGTACAGATACCCTAGAGCTGCACAATTTGCCTTATTTCTTATTGAAGCCACGCTGTGTATTTTATACATAGGTGCTTCAATCTTCTTTTCTATCCAAATAGATTCGAATGAATAGTTGCAGGACTACTCTATCATAGAATGAAGATTGTAGACATGCTGTGACAGCACGACAACTAATGTTTTCTGCCATAAACACCAGACGCAGAAAAGTCACGCCGCTGTTTGATCCATTGGTGAGATTCTTGGATCCCAACCAAACGTGGGCTGCGGCGGCACATCGTTCAGTATTCATTAGCTCAACTAGCAGAGACCAAATCAAGGAATAATCTGTCCCTGGAGTCCGGACCATAAGCTGAAGATGATCTTTTCTCAATCTTCCATCTCGGGCAGTATTCCGTTCGAATTCCTCCTATTAGATGTATAGTTACTCGTTGAATATAACTAAAGGCTGCCACAATTATGCTGAGACATTAACCTTTCTATCGTCTCAATTGGCTCAATTGACTTCACCGCTAGCGATGATCATTACTATGCTGCTCAATGTCTCACGGCTAAGCCGCGCCACGGCTGGTCCAAAGCGAGAAGTAGCAGAAAATTAAGCTTACCGCTCAATTGGCAAGATTAACATGAAGATACTGAGGTATCTAGTCTTCAATTACTGTACTTATGGAGAGCCCGACTGCCAATTATTTCGTGAGCGGTTGATCGTGATCAACCTTCTAAACACTCAACCATCTCGAAACAGTTACATCTCTAATCATGGCATCTGAGTCGAGCCACGAGCTTCCACCAGAATGGGGCCTCGTGCCGCCCAACCCAGATCCGGATCTAGTCCTCCCCGGAGATGCCATTGGACGAGAACTGGATCGAATTGAGATGCCGTCTCTCGATGTTCCCATCAGTCGCATCATAGGATCTATGCCCCTTGTTTTTCGCCCTGATGTTGAGATCACTGAACTGTCCGAGATCGACTCGGAGACTGACGAGCCTGAAACCCCACCTGATACCAGTGCTAGCTACGCAGGTTGGAATAGAACTATCAAGTCCGATAGTACTCCTCTTCAGCGAGCTACGACCATCGGAGGCGCTGTTGTGCACAATCTATGTCTTGTCATTCCAGATGATGACCTGAACGGCTTCGCCGACCTTCCAGTCCAGCCTGTTCGAGCAAGCAAAGGAGAACCGGCTCAATTGGTTGCCAAGATCTTGGACGATGAGACCGAAACGGCTCCCATGCCATTTCTCATCCTTCCCGATGAACGTCGAGGTGGGCCCGACGTCAGAAGTGCCGACTCCGCTGCGATGGATCTGCTCGCGACTTACAGTCCCGACAAATCAACCTCTCAGCCTATTGCTTCGGCCCTTGCTGCGCTCAAGGCACGAGAGCCAGTCTGGGGAGAAGGGGGACGAGGAAGACCAGAAGGAAAAGCTTGGGAGATCGAAGATGGAAGAGTTTGTCTTGTCTGGAGACATCAATGACTTTTGGGGGATCAAGGGCCTGACTGCCAAATTATACAAGTATAAGGGCAAGTCACTATATCAGTGCTCATTGCAGCCACCTGCTTGAACGGCGTTGGTGTTGATTGTACATTCGACATGAATCTGACTCATCATTAGGACCTGAAAGGGACGCCGTTGATATTCCCGAGATGCCGGAAATTCGAGAGGATAAGACCGAAGCTAAGACCGAGCAATTTGGTGGGAAGATGGTGCCTTTGTCTGACGAGCCAGACACTAAGCCAAAGGATAAAGATGATAAAGGGGAAGATGGAGAGAAGCAAGATACGGACGAGCCTGCCAGAGAGAAGATCAAGCTGAACACGGAAGGCTTGAGCCTCAAAGGGCAGCCTTTGGGGAAATTGTTTCCCTTCATTAACAACTTCAACCTCAGGAACCTTCCCGTGGAGAACCTCGAAATCACCTACTCTGAAGAGAAGAAGAACTTTCTCTTCAAACCTGGGCTGCGACTCGAAGTGGACGTCGCGTTCAAGAATAGCCTCGCCTGGGCGGGCGATGCCTTGAAAAGTCTCTTTGGACCCAACGACCCTCCCAAATCCATTCATCTAAGTGCCCATTTGGCGGACACGCGCGACTGGTCTAAGAGGCCCAAGATCGAGAACTTGGTACTTCAAGGATACTTTCCACCACTTGCTCTCAAAGCCTGGGATCTTCTGAACTTCCGAACGCTGGGTATCGAGATTATAGCCACCAAAGCGGCCAAAAACAAGCGATCAGAAGACGACTCCGAAGGCGATAAGCCTGAAGATGGAAGGCTAAAGGAGGAGAATCTGGACGATGCTGGCGATAAGAATGAGGAAGGGGAAGACGAAGAAGAAGGTTCCGACGACAAAGCGAAAGAAAAGAAGTCTTGGTTTTTTGGCTTTGCCTTTTTCGGAACCGTGCTGATCACGAAGGTTCCCCATGCAAATGTCCCGCTGGGCGTCAATTATAGGATTGCGAGGGATTTTATTGCCGCAGAAGAGGAAGAGAAGAAAGAAGACGATCAAGAGCAAGATAGTGAAGTTCAAGCTGCCGAGGATGAAGGTCGAGAAGGAATTGCAAAAGAAAAGCCAGCCAAGACGATAGATAAAAGCCCTAAAGACGATGCTAAGGAGGACGGGGAGAATAACAAGGAAGGCAAGGAAACCGACAAGAAGAATGACAACTCCAAGCATAAAAGAAATTGGAATTTGCTCATCAAACCGGAAAAGTGGGAGAACATATATGGTATTGAGAACATCACAGTACGCACAGAGGCTACTTTTAAGATGCTGCTAATATCGAGCGACACAGATGGAAGACGCGGAGCTCAAGGCATCATTTGAGGAGGGCGACTTTCGCAACACGGTTAAATTGGAATTGTCAGCGGAGCTGAAGCTAGGAGATGGAACATTTAAAGTCCAAGGACAGATATCGCGAGGTATGTTAGAGATACGATCAGACAGTCAACGCTAACATCACTAGATGACAACTTTCTTGAGGTTGAGGTAGGTGATCTTACACTAACTGACATCAAGAAGATACACGCACAAATCTCGGGACAGAAGCTACCTGAGAAGGAAACGAACAAGTCAGACGACCAAAAGAAGGCAGACGAGAGGAAGATGGCAGGAGGCAACAAAATCACCTTCAAAGAGATGAAACTCAAACTGTCGAGCAAGAAGTCGAAAGAAGAAAAGACTACTAGGAAAGCGCTTGAGCTCAACGGAAAAATCGCTTTCAACGAACATTCAAGCGCGGTCGGGAACCTGACCTTTGCGAGTGACGGAGTGACGGTCCAAGGTGGTATCTCAGACGTCAAGATCCCCGATACTGACATCGTGATTGAGAAGGCGGGCTTGGAAATATTCTTTGGATTTAGGCCAAAGAAAATTGAGGAGAAACTAGATGAGAAGAGTGGCGATGGCAAGAAGGAGTCTAAGCCCACTAGCGAGAGCAAACCCGCAGCACCAGGTAAGGATCAAGATGGTAAGATGGTAGAGAAGCGCCTGGTGAAGTCAACAGACAAACCACCACTTACCAAAACGCTGTCTGAAAAGAAAGAGACGGACAACAAGGCGGAGAGAGTCAAGAGAGGAAACAGATTCGGCATTCTGGGCGTGGTCAAAATAAACAAGATCACCATCAAGGTCGGACTTTACACTGAGCAGAAGGAGAGCAACGAGAGGAGGGAGTGGCTGGCATTCGGTGCGATTGAGAACGTCAGGTTGAGAGAGATCTGGAATGCTATCCCAGAGGATAGCTTTCTTAATCTCGAGTTGAGGAACATTGCACTTATCGCTTCATCTCACGACAGGAAGAAGAAGAAGAAAGATGACAAAACAGAAGATGAAGGCGATGATGCAGGGAAGAGTGACGAGGTAAAGCCCAAGGCGATTAGGAATAGGGTGCCAGATGGTGAGGTTTGGATCAACAATCTTAGTGTGTTCGCCGTTTCTGAAGGGGAGAAACCCGATGAGGATTCGAAGGGCAAAGAGGGAGTTGGAAACAAAGATGAGAAAGCAGATGAAGAGGAAGAACAAAAGGAGCCAGATAATTGGGACGTCCTGGGAACAGTTGATGCATATAACTATCCCGTGGTGAAAGGTGAGTATAGTTCTGATACTGCAAGCTGCTGAATTAACATTTTGAATAGGTCTACAGCTTTGTGCGACTATCCACTCCTTCCGGCAACTAGAGGAGCTCAACGGGAAGAAGAAGTTGGAAGGACTCACACTCATCTTATCGATAAATTCGAAGGGTAAAATCAGTGCTACTATTGATCTACCAGAGTCTTTCAGAGTAAGCCTTCAGGCATGTCCACGCTGGATTGTACTAATGTGCAAAAGCTGCAATTTTCGGATACTGCATACCTCCACAGCTTCGGTACTACTATCGCTATCAAGTCGACCACGGGGCCAGAATTGAACATCCACGCAACGTTAACTTTGATGTTCAAAGACTCGGACCCCATTTCTGTGGAGGGAGTCATTGCTGGGAACATTAAGGGTGCGAGAGGAGAATTGTAAGTTTTCTGAGACCTCGTGATGACATGTGGCTGATGGCTTGGTAGGATGATGTCTGATGACTCTAAATGGGTCAATCCATTTAATCTGAACAAGAACATGGTATTTTCCCAACTCGGAGTTGGAACAGGCTTTGCATATGCAACTGTTCTCGTCACTGGACCAGAGTAAGCATCTCATTCAATTTGAGTCTGACATCCTAACGAAACTTCAGTGAAATTTTTATGCGAGGACAAGTCGATATCGGAAACTTTCGTGCGAAGCTCGACACGGGTCTCCGTGTGACTAGCGCTGAGGCAGTCTTCCAACTCGAGATGAACAAGCTTGATGCCATGGAGGTTATTCAACTTGCTGGCGTCCTCATTGATAACCAAGCCATGCAGCAGATGAAAGGAGCGGAGGATAAGCTGGTCTTCGAGGACCTGAAACTGTATGTCTCATCCGGCGCTGAGTTCTTAGGTCGCTATTACGATCGCGGTATTCAGGTGCGAGGCAAGATGTGGTGCTTCGGCAAGAGAGGAGAGTTTGACGGTAGGTTTGATGAGAATGGTGTTGTTATCAAAGCAGGGATCGACAAGTTCAAGGTCGGCGGTCTCGAGATTACATCAACGCAAGAAGGTGTTGATCGAGCGACCATGGACATCGAAATGACCAAGGACAGACAGAAGCTGTTCATTGACGGCCGGATCCGATACTCCAGCCTCGAGATCAGCGTGTTTCTTGACCTTGATATCCAAGAGCAGTATCTCAGACTTGACGTCAAGATCAACCTGACCGAAAGCTTACTGTTGAGCCTCAAAGCTGATGTCGTGGTCAAGAATCATGATTCCCTTGAAGGAGCCGAGATGAGCTTCGAGGCAATTTTGGATACTGACATCTTGGGTGTTATCTTGCAAGGCATCACAGACGGTATTGACGTACTGCATAAGCTGGCTAAAAAGGCGATTGATGATGCACGGAGCGACTTGACTACAAAGCTCGCCCAAAAGAAGGCTGCCCTGGAAGCAATGAAGAGCGAGCTAGATCAGCTTGATAAAAAGTGCACTGCAGAAAAATTGAAGAAGCGGGAGGAGATTGAGCAAGAGACTGAGTTATTGAGGGTACTTAATGATGAGTTCGATAAATATGCAGGGGCTTACAGAGATGCAAAAGAGGCCAGAGAGCAAAATGTGGAGGAGATTCAAAAGCTGAAAAGTTTGAGAGATGAGGCAGAAAGAAGGCTTGGAGAGAAGAAGATGGAGATAGGGAAGAAGTATGAGGAAGATATAAAGAAAGAAAAGGCCAATAGGGATGCTATGGAGCAGGAAAAGAAGAGATTAGTTGATAGGAAAGAGGCGAAATGGGGAGATCAGTTGAGAAGCTCCATAGAGGCGGAAAAAAGTTGGAACTGGTGGCGCAGTAAGTATTTGACCTTTCAGCCACAGATTGACTCTAACTTTGATAGACAGAGAAAATGAACTATATAATTGGAAGATGGTGTGTCTGTCGAAAGTGGGATCGTGTATATTTTACGAGTGGCCATATTGGGTACGCGCATTTTGGCCCTTGATACACTTGGACGCATCAGCTAACATCTAGTAAGGCCGGAAAACTCGCCGAGGCCACGGCAGGTCTCGAGGCCGCACACATTCGAAAGGCAGCCGACGCAGCAGTTCGACAAGTGGGAATAACCATATCCCAGCTTCCAGCCTTCCGGGACCTTGAAGAAGCCATAGGAGAAGCAACCAAAAAAATCGAGCAGTTTGGAAGAGCACTCGATGGTCTCGTTAATAGAGGGATCGGGGCCTATATCGAGGAGATGTCGAAGGATGAGAGCGAAGATCTGGACCGCCAGATCAGACTGCTAGACGCATTGATGGAGAAGAGCAAGGAGCTCGAGGCTGCTTACGAGGAAGCGAACAGAGATCTTGAAAAGACTGTGGAGAGGCTATCACCAAAACAAGAAGCCGCGAGGAAAAGGATTGCTGACATCCAGGCTGAGATCAAGATGCTGCCTGCGCAACATGAGTACATGAACAAGAAACAGGATTACGAAAACATTGAAATCCAAGTCAAAGACCTCAACGCAACACTGGAAAACATTCAAAGGGTTATGAAAGAGGTCTCGCAGATCAGTAAAGATGTTCTGAATACCTTGAAGAAGGGAATTCCGAGAGTCACCAAGATTATCGTCAGGGCTAGCAACAGGTCCTTTGCGGATGATAAACCTTTGATGTTTGAGATACATGCCGTGTGGATGGATATACAGGAGATATTCTGTGTCGAATGGGCACCGAATCAAAGGATTTCGGTTCTTTACTCACAGGCTGCCGAGAAGTTGGCGACTTGGGGGCATGAGGACGAACACCCTGCTCTACCTGAGCCAACGCCACGACCATATCCCACACCACAAGATCCAAAGCCAGGGCCCCAAGACCCACATCACAAAGTGAAGATTCATCTTATTCACCGCGGCGCAAATAACGACGCAGATTGGCCATACTGGAGCACCTTTGATGGCCAGACTTGGAGCGAGGATTACAAGATTTGGTCTTTTGGACTACAGATCAGCGATGGTTTCTGCTTAGCTTCGTTCCAGAAGAGGCTTTTCATTTTCCATCTCAACCCCAGAAGCCGCAGGTCACAAGTGTTCTACGAGTCATACGCATCAGGGGCATGGACGAGAGGAGCGACCACGACTATTCCGAATACCCTAACCTCGCCAGGGATGTGCGCTGTCACCTTCCGAGGCAAACTTTACCTCTTCCACCATGGAATTCCCAAAGAGAAACTTCGATACAATGTCTTTGACGGTCAACGATGGGGGGGCGACACTGATATCCACATCGACGACGTCACCGTGGGCTTTACCGCTGTTGTATTCAACGACAAGATATACCTGTTCTATCTTCCAAAATACGGCATCGCCTCCCGCAGGTATGCTTATGTTGCGTTTGACGGAACGCGCTGGGAGAAGGCACGTGCCCTTACTCGACTTGGCAAGCCTGGTGTTACAGCAGCTGTGTACCAAAACAAGCTACATCTGGTGCATCAAGGACACGGCAAGGCTGAGGCTAACAAACTGTGGTATAATGTCTTTGATGGGAAGGATTGGATAACGCTTTCTGAAAAGGCTGGAGCCCCGCTTGTGCCGGACTGTTGTGATGTCGAGGGGGATATTTCTTCTGTTGTTTATGAGGATAAGATGTATTTGTTTTATAAGAAGTTGGGTGATTCAGGGGTGTATAGACATGTATTCGATGGGAGTAAGTGGGTTGCGGAACAGGTTGAGGGGGTTCAGACTGTAAAAGGAGTGGCTAGTGTTGTTCATGAGTTGTAGATAGACATGGCTCCGAGTAGCAGTGCTGGACGCAGAGTAGTTTGGGCGAGATGGTTAAATAATGGACCACCATGAATAATCAAACCCAATCAGCGCACGATACGCCGATCTTTCATCATCTACCTGTAAATAGCAACCGCCGAGGTAGTAGGCTAACAGGTATTGGCCATTTCTGTAGTGTATGTCACTGAGAGCTTTGTCGACTTACACTGGAAGTAATGCTATTCGCATTAATGGGCTGTGCCGCATTGTCGGTCACAACACATTATCGGGAATAAGCCTTCAGCTAGCCCGGGCGCTACTGAACTTGATGAGTTATAACTTATCGCAGTACTTGAGGGATTTATTTATCTATCGCCCTTGCCGCGTCTTACTTAATAAAACGTAGATAGCTTAAGTTCAACGGGAAAGTCGGAACAGAACTTGTAGAGTCATGGGGCACCAACGAGTTGCTGCTACTTAAAGAAGGCGAACGCGCCTAATTTCGAGATTTGACAAGTCTACAAAGTTCTCATAATACAACACATCTAGGCTTAATAGGATGCAAGTTCTAGTTCTTGGATTGCCTCGGACGGGTACGCAGTGTGAGTCTCCACGCAAACATTAATTGTTTTGCCTGTCACTTATTTTAACAACTACACCATTACAGCCCTCGCTGATGCACTGGCAATACTCGGCATCTCTCCGATCTACCACATGCGAGAAGTAGGCAAAAATAACCACGCGGATCTCTGGACAGCACTTCTGTATGAAAAGTTCGGTGCCTATGGTTCCTCACTGCCTCCGAGTGATCTTATCACAATCCTGTCAAATTACAAAGGCGTCGCCGACTACCCCGCGGCCATATTCGTCGATGAACTACTCGCAGCCTTTCCCGAAGCTGCCGTCATCTTGACGGTGCGATCGGAAGATTCATGGGCAAAGAGTATGAAGCAAACTATCGTGCACTATCTTGATCATCGGGTGATTGACGAAACAACCCCCATGGCGGTCATGGCTAGAACTTACAGCAAGTTATGTTGGGATAACGACTTTGAGAAGAATGGCCTGGCTCTTTTTCGACGACATAATGAGCAAGTGAGGCTGGCAGCCAAGGAGAGAAAGTTCCTAGAGTACACAGTAGGTGATGGTTGGGAGCCATTGTGTGCTTTTCTGAAGGCACCTGCCCCTGAGAATACACCTTTTCCTAGAAAGGACGACTGGTTAGAATATAAGAAACAGATACATAAATAAGAGATGCTTTTGCCCCGGAATCGGCGGATACCGCTGAAGCAGTAGGCCAACAGATGATGGCCAAATGTTGCTGAGGCCTTTTTGACTCAAACCGGCAATGCTCTGAATTGGCTGGTGGGAGGGATGTTATTTCCCGCATTACACCAACTGGTTGTGCCGCATTGCCGGTCAAAGCGCTACATCGACAGATTTGTCTTATGAACCGGCATTTTCTTTCCGAAATAAACTTTAAATGCTGTAAAGAGACAATAATTAACTAAGATACTAAATAAAATACCAGAAAGACTTGCTACTAAGATAGGTCCATCGGCTAAAGCTAATAGCTAGGTTTATTTTAAGCTTGAAAATCTATAGTAAGCAAAGCACTGGCTTGCCTCTTTATCAACAAAGCGCAAGTAGTTATTTTATGTAACAGAAGTAAATAGGTAGCTAGGTATTGCCTGCAAATACTTACAATCAGAAGAAGTATTTTCTTTTGCTTAGCTGTGTTCCGTGCCATCCGGCAACCCGCATGAAACCCTTGTTATTTATACCTGAGCTAACAACCAACAACCAGAACGACCAACAGACAACCAACACTGACAGGCTTCAGAACTCTTCTCACATCCCATAACTTCTTGAACCAACAAACGAGCACACAAGGCCTACCGATAAAGTCTGACAAACTGCTGCCAAAGCTCCTGATTATAAAAGAGCGCTCTGCCCTTTCGTTCTATTAATTCCTCATCCAGTTTCCTTCCCTCAATCCTCTTTCGCTGATTATTATGTTGGAAGATCATCATATCATATTTCTCGTACTACTCGTGGACGTCGCTTCCGTGGTTATTCGCCTATCATCAGGAGTATGGTCAACCCAAGCAAAGCTTGGTCTGCTTGCCTCGCATTTGGCCTTGCTGTCCCTGGCTCTGCAACTTATGACCGAGAAGGCCAACGCGTGGGCTACAATCCGCTAATCACTGAATGGAATGGCCCCGACTCCAACATGACTGCCACCATGGATCTCGTCGATGCGAGCTATGTCTCGCTCTTCCAAGAACGTCGACATATCGATGTAACAGCATGGGCTGGTGTCGTCAGTGCTGGAGGGCAAATCATCATTGCAGCCAATGCCGGCATTGGGATCTACCAGTTCATTGCCGATAGCATCAAGAGCAAAGCTGAACACAATAGTTGCTCTATGACTATCGGCACGGATGGCAATGGACATGTTGTGGAGGGTTATGCGTACCTGGCGACTACGAGCGGCCATGATTGCAAGACTACGGCCGAGACGAAGACTATCCTTGCTGCGGTGAAGAACTGTGCCGATTGGCAGCACAAACATGGTGCTATCACTGGCTGTTGCGTACTTTCTCACGGCGGGACTTGGAAAGGTCATTTGCGCCTTACCTCTCAGCCTAGCAAGTTCCCAGCGCATACGGTCAACTGTGATTAGGAAACCAGTTGGGTCAATAAAGCTGTGCGGGCATAGTTATCTTGCTTTCGTCGCGCTATGGCTGGGGTTGGTGGAGAGTTTCCTGGGGCGGATACGTACGCTGAATCAATCGTTTGTTAGTTGCTATAGTTGCCAGTCAAAGGACTTCGATACTTTCCTTTCTATAGCTTGAAAATAAAATGAAATAAGTTGCTCATGGACCCGGGCTCTCAGTGCAGGAAAGTCTTGAATGCTCGAGGCCTTATTGAAATCGCAGACCCGCAAAGGCTCAATGCTTAAATTTGTTATACCCGCTGCGGGGACTTGAAGAGATTGGCTAAAACTATGATACTGACGATAAAAATGATGGGTTATCCTATATCGAGCTTGGTGCGGCTCATGACGAGGTAAGACGCGCGATGCAAGCATTAGCTGTCAGGGTTATCCAATCAAGGTCATATTTCAGAAAGCATGCCACCCACTCAAGCATAAGGAATCATTCGAAGGAGGAATAGAATGTAGACAGTAGGTGGAGTATGTAACTTTAAATTGAGCTGCTTAATATAGTCTCCTAAAGACTCCTATGTCTCCGGTCTAGTTTCCATCTGGCGAAGGCATTTGACAGGAGTGGAGGGAAATCCCAAGGGGCTAGTCATTCATCTCAATAGACACAGCCATCGTCTCGATTTGAGAGCTCACTTATGTCCATGCCCGACCTTCTCTGTGATAGCTAGTTAGAGAATATTCATCATTGGTAGAAGAGACACATACCGGTGATAGTCCAGGTGACATGGCACTCATTCCCATCTCCACCACTTTTAGAGATACTGAAGTGATCAGGGTCAGTGGTATCATACGAATTATCACCAATAAAAGGATTATCGAAGTGGAACTTCATGTCGCCAGCGGCAGACTTGTAGTTAACCCAGCCTTCATCGCCACTCATGATGCCGTCGGATTCAGCCCCCATATCGGCGGACTGTCCCTTGGGAATAGTGTCTGGAACGTCTCGGTTCCACATACCGTGTACGAGAGAGCCAGAACCGCCATGGAAGTCTTGGCTGGTGTTGTTCACAATGGTGATGTTGGTAGCGCGGGCAGGCATTTCGTGAGTCTTGATAGAAAGGATATTATGTAGTAGAAGTGATGTTTGTAAGAGTGAGTCGTTGAATGAATGAATGACAGAAACTAGGGACTGTATGCCCCTATATATAGTCGAATTGGATGTATGTGGCCTTGGCTTGTCCAGCAACTAACGTTCCAAATTTACTACGCCGAGCTACTGCATGGCGAGAAATGCACAAAGAAACCTTAACGAGGTCTCGATTCCTATGAATTGTATCACAAGACGTCTAGCTTATCGGTTGCTAGGCACGTCTCTATGAGTCCTGATTTGTTGCATTTTCAGTTGCGTTAAATCAGAGCAGCTATTCGTTTATTGCCAAATAACAGTAGGAATAGTTTCTAGTTTGAATTGCCCTTTTCGTATTAGAGAGCAAGCCACAAATATAATATGTGGCTGTTGGACAAATCTTGAGGGCCGACAACCGTGGAAGCGATCCACCGATTCAGTTGACGTTCTCAATTTTGACACAGAAGCTCGAGCTCTGACTTGCTAGTTGCTCTGGAGACTTGCAACACAAAACACCACTTTTTTTGAGGATGCCTTTATAATATTTTGTCACAATCCAAGTAATAACTCTATCCCTTAAGTATGAGATAAGCTAGAGATTTCTATTTACATTTCAGCCAGCTAGAACCAAAACTATTAGCGGAAGATATTCTATATTTGAGTTCACTAGTGACTTATTGCTTCTTAGTTCAAGATAGTAACTACCTAAATCGAGAAAAAAGCTGTTACTCTCCTCCTCTAATAACCATCATTGCCATATCTTTAAAGTATTATCTAGCATTGGAAACCATGCACCTTGTGGATATCCATTCCCCCGCACATCTAGAACACAGTAGAAGCGAGGCACCCGGAGTTATCAGCCTAGTGACCCTTTGTACTATGGGCAAGGCAAGTCATAGCGATAAAGGGATATAGGCGTCATTGTAGTGGGCGGAATGTAGAGGCTGACCTTTGGGGTCTTAGCACCTTATTGAGTTTCCGTGTTAACTTCTATCTGGTGAAGAATGCTATAAGCTATATATATAAAGTAGAGGCACATATTATTAGTGCCACGTGTTTAGTCCAGTCGTACCATTCCTTTCTTACAGTTTAGTTGTTATCTGTTTCTGCTATACTGTATATAAAAAGCCGACATTCTTATGTCTTAGTATGTATTATAAGCTAGAATAGACAGTAACTCGTCTTTAGTGCACAATCATTTATGCCCTCTTTGTACCTATATCGTCTGCAATAGTTGGTAAGACTGGTATTCCCTTAAAGCGCAAAACGATTGAAGACATACCTGTAGCAGTGCTATTCACCTCGCCCAAATTATGGTCAGGCACGGCCACTTCCTCTCCGCTTTTGCTGCCTCCTTCGGGCCGCTGGGTATCTGATCGCTGACCATGAGATTGGGCCATTTCAGGGGTGTAAACCATTTGGCCATTCAATTTTGTAGTGGCGATTTCGCCAAAGGGTAAATTGCCCGCCGGGCTCCTTGCATTGCTTCTCCTGAACGGGATGGTCTTAGGAGACTCCGTTGGCATGGCGACTATAGATCTTGAAGAATGTGACACTTGAAGAAAAGTGATAGTGGGCAAGAATAATTTAGAGAGTACTAAGGAAGAGGAAATGGTCCAGCCATCTGGATGGCTTTGTCAAGCCCCGCATCTGGCATTCCAAACATAGAAGCCACAATGGCAACTTTGTCAACCAGTTAAATCTTGACGATAAACTAATCACGGCGAAGTTCCCGGATAAACGACTAGAGTTTATGTTTATCTGCATATTGGGGAACGCCATATAGTCAACGCTACAGCGGCTCAGACTGCTCCAGACCGAGATGGTTTCAAGCCATAATGTAACCACAGTCAATCGCTTTACATCAGATGTGCTACGCGGCTTCAGGCATCCTTCCATAATGAGAGCTCTTGACGCTGTCTGCCGATTGCTTATGTATTGTACGTATTGTATCCTGCTGTTCTGTGTCTACCTTCATCTGTCTGGGCCATAGACTCGTTTCACCCGGGCTCTGCTCTTGAGGAACCATCTGATAGGCTGGGATTATTATACATTTACATATTGATTTGGGTGCAGCTTAGGTTAATCGCAACTGATAATTAGCTACTGTCTTGGATGGATTGATTGAATAAGCCTTACCTCGCGATATGCTCCAGCCAGACCAGTTACTACTATACATGGCTTAGCTTATTCGGAGTACTCTTGCTACAGGGTAGGGGGCAATGTTCACTGCAACTCGGGAAGATTTAAGTCTCTGCCTGCAGTGATAATAAAATCCCTAAGTCAAAGCTTTTCATAACCCTGAAATAATTATCAACTTTAGGTGATTTGGGGACGTAACTCTGGCAGCAGCCAGTTGAGCCCGATTTCGCTGTTGGAGCCAGCATCGCTCGGCATTGTCTCTCCAGGCCTTCTGAAGTGAAGAGACAGAATCGTCAATTATGAGGGAGGGAAGAATCTACTCCTCCAAGAGGCATCGCTATGGAGGGTGCACTGCGAATAGAATCACGAGAATGAAGGAGTGTTGTGTATCTATCTGAAAGCCCTTGGTGACTTCGGAATACGTTCGTCGAACTCGGAAAGCAAGATTAATACCTCTTAGCCCTTATGTTCTGCAGATAAAGGCCCTCAAGATCCTTTGGACTGCAATTTGGTACAAATATCTGGCGATCCAATGTATGCAGTCGCAGAATGGCAATGCGTTTCTGATGACAATTCTTGAGTAGCATCAAACTGTGCAAGATATTGGTTCTTGATATTCTCAAAGACAGACGTGTTCAAGGGCGGCCGTCTCTCGACCAATTGTGTCTGATCCCTGTTTTGCGGACCCACTGGGAGTGGATACCAATCTGGCCAGGATGCAACATTAAATCCTAACTTAGCCAAGTTTAAGTCACACGGGCATTAGCGATAAGCGCTTAGATAAGAAGAGCCCTGTCCTTTACCTGACTAACGGGATATTCTCTTCAAACATCGTGAAACTTGCCGTGTTTGCGGGGGTACTAATGCACATTCAAGTCTTTTTCTGCAGTAGCTACGAGCTAAAAAAATTATAGAGGCGTCAACAAGTGCCGAACTGTATTTATCTCTGCCAGGTTTTTCGCTCCGTAGAGCTTTGACCAACCATACGCGCTGGCGATCCCATTCGCGATTAATAAGTAGCTAGACCTCCTTTATTTCTGCGTTTGAGTACTACACCATTGTTATACCTACAACACCATAGCTCAGAATAACTACGACTATTAAAGCCTAATTTTATCACACACATGGACTGTCAACAGAAACTATCCTCCAAGGGAGCAAAATATCCAACCAAACATCGTCGGAACTACCCCCGTTCCAGATCTGGTTGTCTTGTCTGTCGCACAAGACGCAAAAAGTGTGACGAGACCAAACCTTCTTGCCAATACTGTATTCGAACTGCCCAGATTTGTATTTGGCCTGATGAAGATACACCTGACAAGTCGCAATCACAAAATTACTCTGATAACAGTTCGGACACCAACTCTCATACTGATACTGGAATGGCAATCACGAAGCTCAGTCAGGTAAGTTACCGGCACAAATATTATGATTACCCCTTATTAACTGAATACTACTCTATAGCCAGCCTCCTCTCAAACACAGATACTGAAAAGGTTTTTCTTTGACTGGTCGACTCACGCGAATATCCCATCTGGACAGACTTTGTCTTGGTATGGCAGCCTTCCTCAGATATACTTGAACTCCAGCGTAGACAGCCTGCTACACAAGTCGGTCAATGCCCTAGCAAATGCTAGCTACGGGCAGAGATTCAACTCTTATCAAGCACTTAAGGATGCAACTAAGCTATATGGAGAGTCAATCCATATGCTGAGGGATAAAATGCATGGTGTTATTGATTCCTCTCACTACTATGAAGTCATGAACTCTATTATGTTACTTAGCATATACGAGGTAAGCGGCAATAAACTCATTGGCTGTGTGTGATCATATAAAGGTCATTTGCTGATCTACATTAGGGATTGGTAGATGAGTCCATTGCGCTCGAAGGCTCTTGGGTGTCGCATATCAGTGGAGGCTGTACCCTGTTAGATCTACGCGGGCAAGGCAAGATCATAGACTCTCCTGCAGAATATGAGATATCTATACTTATCTTCATGCAAATGGTACGTTCACCTTTCAGTATTTACTTTGTGTTGGAATGATAAGCTTACAAAACTGTAGATTCATATTGGCCTTGTGACTGGCCAAGGCCTTTCGATATCATGGGAATCGGTAAAGGAGCTATGTTTGCCACGGCTGCCTTACTTCTACACGCATACACATTTGATCTATCAGTCTGCATGTCTTTGCATGGAATGGAGAACCGCTTTGTTGACGTACAAAGCGGATCGAGATATCGCACAGCTATCTGCCATCACGTCTCAGGCCTTGGCTTTAGACAAACAGCTTGAAGAGTGGTCTACGAGTCTGCCTCCTTCCTCAAACTATACGGTGGAATCTGCATTGGCCGATACCCAGCTTGAGTGGTTGAGACCTTTACTCAATACACCGTGGAGGCCTCTCCATTTGCATAAATACTCAACGCTTTCGAACCAGATCCTTTGGCGATTCTACTGGATGGTTCGAACTATCCTCAACCAGGCCCTTTTGTTCACCAATAGCATACTTGAACAAAGCAAAGCAACGCCCAGTCCGATTCTCAGCCAGACCGAAACGGAATCTAAGCTCATTTCGTTTACGGATAGCTTATGTGAATCTTGCCTCTCGACTTTCGTAAATATCGTCAAGGAAGATCCGCAATATTACAGAGCCGGAGCTATTCCAAGTGTATTAGGTTACCTAACTCTGCAAGTTTTGCCCACTCTTAGCTTATGTCTCGAGCAAGTTGATATTACTGGGATTGATCTCTCGAGCAGAAGAGAATGGGTAGCCAGGATGAGGCATTTTCTGCGGGCCAACCTTGGTATTGCCAAAGGTGTAACAGCAATACCCCCATCTCTTGAAAGTAATATTCCGATCCAGATTTGGGGGTTCTCATAGAAGCCTATATTTACCACTAAGCATACGTATTAAGTAGAGTTAAAAAAGCAAGATAAAAAAAGAAATAAGTAAAAAGACTAAGGCTTTATAAAGTATTGTAAATAACGAAACGACAGTATCACTAGTTTAATATAATTACTAAGTAACAGAGTTACAGCCGGCTGGTATATATGCCTTATAACAGACCTCCAGTTTTTGCTCAAAGACCCAATCAGCAAACTTCGAAGAATTTGGCATGTTCCTGCTGTCGGTTCCGTGATGGTAGAGCTGCCTAACAAACATCAATTGGAATCAAATCGTGACTCGCTGTACTTTTATTTCACGATCCACTTCCCGTTCAAACCAGACCATAACAATGGGACTTTTGGTTTTTGCTACCAACAACCAACAGCTTGTTACATCAAATAAGGGTCGTGAACTGCGCTAGACAGGGGTTGAGCTCGGTCGGAGTGTTTTTTCAGCCGACTTGGCGTCCTTGGCCCCTAAGTTACAATTTTAATTCAAAGGTCCTATTGGCAGGCCCATTAAAACAATGCGAGTGACACATGATTCTGCCGCGGTCACGATCACGGGCAATTATCTTTATTCCCTATAAAGCAAGCGAAGTCGCTCTTTGTACGAAGGTGCTTGGAGAGCCATCGCTTTATTCTTTCGTTTCGAGGTCCTTCAATTTCACTCTTTCAGTTGTTGGGCCATCAACATAACATACCATGAAGTTCTCTACGCTCTTTTTCTCCTCTCAACTCTTTTGGAGCGCGAGCGCATTTCTTGCTTATGAAGAATATCAGGTGAAGCGATTGGTGGAGGAGTACGACTTACCCGAGGCGTGCGCAAAGGTCATGCTGACAGATATCGACTGCGATGCCAGTCTCGACGACGCGGGAAGCACCGGATGGCAGGGCTCCATTGAGGAGGGTGACGATTTCAAAATCACGGACAGCATCTGCGCCAAAAAGTGCGGAGACTCTCTTAAACAATGGACCGCGTCTTTTGCCAAATACTGCGAGCCAGAGGGATTTCGTCCTGGCAATATGATGGAGGGCCGAAGACAGATCTGCGATAAGGATGCTAAGACCGGAAAATACTGCAACGGTTCGTCAACAAATTGTTCTACTTGTATGAGGCTAATCTTCTCTCAGCTATCATCGACTCGTTTCCCGACACGGATGATGATGAAGAACTTCCTGCCAAGTACCTCTGCGAGCCTTGCTACGTCCGACGCCTCTGGGGATTCGACATCAGCAATTACAGCCCCGCCAACAGTTGGATCGTCACCCAACGGGAACGTATGGACAAGCTCTGTCCCAAGTCAGTGCTAGTTGAGAAAAAGGCGTCAACTATTCTTCCGCATACGGGTACGATGGCGCAGCCTTGGCTAGAATCTACGCAGACTCCAAGCAATGTTGATAGTGGAGCTGAGACTACTTCGACTCCGGAGAGCACCGAAATCGCGTCATCAACAACCACTGCTGTACCTTCTGCTACTGCACCAGTAGAGACTAACGCGGCTGAGAGGCTCGAGAACGGTCACCTGAGAGGCCATTGGGGGCTATTGCTTCTTTTGGGCATGAATGCCTTTGCACTCTGAGCTTTAGGCTTCCTGATAACTTCATTCTTGGTGTAGCTTAGCTAAATGATCTTCTGGTCCCCATGGTGTACCTAGGGTACGTCTTGTTATATACTTAACATCAGGTTAATGGAAACCCAGTGCGACACGGTATCCTTAAAAGATAGACATAGGTGATAGGAATTAAGTGAACGTCGCGATGTAAGACTCCACAAATACCCATAGGAGACAGATTCATGTTGGCTTGACTTGAATACTGACATTGATCTGACCACTCATTACAGTTTGTGTTGTGCACCCTAGATGAAGGAGAGCAGCTCTACCTAGGTACAAGGTGACAACTGATAAATATCCAAGATTAGGCTCAATCTTCTGCTTACATTGGGGGCCAAAACAACATAGCACAAAATCCAGATTCTGGCGTTGCTCTCATCGCGCATATCTCGTCAACCAATCACAGCTGGCAACATCCCAGCCTGATTATGCACCTCGATCCAACGTTGCTTGGCAACTACGTCAGATAGAATCTGCAGCCAGCAACATCTGAACAGCCCTTTGACCATAACCCTCCCCACTGTTTGATCGCTTTCATATTCTCTTATTCATATTATGACGCCAACTACGAGCCTACGACGATGTCTCGCGAGCGCGGCCATGAACTAGAGACATTAAGGAATGTCAACATCGGCAATAGTTCCTCAGCACCAACGGTACTAAACTTTTATGAACGACCTTGGAATTTCTCTAACTGGGAGCAGGTTGATGAAGAAAGTACCTCAAGCCTCCCTAAGCCATCATGGCAAGGAATGCGACTGGTTGATGAACCCAATATCGATAAACCGCCAACTGGAAACTGTTCCCAAAATAGAAAGAAATTGAATCCGTTCCCTTCTTTCTTTGGTTCATCAACGATTTCGAGTAACACATCGAAGAAATCGACGCAAAAAAGCAGCAGACTTTCAGCATTCCGCTATTTTGCGCTCGTGCATCTGCCGCCTGTCGCAATCACAATAACTCTTCTGTCACTCTACATCGCTAGAGTTCGCTGGGTGAACCCATCCACTGAATCGTTGAACGGCCTTCAGTTTGCAGCCAAGGGCCACGAAACGATCATCCTAGTGTCGTTAGGAGATATCCTTCTGCACCAAATATCCTATGGCCTGAAACGCCAAGATGTCGGTGTACCGCTTGGCTTTTTGTCATCTGCGTTGAACCTCTCAGCGCCATTGCGATACCTCATCAGCCGTCAGTTATGGACTCCAACCTTGCAATCTGGAAAGACAGCTAAGTATCGACGGGCTACAGCAGCTCTGATCATGTTGATTTCCATTCTGTGCCTTGCAGCGAATCCACTGTCCGCCATTGCTATGATCCCTCGCCAGGATTGGTGGAAGGACCGCCACTACGACTGGACTTTTTGGGGCGAGCCGTATTACGAACCTGCCCGGTGGATTCCTCACATGGAATACAGAACAAGGCTTGATTCAGAGTCTGGACCGTACCTCAGAGACATCATAGGTCCCTCTACTATACCTTTACATACTCTTCTCAGAGCTGACTCATATACCCTTGGCACACATGGGCCCGAGTGGCAGAACATCAGCTATTCCAACTTCAACAGCTCTTTCTATTCTTATATCTCGACAGCGAAATTCGCATTACCTACAGTTTCTACTAGCCCGTTGTCATTTGTAGCGTCGGAGCTAGGAAAGGCTTCCTCAAGGGACATAAAAGACATGGCTATACCTTGGATTACTTCTTCCAATCAGCAAATCGGGGGATCTGGAGCTGAACATGCTTGGAAACAGCCCCTTGTTGCTACACAATGTATTGGAGGCTCAGTTCAGAATAAGACCAAGCTCCATTTTCACCTTGTCTATCCTTTTTTGACTGAGCCACATGAGATACGAAAGGACGCTCAGGTAACGTTTACTTTTGACGAGTCGTCCTCTGCCTTTGCAGAGTTGCGTGCCAGCAATTCTACCGACTATCGTTTCGTCGACCTTCCACAGTACGAAGGTTGGGCAGTGAGCGGTAACATACTATTTGCTACGACCGCCAAGCTTGGGAACGACGAGTATCCTGAGCGCCACTACACACTGTGCCTGATATTTGCACGTTGGTCTGAGGCGAGCACATGGATCGAACAACCCTCGCATTCGCGCACCTTAAGCCACGTCAAAGGACCAATACCCGGAATCTTCCGGGAAAACACCAGTGACGTTATCTATATGGATGACAAGTGGTTAGATGGCATATCTTCGTTCTCCAATGGCTCATTCTTTCGTTCTATTGCAGAGTTCTGTGGAAGCGCTGTCAAGAAGAGTTGTCAAGAGCGGTATATAGGCCTGCATGTTACCGACGCGATCTCTCAAGCGGGAAACAACGCCTCGTGGCCCAATTACTATGCCGGAAGTACAGAGTCAAACGATGCAACGCAAGACAAGGTAATTTACACTCGATATTATCGCACGTATGCGTATCGCTTTGAGAGTAGTTACGGTATCCCATTGGCTTTTTCTTTCCTTCTTCTACATGTACTCTTGGTCTTGATACACTTGGGTTCGATTCTGATATCGGAGGATCCCTGGAAAGGCTCTGATTTGGACAATTTCGGAGACATGTTGGTTCTTGCTCTTGCTTCCAAACCACCAGACGGCGAAAATGGTTTAAATCAGCAACCTTCCAAGTCTGAACTATGGGGGAAGAGTGCCACGGTTGTTTGCAATGGCGATGAGGGCCATGGCCAGATTCGTCTGGGAGAGGAGAGAGGATATCAAATAGCCAACGATGAAGAAGGTTCTTAAGCAGAATGGAGGACCTACCGCTTTTTGGTACATAGGGGGTAAAGTATTAGGACGGGACCAAATTGTCTTACCTAAAAGTAGATAATAATCCTTTTGTCTGGGGCTGCTGCCTGACGGATCCTGTTGGTGGACCCTGCAGTGACGCCGAAATTTAATGACACAACACGCCACCAACAGCTTAGTGACCAATGGGTTGCAATTGCTCGCAAGGCACCCGTCTACAAAAGTTGACATGTGCAAGGTGTTACTTGAAATAATAGGAAAAGAACGTTCCCCTTCTTCGCAGCTAGTCCATCCGCACGCCCAGATCAAAATGGCCAATCCCAGCATCTTCACTCGACTACCCACTGAAATCGTTGTGCAAATCGTGGCGGACCTAGTTAACGACCCATATTTGCAACTTGAGAGGTTTGAGTCCAGACCACTTTACTCCACGAATTCAGTTAAGCTAACACTACTCGTAAGAGGCGTGCGGCGCCAGCTCAAGGACTTAAGACTGACACAACGGCGATTTGCTACTTTGGACTGCATTAATGCTTTACTGTTTGATGCTATCCAGCTAGAGGCATCACGTGCAGGCCTGCTCAACCTTCAAAAATGCGACATTTCACGTATTGCAAGCTTCGTATCCGTTGTTGCTTTCATGAATCCTCCAAGTTGGAAACTTCCTCTTGAAACTTTTGAGCAGATCTTGATGGAGACCGTGCCCAAAGGCGAAGCTCGGGTAACAGAGTCGCAGCTGGCTGGTGCATATGCCTCATATATACGCCATGCAACGGACGCCCAGTTCTTGCTCGAAGACCCAAAAGGCGAACTTCGAAGTTTATGGACGAAAGTTCTCAAGCTTCTCGGCGGGAATTTACGAGAGATTCGACTGCTCAGTCTCCGGTGCGGTGAACTGTGCCAGGTCGACTATACCACCTACCTTCGTACGGCAGATGAAGGAACTTTCTACCAGCTCGGTCCTCACCATCATGTTGACCGGAGTGTCGAGTATGGCTGTCGATATGCCGCTGCCATTGCTGGCGACCAGCTATTTTTGACAGTCATTTCCTGTCTATCATCTTCTGGCATTGCCGTACCACGGATCTCAACCAAGCATGCAATGACAGGAGCCGTTGACTGCATCAAAGTGCCCGGATGGGATCTTCTGAACTTCACGGCGCTCGAAAAGCTTGAGTTTGGTCCAGATATTCTGCACGATGAACATGAATGGGCTAGCAAGACTGTCCTGCAGACTCTGCCATGCCCAAAAGTGGAAGAAATTGAGTCAAGTGCCTCCAAGATCGTCCATGAGTTTATCGCCAGGTCCCGATTAACATTAAAGAGCCTTGTTCTCAACGGAACTGGCGTCCTGGACTGGCCTACTCAGCCACCAATTGCCTCCTTACCAGCCCTTGAGAGTCTTGACCATTGTTTCGATGCTGTCAACTCCATTATGATGAGTTCATGGCTCAATAACATGCCAAACCTTCGATACCTGAAATTCGGCGACATACGACTAGCAAGAGGATTCTTATTCGTTGAATGGCGCCATATCTTTGATGCTGATCACGACCACTCCAATGCTAAAGGTCCAGGCCCAAAAGGTCTTTCTGTAGAGTTTGAATCTATCAAGTCAGCTCATTGGACCAGGATGACATATAGAGGAGTGATTTGCCAGGATAGCAGTATCGCTACAGAAATGCATACTCATTGCGCAGATCCCGAGGGCCTTATGTATGAAAACCACTCTTTAGAGAAGCATTTCTATGGCGAAATACGATTCAAGGATAATCACGGGTTACGATACTTAATGGACGATTGGGACGTTGGCATGGTAGAGACTGATTCAGAAGAGGATGTAGAAGGAAGTCATAGTGAGGATTGGGATGATGATAGTGAGAGTCAGAATTCTTGAAGATGTGGACCAATTTTCTTCTAGACAAATAGGATGCAATTTATTCTTCTTCTCTGTCGCTGTTTTCCTCCTCCACGCTCTGATAATCCCCATCCATGTCATCATCCTCGTCCTCCTCGTCACTGTCTTCATCCCCATCACCACGATCGCCTAATTCTTCTCTCAAAGCAACATTGCGACTATATTCTATCTCGCCATATAAATGGGCTTCTAGTGGATAGAGAGAATATTCAGCGTCAGGTACCTCTCTCGGCGATGCGATACTGCTATCTTTGCATACGACGCCTTCGTAATCGGTATCGCCGGGAAATAGAAAGCGAAGGCCCTTCGGATCAGGACCTGATACATTTGGATGGTCGCGAATCGCATCAAGCACATGGCGCCAGTTCGCGGAGCGTTTTCCATCAAGTCCTCCCCAGATCATGAAGGAGCGTAGGTTCTTCATTCTGAGGAGCCAGTCATGGAGAAGACGAGGGCGACTCTCCATTGCCTGATCGAATTCTCGAAGTGCTGGCAATTCGTATGTCGCAGCGCGAGTTGGCCAGAGTATTTCAAGACCGCCGTCAATCGAGTCCCTGAGACTGAGCGTTTCCACCGTTGAATGACACTTGTCAATCAAGTCATGCGCTATGTTCCCATGCTTCTTCTGGATGTAGCTCTGTTTATTATGCAGAAAAGCAGCCATAGACGTCCGTTCGCTCAAGCGATACGGTACATACGGATATAGAAGGTCAAGCTTGAGATGCTTTAATTTGCTCAAATCGAGTTCTCGCCATGCTGGGATCTCAGTGCACTCCGCATGTCCCAAAATGAATAGTTCGGTGGAGAGGCTTGAAATCGCAACGCCTGAAGCTGATAGACATGTTATGACTGTGTTGAAGAGTCTCTCGCCTACTATGGCACAGGCATATCCCTTGGCGTACTCGGCATTCTCTTTGTCGTCTTCATCGCGTGATCGCCGCGTCATGCCCTCATGTGGCTCGATCTCTGTATCGGGAACTCGAAAGCAGAAAGTCTTCCAATCCCTCGTCGGATCGGGATCTTGCAAGTAGAGGTTCTTGTAGTCTGTATTGTTGGCGATTGTGACTTTTTCAAGACGACTCCCAACCATCTTGAGGACATTGGTCCAGGTCTCTATCAAATCGCCATCTGGGTCCTCCAGCAATCTCTGTGTTTCTAACGCGTCGTTTATGTACACGTCATGAGCAGCGATTATAGGCCGTAGACTCGTGTGAGACCATATTCCAACATTTCGGGGGCGGCCTGGGATGTCAAAAAGGATCAATCGCTCCCATGTTTCTGACACTAGCTTCCAGCTTGCATATGCCATAAAGGTGATTGATCGCGTATAACCGACCACGCGTGAAAAGTCGCCGCGTCGAAGACTGGTGCGTGTTGGTTCGAGCCGTATGTTAGTGAACAGTAACTTGTTCAAATAGCTACAGTCGGCAAACTTTCGGTGCGTCAATCTCAAGACTTTGAGTCGCTCAGAATTTTCGCTAGCAGAGTATCAGAGTATGGATGCTTGGAGCTATTCAATAAGACATACCCGCGGAGTTGAGCTTCAAAATTGTCGCCGATGGCTAATACCTCTGACACAATTGCGACGATGATTTCTGGGGGAATGCGGAGAAATGCCACAGACTCGATGGGGCCAGTCAAGCTATCCATTTAGTCATGTCACGCAAGTGATATGAGTAAAATAGCAGTAGGTTGGGAGTTGACTTGGTAGAATAGTGTGAAAGCAAGTTTGTGTTAAGGTTGAGTCGTAGGTAAATAGTCAGTTAAATTGCGTGTTTATTATTGTTTATTAACGCAGTAAGCATCACGTGAAATTTGTTGGCCAATCACTTGAAAGTTGTCATTGCGCAAGGCGCAGATCAGTCCCAACGCGTTCTTCAGAGCCTTGTTTTCTTTAATTGAAGGTGGCGGTCAAATTGACGCTCATGCCCAAGAGAAGTGTTCAGAATGCAAGTACACTCCCGCAGAATCTGCACCCCCAAGAATATCCAAGTTTAGAGATGCCACAGCGTTTCGTACATCATTCTGCATAGTATCCGGGCCGCAGACATATACACCAAGTGAGGTGGTAGATGTCATCCCACTTGCCAGCTTTTTCAGAATTCCTGGCAAGTCAGGTCGACCATGTAATTCGTCAAATGATACCTGACTTTCTGTTGCTCTTTCACTGCCTGGCTCTTTGTTGCCAGGGACGAAGCTACTGTTTGATGGGAGGCTTGATTCCGTTAGGCCTCCACTGGTGCAATGGATCTGCACTTGCAAGCCTGAGATCATTTTGTCTGAGTACTTGAGCAACCTGTCGCTTACAACTTGTCGATACCAGCTGCAACTCTCCACGTCTCGGCTTGCTAGTATCACGCGAAGTGATGAGAACGGACATCTCTCTCTTTGACCTTCTTTGCAGTTTTCATCGGCCTGGCCTGTTTGGGCTGCGACATACTGCTCGATGAAAGGCAAGGTCCAGCCAGCTCCTGACCCTCCCGCGATTACAACAAGATGATTGCTGTTCACGAAGCGCTGTGTATTGATGCCCCCGTATGGTCCATCAACCAGCACTGAGATCTGAGCTCCTGGGTTCTGTAAGGCGTGCTCATAGAGCTTTGCAGTAAAGCCTCGGTGCTTCTTAAGATAAAAGACAAGGAATGACTGGTCATCTGGGGATGATGATTGCAGTGAGCAAATGGTAAATGGGTGCGCTGACAATGCTTGTGTAAGCCCAAAACCAGTAAAGCGGAGGAAGCAGTGCTGTCCTATTTCCCACGTGAAGTTGGCGGGGATAGTGACACGAACAAAACCGTTATCCTCAACTTTGATATGGGCCTTTGTTCGGACACCATACTCGAAACAAGTTCGTAGCCAAGGGTAGACATAGCAGGGAACATATACAGCAGCTGTTCCTATGAAGTAGTGCCTATAATTGAGAGTCAGTGCCAGTGACAGACAAGAATGGATATGAAAGGCTTACCAAGATGTTAGGGTATAGTCGCAGTGCCAAAAGAAAGTAATCATGAATATGACAACAGCAAAGAAGTGCGTCGCCTTGAAGAACTCATACCCCAATAGCTTTCTAGGTCCCTTGTCAGCCAGTAGTAAGATAGGATGGCGTGATTCACTTACCGGATGGCGCTGTGCGACGCAAAGGTCAGCCAGGCTTGGAAGATCAGGGCTACGATCCCAGTCCAGTAGAACAGGAGGCTCATTTTGAAATGCATTTGCATGTCATGGAATCTGATATGATACACGATAAATGTGAATGTGTGCATAAGAGCAAGTATGAAAAAGGCATAGGCTATCCAGCGATGGAACACTTGGAGTCTCTCGTGTGAGACACCAGTCAGCATGGTAATCCAGTTTGTCTTGGTTGCCGTAGCGCTATTACACATTAGTAAGAATATAGAGGCCAGAGTTGGTAATGCAGGACTGACAATACAAATGGCATGCATCCTAATGCCAACCATCCGGATCTTGTTCCCAACGGTGGTGAGCCGCCAAAGTCTAGCGAAGGCCAGTAGTACGGCTGAGGGATCAAGTCCATGCCTATCTCACGTTAATGATCGCACATTTTCGACGATGCCCCGTTCACTTACAAAAGAAGAAGACGGCTCCAATAAGTCCCAATACCATAACTCCAATGGGAGCTGAGTTGAAACCAAGTGATGCAACATGGAATCCACGATACGAAAGATATCTGATGCTAGCGACAAGCATGCGCCAAGGTTTTGGCCCACGGAATTTGGGAAACGCAAGACCAATAATATAGTAGGATACTAAGTGACCAATCGTAAAGAGTCCAATGCCACTCATGAAGAAGGCTACTGTAGGAAGAGCGTAGACATGATCCGCGATGTACCTTTTAACGTTAGATAGAACTCTCCATTGATTTATTCTGTTCGTTTGCTTTCTTTCTTACCAAAAATGCCATCTGTGCATGTACCATGCGCACTGCGCTTCGGTGAAGCCATCACAGGTAAATGCACGACTCCCAGTCAACTGAACTGGGGGCGTAAGCCAAGCTGCAGAATCCATGTGCAGTCGATCTACCGCAGCGTGCTATCGATAAATCTTTGAAAGAGAAAATCCCAAAAGAAGATACCTGTAAAGGGATATTGTGAAAAGATGGCTATGCGTAGAAACCCGAGCAGAGAGAGGTGGTATGGTGGTCTGCCGTCCACGAGCCAAGATTTATCGATTCAAATGCGACGAAGGATATATGGCGGAAATTATGAAGGGATTTCAAGGAACAGGCGTAATCTAGTTCTCGGCTTGTTGATATAGAGCGACGTAGATATGTAAAACCCTTGACAGAGCAACCGTTTTAGTATAAACAGGGGTCTTGTGCCGAGTTCCGTAAGCATTAATTTTAATTGGACAATCTCTCAATGAAACATCAATTATTCCCACGCCATCATCGCATAAATCGGCACTTGAGTAAGTTTGAGCAGGCTTGAGCAAGTTTATCTGCGGTGATAAGATTATTCCCGGCACTTCTATATCCGCTACCGCGGTGATATAAGCTTAGATAAAGTAATGAAGTTTTGCACCTCTGATCACAACCAACTTACGATCTCTCTACAAAATGGATATGAGCTCAATGACAATGGAAATGGCCACTTCGACGGGCAGTTCCATGCCCATGTCAACTTCCAGCTCCAGCTCTATGGCTATGGACATGGAGCAAATGAACATGGTATTTTTCACTTCCACAACGACGCTACTTTGGACAAAGTCCTTCGCCCCCGAAACGACTGGACAATATTCCGGTGTTTGCATTTTCCTCATCGCATTTGCCAGTATTTTGCGCATGCTGCTTGCGTTACGCGTCAACTTTTACAGCATCAGGGATGGTCTCAGACGCAGGCGAACGAAAGGTCTACTAGTGGCGTCCCGGACTAGTGACATTGAGAATCGGCCGTGGAGAGCGAACGAGGCTATGATGCTGGGAGCGATAGATGTTTTAATTGCGGGTGTGAGCTATCTACTGTAAGTTCTTTTGATTACTACGTCAAAACTCTGACTGATGCTTTTCTAGCATGCTCGCAGTGATGACTATGAATGTTGGCTATTTCCTCTCAATATTGGCCGGGGTGTTTGTCGGAAGCGTTTGCTGCAGTCGCTTTTCAGTAAACTTGAGTCTACATTAGATCAGACCTTGATAAAGTACGAACTAGAAAAGTAAAAGAAATTTACTCAATTACATGTTCCTAAAGTGGCAAAGAGCGGGAAAGATGGTCTTAAAACAGACTTTTCTCTTTGTGCAACTGCATTGCATTTCTTTGTGGTAGACTTGACCACTTCAGCCCTCCCTCTGCTGTCCTTTCACAGGCGTCTCACGCACCAGTCTCCCTCCCTCCTCTCATCTCATCTCCAACATCTCTCTCTTCCCTCTCAAAATGAGCAACACCACTGTTGATCTCGTTGGAAGCACCTCCTGGAACGGAGCTGATGCCTACGATCCAGGTGAAGAGTTACACGATCGAGCCCTAGCAGTTCTCGACAAGCTCAATTGTAATCACCTCTTATCCGTTTCTGAGGCCCTCAAAAATGGAGTCCCTTGCACTTTCAGCCAAAACTTCTCCATCGGCCACTTCAACATGGTTCGCCGCATTGGCTTCACCGACGGCACTAGCTGGATTGCCAGGGTGAGACTGCCAGAGCTCCGCACAGTTTTCGGCGGCCGTGAAGCCCTCAATATAGCCAGAACTCTCAGGGTCGAGGTTACCGGCATGAAGTTCTTCAAGTAGGTACATTCGTGGTCCCCATTTATCGGGGAGTTATACTTAGAGAGACTGGCAACAATAAAAGACCAGAACCTCGATTCCAGTCTCAGCCGTTTATTCCTACAGCGCCGATACAAGCAACCAAGTTGGCTCTCTATACATCCTCATGGATTACATTCACGGAACTGTTGCTACAGAATTGAGAGATACAAACGAATGTGAGGGTGGACTCTTCGGCACGCCAGACCAAGATCGGCATTTCAGGATGCAAATGGCTGATATCCAAGCAACGGTATCTTCCTTCAAACTCCATGAGATCGGGAGCCTCTATTATGATGAAAAGACTTCCGACTTCTTCATCGGCCCAGAGACAGAGACAGAGACCGGCAAGGGACCTTGGAATTCTGCTCTGGAGTATTACGATGATCTCTCAAACCACGCTCTTCAAGTCTGCTTACACCAAGCATCCCCCGACGTCCAGACAGCTTCTTCCTTCGCAAACCCGATCCTGTTCAGACACATTGTGTCCCTGTAACTTCAACAGAAACCCGACAAAGAGTCTTTCAGCCTTGTGAATCGCGACTTCGGAGCCCACAACCTCCTGGTGGATGATAAATTCCAGATCGTCGGGGTCATCGACTTTGACGGCGTCATGGCGGCCCTTATAAAAGTTGTCGCCCAGTACCCAGTCTTAACGAGACTGAACCGAGAGCCACCTGGGTGTGTTGAGACGAGACCCGCAGCAATTGAGCGCATCGAGAGGACGAAGCCGAAGCTCAAGGAATACAAGGAGATGCTGGCGGCTGCGGAAAGCAAGCACGGAAATATCGACGAGGGAGCCACCCTGATCGCGGATATGTTGCTTTCAGATGATGCGAGTGTGCTTCAGGGCCTGGTGAGATATCAGGGCCGCCAGGTTTCTGTGAACAATCAGTGGATGGAAGCTTAGCTGAGGCTCATCCGAGCACATTTTCAGACAGAGGCCTCTGCAGCTGAATGAGACGCACTGTTGCTGTACTTGTGCTGCCCGAGCGCACTTGGCTGGGTTTTGGTCGAGTTGGGGCTTGTGTTTGGCGAGTAGCATACTACTGTTGAGTTGATGCAAAGTAGAAACGGTCACTTGGACTCCTCGTGTTCATGGCAGCAAGTACTGACACTGCAAGTGGAACATCGTGTACCAAGCCAGAATCTTGAGAGGGCGCTGTGTCGCCTATCACAGCGATCATGGAGCCAGTCCTTAGTCAATCTAGCAAACATGAAAATAAGCTGCAAGTTTTCATGTAGATCCCGCTGTTATAAAGTGATAAGCCTGATTGAGTGCTCAATGCTCTATGATTATGTATAACTGGTTCTTAATTCTATATGAGCGCGAGAACCTTCAGCCTCAAGTAGACATGCTGCTTCAGCGTCAAGGCTTAGCTGAGCTGGCTATTGTATTATTACCGCCCCACAGCTCCCGTGCATTGTCCCTAAACAGTTGATCTTGTAGCTCCACGTTCCCCTTTGTCAGGTCAAGTAGATGAGAAGTCCATGGCTTGATATCAAGTCCCTCGAATCGAGTGTGCGGCCAATCGGACGCATAAACAACTCGAGACGGCGCTGCTTTGAGGAGCTCAAGGATGACAGGATCAAGGTCAGTGTACAAGGGTCCTGAGGATTTTGACAGTCGATAGACAGCGGAGACTTTCACCCAAGTATTGCTTCCCTCCAAGAGTCGCAACATTGAGTCGAATCCTGACAAATTGTGCGGGTTGAGAGCGGTCCCAGAGCTGTTCGACTTTGGAATATCCGGGTGGCCTAAATGGTCTATAACGACCTTGACTCCCAGATCTGGAATTACGGGCTCAATGCCGGGTATGTCCTTCATGGCGATATAGATCTGCAAGACCCAAGAGAAAGGTCGAATAGCATCTGCATACCGCTGCATCATATCTCGGAGCTCTTTAGCTGGCGGTGCATCACCCGTCGACTGGAAGTTCAACCGCACACCGCGAACGCCAAGATCATCCCATTCTCGAAGCTGTGCAGTCGATGTGTTGGCCACGTCAAACACGATAACACCGAGGGCTCTGTCCGGTCCGAATGCCTTGAGAGTATCGATGAGCAGGGTATTGTCATTTCCGTAAACGGACGGCTGGATCAGAACCATGTGTGAACAGCCGAGCCGAGTTTCTTCGATAGTGGCATCCCATGCTGTGTATGTACCGAACTCGTATGAGCCTGGAACAGGCGGGAAACGAACTGGGTCCAGTACGTGGAGGTGAGAGTCCCATGAGCCGTTTGGCATGCGGCTGTCGGGCTTGAGGTCGCATCCATCTGGAGGAGAAGTGGCCCGAGCGACAATTTGCGAGATGAACAAGAAATGGGCAAGAAGTAAATAGCTCGGAACGTTTTTCAGACCGTACATGATGAACGTGACTGAACGGCTATGAAGTGAGGAGGCGGTGACATCGGGATTGTAGGAATCGCATTGTGCGAGTTATTAAATAGGCATCAGTTAGCGTAGCAATGGCCCATGTCAATCCATAGCTCCAAGCGGCCACCCAATGCCGTCAAATAGAGTTGATCTTGGCGGCAGTTGTATCTCGCTGGAAACAGTGGGGATCTCCACGGTAGTTGATGGCGGGGTCTAAATCTGTCTCCCGACTACTACATAGTACGATGCTAGTTCGTCAAAGAACGGCCTTTGCAATCATAGCCCTTCAGTATCTGATAGTTAAGAAGCATGGCGTAAAACTCTAGGAGAAACATTCCTTGAGCCTATAGTAAATCAGATCTGAGGTTGAGTAGTAATACCTACATGTTCCTGTGAAAAGGCCCTCGTCCCGATCTGATGATGTGCAATTTTGACAAGGTTAGAAGGCAGTGAAACAAGTGGAAAGAGTCTCGCTTATATCTTGGGCTGTTCAAGAAACATATAACACTATTTAATATACCAGTTTACTGATTCAATCATCCCAGTCGGGGCCATTAGCGCTTGCCATTTTCACCCGTGACGCTCCGATTGTGGGGTTACGAGCTCAAACGGGTGATTAGCCGGATAAGAGCTTCTTATCTACTGGCTGAGACTAACCGTAGCTTCTTGCTCCTTCACGCAGCGCTAGTTCCTTCGTCAGACCAGACTCTCACTCGGGTACTGCACGCGAGATGTCTGTGGAATCTTCCAAATTTATCATGGGGTTCCTTGATTTGACATTTATAACAGCAACGAGCTTACCTGACTAATCTCTACAGAGGGCTGAGCTCATGAAGATCTATTAATAATTCGCTGTGTACCAAAGATCTTTTCTTAGAGACTACCCCACAAGACTAGTCCAGAAACTGCACGGCACTCTCCGCTAGTTTTCAGCCCTAAACTGCTGACGTCTCATGTGCCGATATAAGAATCCTGCTCGGTAATCACTGACCCTCTTGACACTGCCGTACTCTCCTCCCTTCTCATGGCGACCAATCATTCTCCTCCCCTCGTTTCTGCAGGGCCCTTGCTCGTCCCCGTCCAACTGATCCCACGACGGAACGCCAGATCCAAGCAGCGCTTTTATCGCCTCAGCAAGCCCAAGGTCCGCAGTGGTTGCCTGACATGCAAGACTCGACGTGTCAAGTGTGACGAGGGCAAGCCAGCGTGTGCGCGGTGTGTTCGCGGAGATTTTGTATGCGATGGCTATGAGACACAGCCTACAAAGCATGAGGTTGTTCTCGTGCCACCACCAGCTCAGCTCGTGCCGGTAAAGTTCTTGCCGCTTGCTCCGTCTCCGCTGCCTGGCCTCGATGGACGTAGTGTACCGTACCTCGATGCCTTTCGGTATCACGTGGCGCCGGAGCTCTCGGGGAGCTTTTACATGGATTTCTGTGAGGGCACAATTCTTACTGGTGTGCACCAGGATGACTCGATTCGTCAGCTGGTGCTAGCACTTGGCGCCTTAACCCTTGCCATCGCCGATGAAGCGCGCGACACGAAGCAGTCTATCGCCCAATCGAAGCCTTCGCCGCTGAAGGTTTGGGGCCCAAACAGTGTCAAGAACCGAAATCATGCTGCTTCTCTGAAGCATTACCTCAAGGGCGTTCAGGGTCTCCGTGAGCGATTAAAGCTCGACCCAGCGCACGTCTCTGTACGGACTATGACGGTTATGACGATTCTGATGGCTTTGTTTGAGATATTACAGGGGAACCATCGGTCGGTGGACAGTATACTGAAAAGTGTTACTGCCCTGTTGAACGAACATCTTGCACAACAGAGGAGCACAGAAGGCAGTAAGGATGAGATCACGTCGGTCCAGCATACCTTCCTCTGCTTTTCTATGATGTGTCAATACTCCCGTCAAATCATATCGGCCATACCGATCTATATGCAGATAAACACAGTCTCTGCCACGGAACCGCCAGTATATGGGCTAGACTTGCCAAAGTCCCTTCTTGGCCGATGGAGGTTGTTCAACAGTGCTATGATGGCGTACATAGGGCAGGCCCATAATGTAGTGACACTGAAAGACACGGAAGTCATCAAGCAATTCCATCAACGCGGTCGAATTCTATACAAGCAAGCGCTGTCATGGGTTGAAGTGATCCGGGCCTATCTCAAGAGTGACCTTGACGAGGACCATCTTCACCGGCTGAAGCTACTGGAGATACACTGCGTTGTATCAGAAATCCACTTGGATTGTATCCTTGTACCGTGCGACTTGTCTTATGACCGGTACGAGGACACATTTAAAGCTCTGCTTGACGACTGCACGGCGTGGTTGAAGCAGCAAGTACGGAATGGCGTTCCTCGTCATATCACTCTTGGCGAGGGTATACTGATTCCACTGTCGGGTATCGCTCGTCTGTGTCGAGTCCACGATGTGCGTATGGAGGCACTCTATCTCATACAAAGTGTCACCTGGCAAGAGGGTGCTTGGGATCCTCAGTTTATAGCACTAGGAGAGCTTGGTACCGTGGTGATGGAGGAGCGGGGGAGAGAACAAAGTGGGTTTATACCACCGTCTTCTAGATGGCTTTGGGTAAGCAACATGGATGGAGAGAATGAAGGTGGTGATCCCCATGGCCTCTATGTTTCTAGGTTCCTGGATGAGAATGGACAGCCACTGCTACGAGTGATACCATATGATAACTCATGGTGGGATGAGGTATGTGATATTTCTGATTGCAAGAAGGACCATGCGACGAGGTCGAGGGAGGTATTTCAGCGTTTGGAAGGGGGTAGGTAGGTTATCAGTAGAAGATATGTATCATGAATCTTACGATAGGTCAGGGAGGTGACTGCATTGCGAGACCAAGGGCACATGGGCTGCGCAACATGGATAATATTACTAATAGAGCAAGGGCATGTTCAGTAATTATAGTCTGCTATTCTGTGATCTCGTGAATGGCCGACAGAAGAAATCCACGTTCGGAGAGTGAAGTAGCTGGAACATGATTAATAATAAAGAGGTAACGTTGAAGTAGTACAGGCCTTTTGCATTGTTCGAACTACGAATATTCCGCCTATCTGCACAGAGCTTTGCTTTCAGATGAGTATCCAAGAATATACCATGTTCTATCTCAATATTGATGCACAGAACCGCCATGTTCTTAGCGAACGCAGAACTATAAAGAACTAATGGCCCTACTAAATTCAACAAGATTCTTTATTTAAAGAGCGTTTCCTCGATGACTGTGTCTTGTTTCATCCAGCACTTTGCATCATTGCTACTAGCCAAAGACCTTTTCTGTCAGAATGCATCGAATTTGTTACTACGTTCGTGGACGCGAAATCCGGCGATTCCACAGAGACTATCCCGACTTGCTTCGCGTATTAAACGAAGAGGACTGGTACTGGATCAACAAGAAATGCCGCGCGAAAGGTCCTCAACTGGACAAGCAAAGATACCCCCGTCAGTGGATCAGTAACAGAGCGTCAAGGTTCCAAGCGCTATGTCGTTGGCGTAGTTATATGACAAAGAAGCACCCTTACAAGGGTAGGGCGAATGAATGTACTAGTTTTCGTAGATGTCAGTCTCAAGTGAGTCAAAGGCGTCGGATTGCTGGTCCCTGGATCAGGAAGAATAGGGGGTGTGGAGACGAGGACGAAGATGGAGACGAGAGCGCTAGAATGCATCAGATGGCTGAGGGTCAGAGCAACTACAACTCCAATTCTGAACCTGAAATCACCGACTATGGAAATTCCGACAGTGAATAGTAGGGATTGTTACCGCAACCTGCCAACGTTTTATACGGCCCTTGAAGGTGGCATCTGAGGGATGGAGTGGTAAGAACTCTGACGGTCGAGAGAGGTGTCACGATCGCCTTTCCGTCTTGAAATTAAGAATAGAAAAAATATCTTATCGTAAACAAGTGTTCTCAGACGCGTCAAGTATATCTATCATGTAAGACTTCATTGGCAATATATTGAACAACTCTTTTCATGTGAACTCTTTAAATCCGATGTAGATGTACTCCAATGCATCAATTCCCTACCCTTACTCAGAACTGCTCATTCGGGCTGTAAAAAGGACCATGCTTTAAGAGCAAGAGAGGTGTTTCAAGGTGTCGAGCCCAGATAGATATACCTAGTAGAGTGCATAAAGCATCAGGATTGGAATAGTACCGAGAAGTATAGGATGTGGATTAATAGCAGGCTTATACTGAGTAACAAAAGACTACTTTTCTTAGTTTCAATAGGTATTATCAGACTTTCAGGCCGACTTTGTTTCGGAACTCACTTAGCTATTGCTAACTTGGGTGATTAACCTGAGCAACATGTTGTCAGAGGATGAGGAGTCTGTCACTAGAACAAAAACATCCCAGTGGCGAGTGGAGTGAGGTTACCCTTTAAGAGCAGTCTATATCGTGAACAGACCGTCTAGCTATGAGGCTGCACTGCCCGCACCAACATGTCATATTTTCCTGGGACATCAGAAGAACAAAGCCGCCGTGTCAATATTAATAAAGAACAACAAGTAACTTGCCGCTACAAGGATAATTATTTAAAGACCTTCTTGCCCCGGCCTATTTCCTTCTTCATCTTACCTCAATCACAGCAACTTATCTACACATATACCTTCTTCTCTCCCAATACTTCCCCATACCCCTGTCTATCGAAAGATTACAAAATGTCAACTAAACCATTTCTCAACTCCGTCACCATGCATGAACGCTTCATGCCATACGAGCTCGGACGCCAGTTGCAGCGCTTCCACGACGACCATCCCGGGCTGCTTACCATGCTCACCGACAAGGACTGGGAGTGGATTCGCGACGTGTGCTTGAGCCACCAACTCAGCCAGATGAAGAACGATACCCTACTGAGTGGGCTACTAGCACAGAATCTATCAGCGATGTGCTGCCCCGTTGGCGTAGATACATGAGAAGTAAGCATCCTTATAAGGGATTTATCGCTGAACGCAGGCGCGCAAGAGTCATGGATAAGAATGACCCGAGACTCAAAAGGAACACGAATGATAGGCCTGACCTTGAAGGACAAAAAATTGGCCACGAGAAACCTACTGAGATGAATCAGGATGTTGGAAGTAAGGTCGCATTTGATGTTGACTCTGAACAGGAGGGCGTGGATCAGTAGGGGAATGCCAGAATGCATGAGAACTTTGAGAGGCGTATCAACTACATCTCCAGCCCGGGGAGGTCATTCATCATCATGATTCCGCAAGCAAACGATGGAGACTGCCGCGTAAGGATGACAGCAGGCGACTATTGACACTGGCATATTGGATCCAGGTTGTAAGAAATATCATTGTGCGTTCGAGGGAGGTGCTCCAATGTCCTTAGCGCGCTAAGATAGATAGAGAATAAAATACTGGAGCTTTGTGTTCTCAGCCACGGATAAAGCATGTGTCTTCTCTGAGATTATATCAATTTGAGGCAAACATGACAAGATAAGAATCTTTTACATGTGAAATGTCTTTGTCAACAGTGTGTATGACTCAGATCATCGTTCCTCATCCTCTTTCAGACCGAGTGCCACATAAAGCCTGCTACTCAAAGATCAAAGTAACAGATATTTGTACGGTACTTGTTCCCAGAGTGTGTCAGGGTAGATCGTCCACAAGTCACAGTCTGTGACTTTCCATTGAGAACACTCCCTCTGACCGTAAGACTCTGTCCGCTACCAGACTGAATCTGGAAAGCAAGCGTGTCGCCGAATCTCAGCGTCTGAGGACATCCGAACCGCTGGCAGAAGTTCCTGAGCTCCGAGTTGGGGCACTCGTCTCCGCCCTTCATGCCGGTTGGGCTCTTGGTAGAGCCGTCGGCGCCTGTGGCGAGGGCCCACGGACCGCAGCCAATGCCGGGGATGTTGCCGCCGATGGGTGGCACGATGGTTGAGAAGTAGCCGATTTCGAGGTTGATCTTTGCGGCGTCTGCGGCTGTGGCTGCGAGAGCGAGGATGGCGGCAAGACTTGGGAAGTGCATGATGGAGATATTCTTGAGATGGTTAGCTTCGAACCTTTTTATTCGGGATGGAGGACGAACGATGGAGTTCTTTGAAGGCACAGCTTAAATTGCGAGGCTGGTGTTGAGCGTAAAGGTGAAGAAGCCAGACATCTCATGGGTTTCCGACCGTCTTTTATAACCGTCTGGGCTTCTTTAATGTCCATGTCTGCCCCTACGAACAACTCAGCAGGCAGAATGGACGGAGCTGAAGCGGCCGACTAAGCATCATGCCAAGCTTCAAAACACATAAATTAGACAGGTCCCCGAGAGTGCACTCTGCATGAGATCCACTTGGGGGACGATACACCCTGCTACGTAGAACCTCTGAATTCGTTCCTGCTACCTTATCTTTTCACTTTTGATCGCACCTTCAGGTAGACGGTGGCAAGATTGCTACTGTGCTGTGGCCGCCCGGCTAAAATGAAGCAGTTTGTTAAAGCAGTACACTATTAGAGACCCTTATTTAATAATAAAGGAGCTTGGATAGATACGAAAAGGCGAGTAATAATATACACGCTGACTCACCTGCATTGTCAGCGTTTGGCATGGTTATGTAATAATGCCAAGTCTCGGCTCGGCTCGATGCATCTCAAGAACCCATTAAAGCTCTCAAATAAAAGAGGGACTCGGAGCAATAAGTCACTGCAGCTAAACTTGAGCCTAAATTTTATTATCCGGATGCTAGATGTTCTAGATTTCATGCCAGGTCCATGGCAAATCTCTGCCCAACCGCCTCTTCACTGACTCTCCAACAGACCTCTGCTTTCCCAGCATCCTGTGCCCAAGCTGTAACAAACTCAGGATCTTTAGTTACTGAACAATTATTCATGAAAACGCCATCAGGTAGATCTGGCGCCAGCGCAGCGGTGAGGCCAGTGGCACAACCTTCTTCAGAAGTCTTGGTAAGCGCCTCAGTCGCGTCTTCAAGACTCCTCCCCGTGATTCTCTGTGCCATATCAATCAATACCTCGGGCTTCATGTGGTTATACATGCCACTGTCCATGTTACCCGGGTGCACAGCAAACGACCGAAGTCCCTTTTTCGCATACCGCTGGTTGAGTGCCACGGAGAAGAGGATCTGGGCTCCTTTAGATTGAGCATATGCCTTAGCGGGGTTGTAACCCTCAGTTTTTATATCATTGAAATGAGGATCCTGGAACGTTGGCTCGTAGTATTTGTGTCCGAGGCTCGAAATGTTAACGACTCTTGGGGAGGTCGAGGTCAACAGTCGAGGCATAAGCATGCTTGTGAGGAGGAAATGCGAAAGATGGTTGATTGCAAATTGACCCTCAAGTCCATCTTGTGTGCGCTGGAGATCGTTGGTGATGACACCAGCATTGTTGAACAGCGCGTCGATTGTGGTGATGTCTCTGTCGGCGAGTATGGCCTCAGCAGCTTTGCGGACGCTTGCCATACATGCGAGGTCTGTTTCGACAAACTTGACATTGACGAGAGGATTGATGTCGTGAATCTTGTCAATGACAGATTGGTATTTAGCCTTGGAGCGGGAGAGAAGAATGAGAGTTTGGGGAGACTCGGTTGCTAAGGCGTAGGCAGTTGCTGAACCAATTCCATTGGGAGAAGGGCCTGTGATAAGAACTAGAAACGTAATCAGTCAAGGAAGAGGTCATTAATCAAAGTACTGGGCATTTTTACACGTTTTGTCTTTGACACGCTCTGGAAATGCTGCCACAACCTCTCGTCCAGTTGTTGCTGCACCCAACTGCGCCATGATAATACTTTAAAGCAATGATCTCTTAGTCCACTGGTGAGTGTTCTCATGGCTGCTACAACAGTTCCCGGCTATCCCAATCTTATTTATAGTCCCTAAAACACAGTTCTGTGTCAACTGATCGCCTATCAGGCCTGGCTGAGTACCCCATAATATTCTTCAACAACCGGATCTAACGCCGGGGCCGCAATGCTAAGTCCGTTTAAGTCCCCAACCTGCATTATATATAAAGACAGCAAGGTTTTGCAATAAAAGTAGACTTTTATAGTCTAATATAAATATACGCTAGTCTTTATAGACAAGGTAGATCCAGACTGTATTAGAGAACTGCAATAATAGAATAGCATAAATACCTAGAATCATTAAGCGATTTCTTCTTAATATTGGTTTGCCTACTAATCCTGTTTATCATTTCTCTTTCATTGGGCTGAGTGATAAGTCGGCGTCTTGGAAAGACCTCGGCATCTCGCTACAGCTTTGTACATTTGTAATCATCATCTTATGATGCAATCAGCTTATGATACAATCAGCATATTAGAAGTAACCAAATCGCTCTGTATAAAAGCTATAGAGTTTGATGTTCAAGTCATCCAGTATCAATAATCACATCTTCGTTCAAATCCTCATCATTCAATCCCACAGAGTAATCTCAATACACCGGCAACAAACCTCTTAGAAGTCCTTCTTATGGCGACCTCAACACCTATTCCCATTCTCACTATTTCTCTTGTTCGCCATCTCCACGGGTATGGAATAGCTGAAAGCCTCCAAGTACAATGGTCTGAGACCAAAGTCCCTGCTTCGACATCATCCCGCTTCACCAACATCGGCTTTGACCTTGACGCGCAGGGCGGCAACCTTGACGAACTTGAATCGCAGCTAAGAGAGAGAGAATGGGGCGGAATAATCGTCGGATGGTGTTCTCGTGGCAACATTGAGTTCACGGAGCTATTTGAGTCAGTTGTTACTGTCTGCGTCGACTATATCGTCGAAACGAAGAAGGGCGACACGTCGCGGAAAGAACCCAAGCTGATCTTCTGTCGCGGACCGGACGACTTGGTCAATGCAACACTGCGCAATTTCCCCGGTCAAGACTAGAATATTAAGGCAGTCACTCGTTTTAATAAACTCATTGATTGACACTATCAGAAGAGACAATTGTGTACAATGGTGGCAACCAGTTTATTGAATTGACTTTACAGCAGGATAGCGGTATAAGCTTTAATTGCGGAGACCCAATCACAATCCCCTCACTACAGCAGGCTTGAGCCTGTTCGTCTTCCGTAGTATAGTGGTCAGTATGCAAGCTTGTCACGCTTGAGACCCGGGTTCAATTCCCGGCGGGAGAGATCCAGCCACCTGCGATACGCAGGTTTCCTTTTTTAATTTTTGTCCCTTGAACCATTATCATAATACGGCAATGATTGTGATGTTTTTTTTTCTTTTTTTCGGGACGACTGCAAGGTCATAAGAACATCAGTTCCGTCCCAACCTTAGAACCGCCTCTGCCGACATTTATACTTGTGTTTCCCGATTGACGACATGTCATCCTCCTAAAGTTTTCAGGCTGATCACGTTGGGCGGATATATCCGGCATCCTCCTCGTGGCACTCTTCTTTAATTTGTATATTGTGATATTTGAGACAATTGGCGGCAATCTGATAGCGTGCGCTTGCGTGTCTCTTGACCACATCATTAATGTCATTCTCACGATTTACAGCTCCAAGATCCTCATGTTATCCTAGGCCGTTCTGTCATTAAAATTAAACGTCCGGTCATGCGAAAGGGTTGTCACGAGGGATGTGAAGTACTGGTTGTATGAACACATATTCACACAGCAATACTTAAGTTATGATCACCGAATCTATTCTTTGTTCCTAACTGTGAACCTGCCAGTATACCTGCGCGACTCAGACTCGTATACTAGGACAATATTATTACACAACCAAGCTTCTTCCTCTTATCATCATTGCTAGGTCTAGGCCGCCACTCCTGCAAGGGCGTTGGGCTCACCAAGAGCGCCCTGAGGGAATCGAGAGTTGAAGCCAATAACAGACTGAACGCTATGGAAGGTGGATGTCTTGATGGAGAGCTTCTGGTCGGAAACGAGCCATCGAACACCCTCGCTGCAGGGGGGAGTTGTAAGAGATCCCTCGTATCTATTTCGATTGTTAGCACGGTCCGGGTCAAAGTAGTAGTTGATGAGACTTACGTTTGGAAAGATCCTGCGGCGAGAGTGCTAACCAACTCAGCCATGCTGAGACCCTTGGTCTTGGTAAGAGTTCCAGGCTCAGAAATCTCACCGACCGAACCAAAGACAGTCTCGAGAAGGTTGGAGGCAGTAGTAGCAGCGGTAGTAGGAGCGTTGACATGGAAGAAAGAACCTCCAACACCAGGAAGCTGTCGCTTATCCTTGCCCTCAGTCTCACTCTTGCGAACAACCTTGGTGAAACCATCACGCTTGCGAGCAGCAGGTGTCGCAGCAGGAGGAGCCGGAGCAGTAGCATTACCAGCAGGGCTTCCACCAGCACCATCTTCAACGTCAATAAAGACACCAACGACAGCAATCTTAGCATCGGCGCTCTCCCAAACCATGTGCATCTCCATAGCCATACTCTTGCCAGCATCGAGATGTTCACTAGGCAAGTGGAAATGGAACTGCTGGAGAGTGAAGCTGTTGTTCTGGAACGACATGGTGCCCTTTCCGGCGACGACTTCGACAGTTGTACCGAGGTTCTCGAATTCGGCGCCCTCGAGCATGTCGGGGATCTCAAGGCTGAGCTGGCTGGCGGGGACCATGGCGTTGGCGCCTGCGACCATGTCGATGGGGGATTGGTTCACGCCGGTAGAGCAGAGGGCATTAGCCTGGGGATCGAGAGCGACCCAGTTGGTAGGGCCCTGCAATTGTTAGCATCAACAAATCATGGCTGAGTTCTGGGTACATACGATCTTGCCAGTGTAACCAAAAGTGTTGACCTCGACCTTGCCACCCTCAGCTCTCGGCTGCAACAGCGTACCATAAGCACAACTCGCAATCGCCTTTGAGGCAAAAGCACTCAAGAGAAGAGCCCTCAGAGAAATGGAACCAGCCATGATGATTATCCTTGAAATAAAAAAAAAACGAAAAAGTAAAGCTTGGCTGGGAGTACTCAAAGGACTGAAACAAATAATATTATCCGCTTGACAAAAAAGAGGCCAGCCTCAAAGAAGAGAAGAATTAAACAGTTTAGGAAACAAAGAACAGAATAATCGAACGATGATGAGTAAAAATCAGCAGGTTGGACGGAGGCATTGTTTTAATAGAAGATCTGGGTTAGCTATAGTAAACAGGTTTTAATTGAGTGGAGGGTCGAAAATAGCATCGGAGCGTTAGTGTTGTTTCGTGAGGTATGCTTAAGGTAACCTTAAACCTTGACGTGTGGAGGTGGGGAATAGCGTGATTCACGCCGCAGGTCTTGTCGCGACGAGGAGGGTGAGACTCTCCCGGTCTCGGATGCCAAGGATGGTCTGAAGGCTTGGGAAACACACCGAGACGGATGATAGAGATGACATTTGCATTACAGACGGTATTCGTCATGGTCTGGCGATGATAAATATCACGGATAATTAGTAGAGATTGAGACACCCATTTATCCTCCATCAATTGACTCCAGTCATCTCAACAAATCTGGGCCCCAAGTCAAGATGAATCTAACAAGATGAAACATCCCTTCTCTTATCATCCGGATAAGAACTAAACTCCCAGCGCTTACAAAAAAAAAAAGACTCGCGTCTAGACTCTCCCCTCCAACCATAAAAGTAGCAGGTCCCATTGCAAGGGGCAGAACCTCAAACGGCTTCGCTTACCGAACTTTTAGTGCCATCACAGCTTACCATTTGGGGCGCGATGACACACTAACCCAGGGGCCCAGGGGAAATATTAGGGTTATAGTTAAAGATAAGGAATCACGGCAATCGGTACGATTTCAGTTAGGTGTCAACGCTGTTTGTTGTACTCCGTAGTTTGGTGTAATTATAGCTACTGTCGAAACAGAAGTGATGCGGCGATATAAACGCTATCCTGTTTTGACGGTCAAAACGGTGTTTGTTTGGTACGGGAAGTTGGGGGTTTCTGGACGAGGTCTGGACTTTTTAGTGCACCGTCACTGTACGGGTCTGCGAATCTTTTTTGTCTGGTCTTCCGAAGGTTGGAGATACTCTGCAAGTCTGCAATGTGTCAATGTTATCTCGAGCTTATCGAATAGGCGACATTCTGCCAGGCACAGATCTATCGATCGTCAGGAACGCATTGCTCGATAGTTCATGGAGGATGAAAGCTATGTAAGATGTAAGGTGGCTTAGCGATCGGCAACCGTATCACCTGCATCCGATATCATTTACGTCTCCGGGTCTGTTTGTTCCGATCCTGACCGCGCGTTATTCACGATTGTCTTCGGAATCAATAGCTCATACCCTACACTATTACATGAATTTCGGATCTAGCACTTGGCTTTTGTCTATAGTCCTGAGCAACATAGACCAGAGTAATAAAATTTAACTTACTTGTAAATCCATATAGAGCCTGTTCCGTGCCACCGTATGTGCCTTTTTGAGGCAGTAACAGAGTGCCTCAAGGTCATTGAGGACCGTACTAGAAGTCAACAACCGCCCAAGTGAAATTCAAGAGAGCTTCCACCATTGCACATAGAAAGCTGGCAGACTCTCCAAAGTCTAAGTCAGATTCAATCAACGACCGTCTAATTCCGATCGAACATAAAAGAGAACCAGTCCCCCTCCTATTGCATTAAAATACTTTGGCATTGGATGCACCGGGCACCGGGACGCGTCGCGCAGAAGATCACCAATGGCAGGCCACAAACGCAGGGAGATGAGCGCGATGATTCGTTCTCATTTGATGACACGTCTCGGTGGACTGACATGACACACTGAAGACAAAATACTGTCACTTTCACACGATTCAATCCGTCGCCTAGGGTGGTAATGATGATAAACTTAATTCTGAGCGACTGAGACATCAAGAACCTTGTCGGTGTGGCTCAGTTGGTTAGAGCGTTGGTCTCATAGCGTTAAGCTGATGATTTAATCACAGATTAGAGTAATCCAAAGGTCGAGAGTTCGAGCCTCTCCACCGACAACCCTATCTTTTGCCCTTACTGGGACTTGATTTTATTTTCACTGAATGCGTAAATGACGTTTCTCTAAAGCGTTCATTCATTGTTTGTTGTTTATTAGATAGACACTTATCTTTATTCTTGTTTTATTGTCCTCTGTTTGTTAACAGGACTGCTAATTCTACAAGGCATCAATTATGCTTAAATTCCAATGCGTAATTACATCCCGTAAACGACGACAGCGTGCCCGACCCAAATTGCCGATGCAGGTAGGCCGCGCTTTGTCCATGTGTGGAGTGAGGAGATGCAAGTGGTGAAGAACAGAACGCTAGAACAAGCCGGGGCTTGGGGAAAAACGGAGGCACATTAGAGCGGCAGTGACACTAACACCTATCCGCCAGAATTGCATGGTGGGCTGTTAAAGCATTGGTGGATCCAAGTCACTTTGCGGAATCGTCGGCTGCACCTTGTGTACTCCAAATTCCGCGTTCACGACCCCACATAATACTAAACCTCAATCGTAAAAGCTCTCGTTTTAAAGGCAGCCAACATCTTTCCGTCTTTCCAAATCGTCAATATTCCGACTTTCATTCATTTACTCGTCACGATGCCCTCATTTCAGACCCTCCCCCCAGAAGTCACCGTTGCAATTCTCAAACATCTCAATCCATTCGACCTACTGTCTATCCTCCAGACTTTCAACAAAGCACTATTCAGCGCAGCCGAAACAGCGTTCAGGCCCTATAAAGAATGGACTCGCAACGCCCAGAAAATGGTAGCCTTGTTTCCCCCGCAAAGCATCCATAGCACTCGTCGCATCTGCCCTTCATATCCATCTCACATCCCGCCGTTGGATGATAATGTCTCAATGAGCGAGGAAATTCCAAGGAGGGATTACGAGGCCCTATCACTGGACCCTGAGGGTGGACCGTATATTCGATGCTCCCCGCCTGATCTGATAACTTGGATGAAGCTTGACGGTTCATTTGAGTGGCTTGAACCCTTGGATGAGGATATGGCGGGTGAGATGCTGCCACATACCGGAGTTGAAGGCGATCGGCCTGTAGCGCCAGAAGCTGATGTCGATGCTGTGGTCAAGCAAGTCAGCGATCTGGGTCTTGTGCTTCCTACAGGATTTGAGGCATTTGTCCGAAGCAATAGACTGCACCACCGCATTCCGAGCTCTTCGGCCTGGTACTTCCGGCTATCGAAGCTCATCAAATGTCCAGCTGCAATTGATGACGATCAAGGAGGCTATTTGTGCCGCTTTTATTTCGACCAGCAGCACTGTGCTTTCGCATACCTGTATTTGAGTCCATCGGGAGGCCATTGCGTTTTGGTATCGACAGTTGACGTGCATGAATGCTTAAACGAGGATGACCAGATCAACGGTGGGCAAGTGGATGGAGGCAATGTTCCGAACGAGGGAGAAGATGCGGATAAAGAAAGCATCGACGACAGTGAGCTTACCAAGGAGTATTTCAACCTGGCTGGCCTTTCCTTCGAGGAGTATCTCGTGACGGTGTACTATGAGGGACTGCTTAGTTTGGAGGCAGATACTTTTGAGGGACTGGAGAATTTTGTCAAGCATGTTTACCGCTCGCCTAGAGAGGTTGAGCATCTGCGCGAAACAAGTAAGTCGGACAAAGAGTCTCGTGAGGACAATATGCTTACCAGTGCCTAGACGAAGCTATCAAGGTGTTCCTCGATGCGCAGAAGTGGAAGGGTGTAGAACATTACAGGCAAAGCATCAGCGACTAGTTTTCCATTCTTCCTTTTTGCTTTTTTGAATTAATCACTATATGTGAGGAGACATGAGATATGCCCAGTTAAGAGTTGAAGAAATCGGTGGTCAATATGCAATTTACATGTTCCCAGTTTTGATGCAACGAGATGCAAAAGCTCCTGGAGGCTTAGAATATGGTACTTCCAGGATTTGTATACTTGAATACATGGCATGCTACAATGGCCGCCAATTGTGATTGTTTGCCTGTAGTCGGCCGCTTGCTCACCATTCACTACAGCGGTTCTGTTGTTGGCTGCAAACTGTTGCCAGACGTGGTTCCCCAGCGTTTCATCAAGCGGCTAATTGGGCTGACTTTCAATAAGAGCTCAATAAGAAAACGCGTAAGCCTTGTCCCCAGCGCCTCATGTTGTTATGTGGCCAATGACTGGCCGGCAGTGAGAGACGGACGAGACAACCAACAGACGTTTCAAAACACTAGAACATCCTAAAGCGGAATGCACTGCGGTCAAACTCCTGTTGGGCCAGCTGCTGGACAAGCAGAATATGAGTCGACCAACAGATTTCGTCTAGCCGCTGGCCCGAAGGGTGAGATGGGATAAAACGGTAGCATGGCGCGACAATACAGGTCTTTTGAGAGACATTACTCTACAGATTAATTATTCTATATTGTGTTGTCGCATCTATCATAGATATACGCTCAACAAGGGTTTCATATGGCCTTGGGCCGAATCAAGCATGAGCCAATCTACCGTCTGCATCACCCTGTACATCTTCAGAGGCACCCCAGACTTCTATTTCGCCCGTCACATCCTTGCGTACTTCACGTGCCCCGAAGACCCGAGCTTTCATGAAACCGTGCACGCGCAGCACGAAGATGAGGGCGACCCTTGGAAAGTCGACAGGATTCACAGGGGAGTAGACTGGGCCCTCAGTGCCACGTACCTCAGCCACGTTAATCTCGGGGCTGTAAAGGTCTGGAAGGGTCGTGAGATGGACCCGGTCAATGTAGTTGTGGGTACTCCGGTTGAAGGAAGGGAGAAGATGAGTGATTGGAATTGCCAGACTTTTATCCTTGAGGGTCTTCAGGCGCTTGTTTCTGCGGGGTATCAGACGCAGGAGTGGTATGATGCTGTTGAGGGGGAGCTGATGGATAAGTTGTTGGATGGATGTGTTGGCTGAATGATAGAGTTGCGAGGGAGTCCCATAGAAGTTCCATCGGAGACGTTAGACTGCAGAGGGTATTGGCATACAGAGAAGCTATGAGCAGCTCTATGACAGAGTAGTGATGAAGTTCACCAATATGTACTCGAGATCATAGCGCTTCTCAAACAGGGACGGCACTTGACTACCCAGCGTCCCCCAATCGATCTTATCCAGACCTCTCAGCGCAAACACGTAATCCCAATATGCGGGATACCAACCCGACCATTCCCAGTCCAAGAGCGCAACTATCCGACCGTCGCGTATGATGATGTTCCTGGATGAGATGTCGGCATGCGTAAACACAATAGGGCAGTCATTCGCGAGTTGCGTCGTGATCTGGTGCCAGTACATGGACTGCTCGGTAATTCGCTTTGGCGGTCGAACAAGCCAGTCGTGGAATGCTTCAATGGTGTGAAAAGGCCCGCCCGATCGAGTCATCATGCTTGGGACGATAACGCCTTGGCCGTCGAATCGACCGAGATAAGTACCCTTTAGCGCGCGCATCTGAGCGATGTAATCCTTCAGCTGGGCGAGTATCTCTGAGCGCTCTTCCTGGTTGAGTGAGGGCCATGCTTGTTTTAATGTTTGGCCTTCAATGTACTCCATCTCAATACGATCCCAATCACTACTGATGACGTCAGGTACTGGTATCGTAGTATGCTCTTTGACGAATTTTAATACACGCGCCTCGTTTGGCTGATCGTTGGCGCCCATGCCATCGGGATGCGTTGTGTACTTTGTGATGGTGTTGCCATGTCGGACTATGTTGCGGCCAAGGCAGTTGTAAATGAGCTCGCCCTCTGGATAAGGAGCAGGCGTCCTTGGAGGCGGAGGAGAGTCACCGTACATGGCGATTCGCTTATCCCGCATGATCATTTCTTGCAGTCGGCTCATTGTTGGTGTTATAGCGATGGCTTGAGTGAGTGCTGAGTAAGGGTCTGTGAGGGGGGCTCATTTGGCTGATGGAGAGCGGAAAATCGGGGAAACTCTGGTAATTGAATAGGCCCGGTTGTTTGCATACTAACATAACAGTGAGGGCAGCTGTTAGAGAGTACAATTAAAAAGAAAGATAACAACAGAGTGAGGTCATGGTTAAGCGTGTGAAGCAAGTTCAGTGTCAAGGTAAGTCAGTGATTGATAAGTGCCGAAAAGTGCAAAAAGAATATTGACAAGACTGGGATTCGAACCCAGGCCCCTTTCGAGACTGCGAATCGTCACTGGTTTGAATGAAACCTGAACACAGCGCCTTAGACCGCTCGGCCATCTTGCCTTGTGATTGGATAGTAGACCGTTTCCAAGGCAGGTAGATACTGCTACACTACTCTGCCACTACAGCGAAGCAATTGCCGACATGCAGCATCTCTCATCTGTAATAGCTTGATATGTTTGACTTGACTTTGATTCGCGTGGACTAAGTGGTCTTGAGCAATCAGTGCACTGCTTGAGCTGTTATGTTAAGAACACTATTTTGAGCTTCTGTCGTTGTTGTCGAATTATAACAAGGGGACGGATTTGGTAAATATGTTTTCGCAAACTTCACGAGGACATACCTAATTATGGCCACCAACATTGTCACTCAAACACACTGACTTGTGAGAAATGATAAAGACGATTAGCAAGCACTCTCACCCTGCACTCTCTGTTCTTAAAATACTGTTATGATATCTGTTATGGTTAAATGTCAACTGTTTGGTTACCCTACAGTGAGTGACTGGGGATCATGCTCGCGATTAACGCGTTGTTTTCGCGTCTGAGCACCAACGCGAATTGCGCGACACCACGTCCTCCCAACGAGACAGTTGCTGGTCGCAATTGCATACATCGCTGGCGATATTCACCAAGTCGTCAGAGCTGCATTTCTACGCGTTTATCACAGGTAATTTGAACTTCAGCGTTACTGAGATACCGAATAATTTCGCCCCTTCAGAACGCATTTAATGATGAGCACGCATCAAAGTGCGATATGAGAATCAGATAAAATATGTACGGGTACATAATACATAATGAAACAGTCCTGCGCAACGCTGTTGTACGCGTGCATAATCCAGCCATATTAGCTAAAGTCATGGGTATATAGACCCAAGATGAGAAGAATAATTAAGAAATAATGCAAAGAAATCGCGCGCTTGATGATTATCATCGTATGCTCCATGTTTGATCATACTCTCGTAGAAGCAAGTGCTTCTGATTACATGCCAGATACAGCATCGACTTAAACACCAGGAGGAGTAAAGCCAGGGAGCTTGGGCCAGTTACCAAGCTCTCCAGGATCACCACCAATTCGGACCCAGATGGCGTGCGAGGGAGTAGGTCCATCGAGCACAAACATCTGGTACCATGAAGGAGGGCTGATGAAGGCATCAGGAGGAGCTGTCACGGTGCAGGTCTTACCACTGCAGGAGAATTCGGGGAACAGGGTGCGTTGACCCATGCTGACACCGTGAGTAGCACCAACAGAGGCCATGAGAGAGACACGCATGTTGGTAGCACCCTCCTCAAGGTCAGAGGTGAGAGTGAAGGTGTAGCTCTCACCATAGACCCAATCACGGTTAGCTAGAGTAAAGTTGGGCTGAGCAGCACCAGAAAGGAGATAGTCGGGCCAGAAGTACTCAATACGCTTCTCCTGGGGATGCTTGCCCTGATCCTGAGGGTCAGAACCAGAGACGAGAATCTTTCCGTTGCTGAGAAGGACAGCTTCGGAATGGTACATGCGGGCGATGGTGGTGTTGGCAAGGACCGTCATGCGCTGGCCGAGAGGCTCCTCGGGGTTGTACATGACTGCGTTGAGGTTGGAGTTGTCAGCGAGACCGAAACCACCACGGCCGACTTGCGCACCACCGAGGATGAGGTAGCGGCCATCAGGGAGAGCGACCATGTTGGGCATGACACGCTTGGAGGGCTGTGACAGTTAGTTTATATGACAGAGATGAGGCATAGAGAATGCTTACCATGCGCTCAATGACCCAGTCAGCATCAGGGGTATCAGGTGCCATAAGGACACAGTTGTCAAGAGCCTCATTTCCAGGCTCATGAGTAGTACCACCGCAAATGAGAACCTCAACAGGGTCGGTATAAGGAGCCTTCTGAGGTAGAACCATCATTGTACCCTGAAGAGGATAGTTACGACCAGTCAAGGGGTTGTCAACCTGACCAGGCATATCAGGTAGCTTCTTGATAGACTGGAAGTCGACCTGAGAAAGAATACGAGACTCATTGAACTGGGTGAAGAAGATACCGCCAGAAGGCAAGATGGCCATATGAGGGTACGAGTTGGTTCGGCCAATGTTCTCAGCACGCTCAAGGTAGTCAAGGTAAGTCGACTTGGTTACACCAGCAGGGTGAGGCAGTACTTCAGCGGAGGGAACGATGGGAGCATCAGAACCAGACTCTCCACCCATAGCAAGAATGGAACCGTTGGAAAGGACAATGGCAGTGGGGTACCAACGGGGATCAAAGAGACGCAGCTGCGTGTAATCCTCTTCCCAGACGTTGGTGCCATTGTCGACTCCCTGAGGTGAGTCAGGAGTGAAGAAGCGAATACCATAGACTGACTCAGCAGACCATCCACCGATGTTGATGATACGGCCAGCCTTATCAGGAAGAGTGAAGGAAGCAGAGCAGAAGACATCAGTCTTGAGAGCAAGCTCACGGTACTTGTTGGTAGAGTAGTCAAACTCAAACGAGCCCTCAGTATCATCATCAGAGGTACCATGCTTCTCCACAAAGACAACCTTATCGTTGATGCCGACAGAGCTGATGAGGGGGATGATGGGGGAAGTAGAGAAGTGATCATACCTACCCGCAGCAGGTCCAGAAGCGTAATGGAACGTGTTAAGCGACGTGCCTGTCCACTCGTAGTAACTGATGTGATTACCCGCGCCGCACGTGTAGTTGCGATTGCCGGGACAGGCCATGCTGCAGAAGCTATCATCCTTCCAGATATCGCCTTTAGCCTCAACTGCCTTCAGGTCGCCACAGACGCACTGGCGGCCGTACTCAACACCACCAGCGGAGTAGCCGAACTTCTGGCAGCGTTTGAGGCAGGTTGGGACGGTCATGTTGCTGGTGGCGTAGCTACCGGAGTCTTCATACAGCCACTCGAGCACATATGGGTTATTGTTGTCAAAGACACAGCCCTTGTACTCCCAGTCACCAGGGAGGTCATCTTCTTGCGCGACGGGAATGGGGTATACTTCAAAGTCACCGCTGGAGTAGAGGGAAAGACGATTGCCGGCACCGCACATCTGGCTGTCATCGCCCTTGCAGGCCATGTTGCAGTCGGATTCTGTAGTCTTGGACGCAGCATTGTTGAGGGCGTTACCGCAGTAACACTCCTCAGCGTACTCGAGACCAGCAATTTTGAAGCCGTTCTCGATGCAGGTGGCGATACACTTCTGAGGTGTCTGGGAAGAGGAAGTGCCGAATGGGGAAAGGGCACGGCCGGGAGGGTCAATGTAGCAACCGGCATAGGACCAGTCATCAGGAAGATCAGTGGCAATGGGGCCGGTAGTAGCGGTTGCAGTGCCAGTGGCAGAAGCAGTCGCGGATGGTTCGCCGGAGGGCACAGCGGTACCTCCGGCAGAAGACTTGCCAAAGACAGTGAGTCTATCACCAGCTCCACAAGGCTGATCAGCATCGCCAGTGCAGGCCATGCTACAATCGGCCTCGGGAGCTTTGGTAGTAGGCTTCTTACTACCGCAGACTGATACAGTCAATCACAATTCAATCACTTATCTGAAGACTCGACTTACAGCACTCTTGAGCATACTCCATGCCAGCGAACGCGTAGCCCAGGCCTACGCAATGGGCCACGCACGTCTCAGCGGTCAGACCCTCAGTGTCATAGTGCACAGGCCCATCGAGCTCACGCTTCGAGACGCTATCGACATAGCATCCCAGGTACGTCCATCCGTCTCTGGGGGTTTCAGGCGGTGTCAGATCCCTGCGGACGATGACACTCGCGGAGGAGGGCAAGTGAAGGAACGCTGCACCGAGTGCAGCAAAACGCAAGAGTGACATGGTGGATAAAACAAGAAAAGAAAACAAGGCAAGGCAAAGAAGTGGCGTATAACGAGAGACTGTGTAAACAAACAACGAATGTGGTTTTCCAAGGATTAGTTTTTCCCATGCAGAGACATAGAACAATGCACAAGTGAGATTGCGGCACCTTGACGTTATATCACTTCAGACGGCCGCTGGGCGATAGCGGAATATTCTCAGGTATATCACCTGCCCCCATCCCTCTCCTTTCCGCTTGAAGTCTTACCCCCTAGAGATCTCGTGTTCATTAGCTTACTGTCAGACCATTTTTTCTTCTTCTTGTCCTGCATTCCAAGAGCAATAAGACGCTGACTGCTAAGACGAGAAACCACATGCAAAAAAGAGTGAAGGGCGGTGGATGCTGCAACAGAGCTGAAAAAGGCATATGCACGTCTACGGGCGCGTCGACGCAGGAGAGCAGGCCTTGTGATTAGAATATTGGATACATCAGGCCAGTCTGCACCCACGGGGTCTAGATTGCCGAGCCAGACTTGGCAAGAAGCCGAGATAATCTTGGCAGAAAAGGCCCAGCAGACAAATAAATGGAGGAGGCTGCCAACGCATCCACAAGGTCTGAGTCTGACTCTTTGATCGACAGGGTCAGGGCCAACAGATCGAAAAGGCGGCTGACAGTGGAGAGCGTGTGTCTGTCTACTCGCAGTTTAGTCTAATCTCCTCGATCTGGTGTGGCTTGCGGTAAAAAAAAAAAAGATGCACCGAACCCCCTGCTGGCAACCTCTTTATCTTGGCGACCCCCCCCCTCCGAGATGCTTGAAGTGGACGTGCCGATGCAACGCTGCCCACTAACCGAGGACTAATAATGTAACCCCCCCATTGACTCTTGGACCTCTTGGCTACAGCGTTCCAAGAGTGTAAACACGAGGACGCAATCAAAAGTTCTGCTGCAGAGACAAGGGGATGGATACTGCATTTTCTTAGCTGCAGCGTTATCAGACTTTTTCTCAGCGCGTAGTACCAGAGGCGAATTTCGCTTGGCAGATGTGAACGGGGATGCGTTTTGTAGTGTTTGTTTCTGATTTTAGTGATTGTTAGCGCCTGCGACAGTGCGCACCTAAAGCCGACGCTAAACCGGAGATTTTCGCCTTGTGAATCAATATTTGCTTCGCTCTATGAACTATATGCCCGTTCACATATACTGTACACTTGAGTGGCTTGATGACCCGAGCGTCATTACCGCGTGGCTTATGATAGTGAGATTTCTCCGTTTAT